GTACTTGCCTATTTACAAAATATAGATATGATTTTAAAGCTATAAAAGAACACAGACATATACTAGTAATAAAACAGCTTGTCATCTTCTTAATGTCTCTAATTGAGATTTAGACAAATTTGGAAATGTTTAGATGAAGAGAAATTAGTTTTCCAAGTAGATTGTTATTCAGGCATCTTACCTATAGTTGTCTAAATGTCTCAAAGAGACAAGCTGTTTGCATTACAGTGGCAGGATTGTTATGACTATTGTAATTGTTATTTCTGTGGTTATTAGTGCTTGTTTTCTTGCTTTTATCAGACCTTTGGAAAGCGGCTAGACGTATGAATTTTGTATTTTTATTCCTGTACATGTACTCAGGTTTATTAAAAGCATGCGCAGAGGTAAGGTTCCAGAGAACATTATATATATAGTATATATTAACCTCACCAAGGATTGAATACTAGTCAAAAAGAAATACTCAAGCTGTTTTTATTTTATAAAAGAAACTTTGATCTTTTTAACAATCTAAAGTTGTCCTTCCTTTACTGGTAATTTTATTCCTATTTTTTTTAACAATATATATATATATATATTATTGTTTATTTGCCTTTTATAAATACATTAAAAATATAAATCTAATAATTTGAAGATTATCAGGTTCACAGTGAGCATAACTTGTGGGGGGTTTTTTGCTGCTCATTCCTATAGACCAGTATTCGTTTAAACAAAGCATATAAGAAAAAAGAAACTCAAGACACAAACGTCAATTTATAATACTACGCTTTATATAATGGTGTCCGACATGTAACCGGTGCAGATGCTCTTAATGAATCTAGCACGATATAGTATAAATTGATGGACGTGTTTTGATATTAATCGGTATCTCTTTTCATTTTGCTTTTATTGTGACATATTCAAAAAAAATATTCTCGAAAAGAAATTATACATTATCAATAAAAGAAGCCTTTAAGAAAATGCTGATGATTGCTTTAAAGGTAAAAGATAGTAATTGATTCGAATAAGTCTGTATCATTTATAGACATGTACATTTTGGTATAGATATAGTGTGTGAGGATTGTGGAGAAAGAGAGGTTATGCGACTACAAAGTATTATAAACGCATATTCTGTAAAAAGTCCTCAGTTGGCAATAGTACATTTTTCAACTTGTCTTTTCTATACAACTATCTCTCATGATAATGGTTTTCTTTTTCTTTTTACTTGCTGTTATTATTGGTTGGAGCATCTAGTAGAGCCAAAAGAAGTCAAAGTTCGAATCTTAAAAAAGATAAACGTAAAGCTAAAGGAAGAAAAAAATTAAACGCATATTCTTTATTGGTTCTTTGCAAAAGCTGCAAACAAGAGAGTCACAATACATTGAGATTTCACAAATGATCTCCGTAATATCATATCCATGGAAACGATGTTCATAAACAGTTACTTATTGGTACCATCTCATAATTCAATACCTAAGGCCGTTTACAAACATACCTTTTGGTACTTGGTGTGCAAATTTGTCAACGACAGAAATTATCAAAGAACACTAATATACCACCGAATCTTGTGCAATCCTTGGATACCTATAGACCCTCAATTACAAATTCTGTATAGAATCAAACCTCATAAAAAGTGCCTGGATGTTCAGGAAGGGCTTGGCGAGACTAAAGAATAACCGATATGGAGTGACAGGAATTTTGTGAAAGATTCGAAGAAACGGGAGAGGTAAGGGGGATTTGTAGATGTTACAATAGACGTGTACAATACCTCAAAGACGTGCAGCAATTTTCAAGCGAAAAATTTAGAATCTGCTAATCACACTCGTAGTTACAATGTACTGGCCTGTAAAACATGTAATACATTGTGGCAGTGATATATTAATGCTGCAAAAATACTATGACAATTGCTTTATCAAATTGGAGAGGAACTCATTAACCAACGGCTTTCCAAAAATCTGATGAAAGCAAGCAAACAAGCAACAGTCATCACAGAAATAACAATAACAGTAACAATAACAACTCCATCACTGTAACGTAAACAATTAATCTCTTTGAGACAGTTATATAATTACAAGTAAATATCTAAACACCAATGTCTACTTTCAAGAACTAATTTCTCTTTATCTAAATTTCATTCTCGGTTTGTCCACAAAAGGTAAACATACTGTCTACAATTACATTTTGATTTATCTAAAACATTTCCTCAATTTGTTTCGGTCTCAAGTAGAAACACTAAAAATGTGAGCTTTGAAAGTTACTTCTGATGGGGTAAAATGACATGAAATATGATGGGATGGGATGGGGTCATTGGCATCGATGAATGTCTTGGAAGCATGATAGTATGGATATTATATGTTCTCAAAAGTTGAAAGTCAGTTATGAGAATGGTTGTATATGGCATTCCAGGTATAGAGAAATATAGTGTATGGCTTGCGAGTGCTGAAGTTTTATTATACGGCTGTTATTTTATTATTATTATTTTACAGTGGTGATAAAATACAAAAAAAAAATGTTATTGGTTTTTGGTGTCGATTTTTATGGTGTTGTGAAATTGATAAGACTATCATCCAAGTCATAATGGTAAACTCTTCACACTCTCGTTCCAGTTTAGAATGATGGTGGTGAGAATAGCCGTCGTCTTTGGTTTTAATAGAGAAAAATCTGTAACATGATAATACCATTGCTGTGTTTAGTTTTTCCTATTATGTTTTAATATAAACTTATAGCCGCCTGATCCCTTTCTGTCGCATCTTTTGGTTTTGTAAAATAAGATACTACTTATAATAATAAGAAAGCTAATTAAGCAGCCAAGTTCGACGATCTTTCTGTTAATGACTCTTTAAAAAAATCTTAATATGCTGTAAACAATTATTCACAAATCGCACACAATTGAGATATTTATAATTTGCTATGGGTTAGTGGCTTTGATGAGAGGATAAATTCAGATCCTTTGAGAGTAGTATTTACTTTAAGAAAATTATTCTTGCTTGTATTTGCTACGATTCAAATACATGTAGTGCGATGGTTAGATTACAGTATAGCAACATAAAGTGTGGGCGTGCATAATGTTTGGCAGTGCCTGATATTGTTAATCTGCCAGTGTTAGTAGTGAACAGAGAGCATTGTCTGATTGAGGTTATGGACTTTACTCTACTCAATTTTGGTGTATATACCATAGCAATGTTTACTAGAAATCTGGACCAACTTGATCAGATAAGAGATTTACATCAGTCTACCGTAAAAATCATATTGTCTAGATATAATTTCAGTATGTTCTCTATACATGAATCTATTTTTTTTTGTTCGTTATTTTTGCTGTTGCTGATATTCCATCAATATAACATTACGGCTTCTGATGATTTAAAACACTACCCCTTTTTGTAGTGATATAGTTCAATAAATTTATCCTCGGGTGTCCTCCACCCTGGCCTCCTTTTTTATATATATCGTTATTACTGGTTATAGGTCACTGCTTACTAACTATATATACAAACCGGTTTATTGATATATATTTATTTAAAGAGCAATATTTATCCCTCACCATTAATAATTAACTCAATTAACCAAGTATATATATATATGTCCATTTTCTATTTATTTATTTGAAAAGCAAAGGATTTTCTTTTTAATATTTGTGCCTCATTATTGGGCGTTTATATATATGTGATAAAAAAGCTATACAATCCCTGTCTTATAATATTATATTAAACAGATAAATAAATAAGACATATACAGTAGGTGTGTTTATTTTTGAAAATTTAGAATTGAATTGAAATATTTTATTTAATTCCTGAAATCTGTTGGTGACACCTAAATCCTAAAGGCTACAACAAATATATAAAAGGATTAGGAATAAGGATTGTAGAATCTAGATGAATGATAGGTATATTTATACCTGCTGCTTCTATACTGTACTGCGGCTCGTTTAGTCTAATATAGCACAACAGAGTTGGATTGAATTGGGTTGGAGGATTTGTGTGGTACGGCACACAATACCCACACAAAATGTTATAAATTCCCTAGGTCAGCTGTTCATTTAAAGGAAAAACCGGCTATTGTTATCAGAAACAGTAAAAGAAACAACAAAGAAAAGGTTGGAAGACTGGAAAACAGATAAGCCTATTTTTATTTTATTTTTTGGGTCTATTTAGACACAATCACTTACTCGACTGACTAAACCATTTTAATTTTAAGAAAATCATGTCAAATGATGCTATCAAAAATGTAAAATATATACATATATACATATATATATATGACCGTTTTTCTTCTTTATCTCATCTACACAGATTTGTCTGTGCACAGTTGATGTGTAGGGTACACTTTTTTTTTATAATAAGCAATTTTTATATGTAAAATTAGAAAAGCACAAAGCTTTATGGGATCTTAATATTCTTATAAACAATATGCAGTTTCGATATTTAAGCAGGGAGGCCAACAAAATGTCTTCTTTTCAAAAATTGTCTATTATAAAAAAAAGGTGCACTCTACGCTGGCGAACAGCATAATATATTCCTTTCTTAAAATTAATTATATATGTATATGTATATTTATATGTATGTGTACTGCGAAATAAAAGGAAATAATCAATATTGTAAACGGACTATACATTAATAATAGTAATAATAGTAATAGTATTAATGATAGTAAATGTGCTAATGATAATAATGATAATGGTTATGATAATGGCTATGATAATGGTTATGATAATTGGAATAGTAATGATAGTATTAGTAGTAATAGTAATAGTAGTAGTAGTAGTAGTAGTAATATTATTCTTTCTTCTCTTAATAAAATATATATAAAAAATATATACAATATACAATATAAAATCTATAAAATTGGTGACTTTGATACTTGATGATAATGACGAGCACCATTAGCAAACTTTCCATCAACACACGTTTCAAAATTCTTCATCAGATTGGACTCCAATGCCTCCTCAGCAGTCCAGCGTGTCTTTGGATCAGGATCGAGCATGCCCGAGAGACAGGTGCGTTCGTCTTCGGAGCAATGTTTCCAGATGTCGCAGTTGATAGGCCCGCCGGCCTTGCGCTGGTCACAATAGAGACCATAGGCTTTGTCACCGATACATTGTGCTCGCGAAGCAACCTCAGCAGGTGAGCCAATCGTGACTGGGCCGACAAGTTTGACAGGATTGCTTGGGTGATAGAACGCATAGCTGAACAGCAGTTCGTTGGTCCGAATACAGTAAAAGGTGATTGCGGCACTCCAGATGTCGAGTGCCTTGCCATCATAGACCGACTCATCGGACGTCAGTTCCCAGACTTCTGGAGACCAAAATGGCTCAGAGCCACACCACTTGGAACACATGCGAGCCTTTTCTTCAAGCGGCCGTTGGACTACATCAGCAACTCCAAAGTCTGCAATCTTGAGGGTTCCTCCTGCTGTCAGAACCAGGTTTTCGGGCTTGATGTCGCGGTGAACAATTCCAAGCTCGTGAAGGTGCTTGATTCCCCGTAAGAGCTGTTTGAATAAACACAGATTATCGTCTAGAGACATGCGGCTGTGCTCTTGTGTCATTAGGCTAAATGCGTCACCGCCTTGGCACTGTTACAAAAGATAAAAAAATTAATAAATCAATATATAATACATAGCCCAAATATATATGTGTGTGTATATATTCAAAAAGAAAGAAAACAATGTATATACACTTACGTATTCCATTACAGTACACCAATGATCTTGTTCGTCAAGGACTAGATCAATTGTGGTAACAATATTTGTGTGGCCCGAGGCTGTTTTGCTGATGATGAACTCGTTCTGCATACGTTTCATGTAGTCGCGTTCATTCTCAGTCTTGTCCTTCTTTTTGAACTCCTTGACGGCCAAGACAACATTGGTGTCGGGGTGTTTGACGAGCCGTATGACAGCGGTTGCGCCACTGGCGATGTTGTTTCGAGACGTCGCACCACTGTCCTTGATTGCGGCTGCTGTTGCTTGGTGACGACGATCTTGTTTGATGTAGACTCCGTACTTTTCTTGGAGGAGTGGAACCCTGACTCCGTTTATGGTTGTGTGACCAGAATTGCCATGGCTACCACCATGGAGACGCTTTTTCCATGTTGTAGGATTGATCAAAAGGCTTCCCAGGGACCGACTCAGTTTGTGTGAGCTTGAGCTGTGTTCGGTGCCGTTGCTGTGGGATCTCAGGCTTGAGGTTGCACTTCCACTTGCACTTGCACTGCTTGATCGTCGCTCTAGATTGAATAGAGATCCTGAACTGCGTCTACTAATAATCGGATCCGGAGTTTTTTTAGGATTTGCGATTGACTGTTGTTGATTTGGAGAGTTTTGATTCGGATCAGACTGTGTACCATCAATGGGCGTCATTTTGAGACCCGATCTGTGATGACCGCCACTAGCACCACTAGCACCACCAACGTTGCTATGGTTATTGTTGATGCTGCTGTTGCTGTTGTTATGTCTGTGGGTTCCGTGGAAAAGATTGGCTAATCTACTGTGTTTTCTTGTAATCGTTACAGGTGGAGGAGTACTGGAGGAGTGCTCGGGAGTTGCGGAGATTTGAGTGGAAGAGGATGATGATTTGTTTGTGGGTTGGGTTTGTTGGGTGATTGTGATTGACGAGAGGCTGCTGCTTCGGGTATTGGAGTATTTACTAGAAGACACAGACGAAGAAAGTGCAGGACATACTGGTTCACCTTCTACTTCACCTCTTGCTCTTATTACTCCTCCTACTGCTCCTGCTTCTGGTTGCGTTTGCGTTTGCGTTTCGGGTTCTTTCTGATTGTCTAGAGGACAATCAAGAGTTCCGTTTGTGGGTTGCATTGGGCCGTCTGTATGGGATATACTGTTATTTTGATCGTTGGTCACCAAGTCCCAGGGCGAGAGAGTGGAGGGATCGACGGGAGAGATCTCTGTCTGTATGCTGGTACTAGGAGGCATATTCTTTTTTGGACTTTTTTTGTCTTCGGTTCTTGTTTGTTTTGTGATAACGGATTTAACTCTGTGTGTGTGTATGTTTAATATAATAAATCTACACTGCCAAAAGAAAAAAACACCCAGTTAACAAAATGGGCGATAATGTAGGGTTGGATAAAGTAGTATATGTATATAGAAGATGAAAAAAGAAAGAAAGAAAGAAAGAAATGCAAAAAAAATGTATAAAATTATAAAGGCAATAATATATATATATATAAAATATAAAGTAAAAAAAATTAATCCAAGCTGCGCTTCCCTTTCATTGAGTGAGTAGTTAAGTGAGTGGCGGTTGATCACAGGAATATCATCATTATATAATATAAAATACCACTACTATATTGTGTAGTGTATAAGTTTGTGGAGAATTACCAATTTTTTTTGATTTTCTTTTTTATCCTTGACGTAATATATATACATATTTATATATAAAAATCAAAATGGTTATTATTCTATAAGGAGAATAATATGCATATATATATATATAATTCTATAATGATCTTACAGCATTTAACAGGTTAGAGTAATTTTTATTAAAAGAACAAAAAATGAAGAACAAAAAAGGCAAAGACAAAAGGGAAAGACAAAGAGAAAGGCTAAGGAAAAGGCTAAGGAAAAGTGATTTTCTTATACTTCTTTTTGAGTCACAAAAGAGTGCACAACAGTCTAAACACTTGAGGTTATAGAGGGAAAAAGTTCTCTAGTATCATTTTATATATAATTTATTCACAATTTAATTTATTTGTTGATAAAGATAAAGAAGAAGAAGTCAAAGGGTCCCTGAGAATATATATATAATTGTAATAATAATATTATATATTCTATATTCAAAAACAACAACTAAAATTTCAAACGTTTCAATTCTAAAGTATAATTATATACTACGCCTCTTCTTCTCTCTCTCTCTCTCTTTAAAGGGAATGGATTCTAAACCCTGGAGATAGCTACTCGGGACATTATTTAGCCTAGTCTTAAAGAGGAAGAAGAAGAAGAAATTAGTTCTGTTGTTACTAGGCTATGAGTAAAATACAAATGATGTGTATTGTGGGAAAAAGTAGTGTGATTTGAAACCCAAATTATAATAAAGAGAGAGAGAGAGAGAAAAAAAGGGACTTTTGAATATGCAAGAGATTTTAGTGGGAATGTTTCTTACTCTTCTTTAACAATATTCAAAGCACTCAAGGGCACTCAAATACATCTTGTAATATATATATCTTATTAGAGTTACAGAGACTTGTGATTGGCAGATTTAGATTTTCAAAATCACAAGAGCGAGAGAAGGAGAGAGGGAGGGAGGGAATGAGGGAGAAAAGAAGTTTATCCCGGAGTTATTTGACTGTTACTTGATTTTTTATTTATCTATTTATTTATTTATTTATTTATTTATATACATACATCAAAAGGATCCATATCATCCATCCTTCTCTATCTTGACCTTTTTCATTTGTCAAATATACACACATATATATATACATACATCTCATTCATACATAATACATAATACATAATACATAATGAAGGATATCTGCAAGCAAGACGAACTCATCATCCCCAACAACGTCAAGGTCATTGTCAAGTCCCGTCTGGTCACTGTCGAAGGTCCCCGGGGTACACTCACCAAGAACTTCAACCATCTCAACATTGAAATCAAAAAAGTCAACGACTCACTTATCAAGTTCACCGTTCACCACGGTCTTCGTAAGCATGTTGCCTGCATCCGCACCGTCCGTTCGTTGATCAACAACATGATCACCGGTGTCACAAAGGGCTTTGAATACAAGATGCGTTATGTCTATGCACATTTCCCAATCAACTGCATTATTAACAACGGTGGAAAGGATGTCGAGATCCGTAACTTCCTTGGTCAAAAGGTTGTCTTCCGAGTTCAGATGCGCGAAGGCGTAACTGTCGAGGCTTCCAAGAACCAAAAGGATGAGTTGACCCTGACTGGTAATGATCTTGAAGCCGTTTCTCAATCAGGTAAGTTTATCTATATACATATTATTTTGTGTGTATGTATGTGCGTGTGTGTGTGAGTATGTAGGCTAATTTTGTCTTGTTTTTCTTTGTAGCTGCTGATATCCAACAATCTTGCTTGGTCAAGAACAAGGATATCAGAAAGTTCTTGGATGGTATCTATGTCTCTGAACGTAATGTTCTCGAGGCTTCTGATTAAAATCCATGAACTTCTGTTTACCACCACCTTAATAAAGATACACAACGGTCCCGGGATAGGCGGCAATAGTCATCCCACCCTTTCTTTTTTTTATTTTCTTATATATTTTTTCATTTTTTTTTTCCAATGTGTGAATCGAGTGAGGGAATGGTTATCATTAGCATTAGAATATAAAATATGTGTTTGTTTTAAAGGAATTATAAGAGAGATACACATGGACTTCTTCTTGCCGGTAAGTATATCAATTAGAACAAAAGAATATATTAAAATGTATAATATTTGTGCCTGTATACCAAATATGATTTCATGCCAATAAAAATCTCATTTATTTATTATCTACACTTTGTCTTACAAGTCCATCTTTTTTGTATAAACATCATTCTGTACAATTTTTGTCTGCTGTTTTGTTGTTGTTTATATATATATATATATATATATATATGCGTGTTTGTATAAAGTAGAGAGTAAAAGAACAGGTTTGATCCATAGAATTTCTTATATCCATTATTAAAAAAGAAAACCTCTTTGCCTCTCTTTCTAATCTTCCTTTGATAACTGTCTCCAGACCGCATTAGTGTCATCTTCATCTTCGCTGTGGTTACGTTCTTCCTTGTCGAATTGGGATACGTCGACAGAAACATCTCCTTCATCCATGTATTTAGCATCAGACAAAGCAAGAGACTTGTCTTGTTCAAACAATTGACGACCTTTTTTTTTAGAGAGAAAAAAACAAGCAAGCAATAGATATTAATTACCCACTTTGATCCAGAATATTCAACATAATCCAATATAATCCAATTTTTACCATTCAATCTGTTCTTCAGCTCTTTCATTCTGGCAATCTTCTCTTTGTCTTCTTTTGCCTCCATCTCCTTATCGAATTCAGCCTTCCACGCCATGAATCTCTCTACTGTCAATTTGGTGCCTCTGAACTTCGCCTGTTCGATTTCCTCTTCTTTACGTTTTCGTTCTTCTTCTACTTCATCACGAACTCGCTGGGCATCAAGGACAATCTGATTTAATTCTTCTTTGATAATCGAAGCCAATGTAAAAATCATTGCCATTCCTAAAGAGTCCTCTCCCTTTTTTTTGGTTTTACATATATTATTATCAGTTTTACTTTTATTTTTATTGGTATTGGTATTATCTCTATTATATTTAACTTTCCACTTTCTCTCCAACTTACAGCCTCTTTCAATGCCAAGTCGATTCGTTCCACATAACTCTCGGGAAGTTCGCCGTCTACAACCTCAATATTATACTCGGGTAGCTCATCGGGGTACTTTGGTGTATATTTTACATGAAGAACCACAGTGCCTATATGAATAACAAAAAAAAAAACTACGGTCAATAATCTACATCCATTAGACATGGATTACTTTATTTACATGCTGTTTCTTCGTCTTCTTCATCAGGTTGGATAGTAATACGGAATTCCTTTTCACTAATGGCTAAAAAGAATCAACACAACAGTAAACATAATTTAAGTTTCTTTTTTTTTTTTAGATCTTTAACATGCATTTTTCTTAAAACCTATATCTGGTATTCTTTCGTTCTCTTGTTCTTTGGTTCTTTCTTTTAAAAAAGCAAAAACTTTTCAATTTAAATTTTTACCTTCAAATTCTTCGGGGTAAATTGATTCAAGAGCCTCGAGTTCGTTTTGTTGCTCTTCAATGTAATCTGGATTGTGGTCGTTGTAGGTTAATTTATTGTTATTTATTTTTCTTTACTCGAATCTGAACTGGGATTAATGACAACAAACTAACCTGTCATAATGAAGTATTAATTAATAACAAATGTAATAATGGTAGTAATGGTTTGTTTGCTTTTTTATTTTATTACTGTTTTTTGAAAGAAGTAATAATAATAAAAATTAATATTATAGTTTTAAAGTAATGTAGCCCAAAAAAAAAAAAAAAAAAAAAAAAAAAAAAAAACGCGCCCTGTTCGGGATTGACTTGGAGTTCTTCTTACTGCACCACATTAAACACCAGCTTATTTTCTGTTGCGTCACTTCTTATAAAGACTTGTCTTTTACTTTTTATTTTATTCTGTTTCAACTTTATTCTGTTTCAATTTTTAAAAAAAAAAGTTTATGAGAAACCAAGACATTATCTAAAGCCACAATTGTTCATAGGTAAAAGTGGTTTTAGACCTTCAAACTTTAGCTACAAACAAAACCCTAAACACTCTTGAACGCAGTTGAATACCGTGTCTCTAAAAGCCAATACTTATCATCTGCTTAAAAAGAGGGTTTTTTTCTTTGTTTCTTAGCGTTTTATGCGATATTCGATCGGGTGACAGCTACATAAAACCTAAAAGTTCTGAATTTTCTTGCTCTGGTGCTTGTAACTGTATAGATGCTTAAGCAACCCAGTTGTAGTGAATTTTCTGTAACAATAGAAAAAGAAAAGGTTTTAAAGATGTATCTTTTAAGGACCAGTCTAACTTTGGGCTTTTGCTCAACTGGTTTCCACCATTCAAGCAAGATGTGTTTGCAAGTATGTTACTCGGATCGTATTCTTGATGTGTTCATCTTTGCGATCATATACACATATATATGGCCCCCCGAAATAGAAATAATTGGTATTTAACAAATCCACCGGTAACCTCAAAAAGAGGTTTAGTATGTGTTTAAGCTCCAGGTACGGTGTAACACTTTTGAGAGTCGATGTATGAAATAATTTACAGTCAGTGCTCAATTTTAGTGATGAAGAGAAGAAGAAAAATAGAACAGATCATTTAGATCAATAGATCGAGTTTTGATTTTATTCTGTATTAAAATAAATGTCTTTTTACTTAAAGTTTATGTTATTAAAGATACTCTATATTACCAGAACACAGAAAAGAATCAAGCTATTTGATAAACCGTTTATATTTGGCACTGGCATAATTATAACATTCTTACTACTGCCAATATTGTTACAGATTTTTAGTTAAAATTGTTCCAAATCTTGTCTTTTTTTTTTTTTCCCTCTATGATTTCTAGCTCAGCAAAGCTCCATTTATATAATCCAAAAAAAAACTCACTCACTCTCCAAACAAATGTGGCTTGCGATATTCAATGGATTTAGAGAGTAAAAGCAAGTCGTTCTTTAATTTTTTTTTTAAGAGAAGAAAAAAAAAAAGTCCAAAAAAAAAGGACTTGAATTTCTGATATTTTATCTTAATTTATTTTATTGATTGTTTAATTACTTTATTACATATACACATATTCACATACATACATAAACTTCTTTAAAATGACTGACATGGAAGTTACACCTATTTACTCGCAAACCAAGTTTGCTTCCGACAATGACCTCAATGATCCCAAGGTTCTTGAAATGTACCTGATCTCTGCTGACATTGTCAACAGTAAGTAACCAAATAAAAATAAGACAAGAAGGAAGAAGAACTTACAACATACAACAGTTAAAATCATATATATATATAATTAAAATTGCTTTTATTAACTTTATTTTTTATTTTATTTTTAAAAAAAAAAATTAGCTGTCCTTCCCCTTGTTATTTCCAAGGTTTCTCCTGGAATCTCTGTCAGCGATCTCTGCCAGTTTGGTGATGATCTCATTCTTGCCAGCGTATGTATACAATAGTTCAAGTAAAAAAAAAATATCTATATAAATCAATTAATTTAATGTTATTTTTCTTATCTTTGTAGACTGAAGGTGTTTACAAGAACACCGAGAGAGGTATTGCTCTCCCTACATGTGTTACTATCAACAACCTTGTCCAGTACTACTCCCCTCTTCCCGAAAACGACTACAACCTCAAGCCCAATGATCTTGTAAAGATGTAAGCCTATTTTCTTCTTAAAAATTGTATGAATCCATTGTACTAGATCAAACCATAAATCGAGAAAAATGTGCAAGTAAAATACTTTCATGAAACTAAACCAAACTAAACGCAATCTTTTTCTCAATGAATGATAATAATTAGTGAGTTGGGTGTTCATGTCAATGGTTATATCGCTACTGCTGCCCACTCCACCATTGTCAACCCTACTCCCAGCCAACCTATCGGTGGTCGTGCTGCTGATGTCATTTGCGCTACTTACTTTGCCCATGAAGCTGCAATCCGTATGCTCAGACCCGGTGTTAAGGTAATAAAATGAGAGAAAGAGAGAGAGAGAAATGGAAGGATATATGATATACGTATATTGTATGTGTGGTTACTTTGAGTATTATATTGTATTTAAACGTTATTCTTTTTATTTTTGTATTTGTAGAGCTCAGAGATCTCCCGTGTTATTTCCGAGATCGCTGCGTACTACCGTTGCAAGCCCGCAGAGGGAACCTTCTCTTCTCTTATGAAGCGTTTTGTATTGCGTGCCGGTAAAGATATCGAGAACCAGTTGAACGAGGAGATGACCGTTAAGGAATTGGAGAACTTGGACTTTGAGATTGAAGCCAACCAGGTTTACCAGCTTAACATTGTTCTCACCACCAGTGATGGAAAGGTAAGAAATTACTTTTAAAAAGAGAAAAAGAGAAATAGGAAGGAATGTATAATATATATATATATGTACTGATTTTCTTATTACTATTATTATCTTTAAAAAAAAAATAGGTCAAGACTGCAGAAGACAAGCCATTCCTGTACCAGAGAGATGTAAATGCTTCTTACCAGCTCAAGATGCGCTCTGCCCGCCTTGCCTTCAGTGAGATCAACGCCAAGCACACCGTCTTCCCCTTCTCCACTCGGTAAGTTTCATTATTCTTGCGTATCTAATGTATAGAAATAGGGAAACAAAATATAAATTTGATGTATTTATTGATTTAAATAAAACAACTAAACATGATATACATGTATAGTGCTTTGTCTGGTAACCAGGCTCGTCTCGGTTTGGTATCTTTGTTGGCTCACCACCTCGTTACCCCTTACACTGTTATGCGCACCCAACTCTCATCTGATCTTGTGGCACAATACAAGTCCACTGTCTTGGTATTGGCCGATGGACCTATGCAGTTGACTGCCGCACAGCCTCTTCCTTATGTACATTCCCAGTACTGCATTCCCCAGCCCACCAACGCTGCCAATGTTCTCAGCACACCTGCTGTCAAGCAAGCCAGACCTACCAAGCACAAGGCTACAGCACTCGATGTAAACTTTGGCGAACGTCGTGTTGATGTCCAGGATGTTGATATGGATTAAAAGAAGAAGAGCAAGCAAGCAAGAAAGAAAGAAAGAAAGAAAAAAGCAAGAAAAGCGTGTTCATTACATTCTCTCAATTTACAACACTCGCACAGACTCTCACGCACAAACCCTCTATCTATCTATTTCACTCACTCACTCATACGCTCACTCTCATACACTCACATCTCCTTTAAAAAAAAAGAATCACTTTCATCAGCACCAAACACACCAAACACACAACATGCATGTATAATGGCACAACATCCAAAAAAAGTAAAAAAAGTTATAAAAAAGAAAGAACAAAAAAAAACCGCTCAATTTTTGTATCATCGTCAACTTTGCCTTCCCCCTCACCCGTTTCATAGAGAGAGTATATATATACATATAATGTATATGTATATATTTTGTTTTGTTTTGTTTTTGGTCTTTACATAGTATCAAAAAGAAGTATATTAATAAAAAATAATAATAATAATAAGAAATTATAAGAAAGTACACGGTACATGGTACAAAGGCACAAAAGTACAACGCAAGTTTGATTATAAGAGATATATATTTGATAGTTTTTGAAACAAACTCTTTTTTTTTTCTTGTTTGTTCAGATCATGTTATTATTGATGCTTTTATTATGAAGAGGTATCTGAAGAACGCAGCCAAGTAAAGAATGTACCATACTGCTTCTTTTGAGGCTGTTCCGGTGGAATAGCAATCGCAACAGAATCCGCTGTTGTTGATTGTGTATGTGGTTGTGTATGTTTCAAATGTGTTTGAATGCCATGAGATTGATTAGCCGGTGCTGATGTTGATGTTGATGTTGATGATGATTGTTTTGGTGGTGGCGGTGCTGCTGCTGCAACCTGTGCATAAGATCGGGCAGAGTCGTTATCTGCATGAACCAATAATCCTTTCTCAGCTCTAATCTCATCCCTTCGCCTGACCATCAAGTATTCTTCCAACAGTTGAGCATTTCTCCAGTTGCATTTGAACAAAACATCAAGAATATCGCCTGCCACAGGAGTCAAACCAACCTATATAGATATATTATAGTGTAAATATAAATGTACGTATTGTGATTAAATATTTTTTATTTTTTTGACATACCAAAAAGTCCATCATCACATTTCCCAGCATCTGGAGCAATAGGCTCCGTGGAAGATCTGCTCTTGAGGCTATCCGTATAATTTGCAGTGCCATGATCATACTAATCATGTCTCCAACCACAGGAATCAAACCTTTTTATAGATATAGATATAAATATGTATGTATATATTACACGAATGTCTATATGTGTATATGATATTTACCAACAATTGGATCCAGTCCAATCTGACAACAACAACAGTCAAACCCTTTGTCAAGATAAACAGCCTTTCTCTTCACGCTTCTCAAGACATTTCTGTCTCTCTCGTTGAGAATTATGTCTGGAGTGGCTTTGGATTGCCACCAGTGCCTTCTTTTTGAGTGAGCTGCCTCTTCAATAGCTGCCTTTATCTCGGCATCGGTTGCAACCACAGAAGGTTTGTTGAATCTTTCGGCAGCCTTTCCCAATACCAGACGTTTGGCTATGGTGGTCATGTTGTTGCAAGAAGAAGAAGAAGAAGAAGAAGAAGAAGAAGAAGAAGAAGAAGAAAAAGAAGAAAGTAAGGAAAAGAAATAAAGAGACAAAGAAGTAGTAGATAAGTTTTTCTGTTAAGCTCGACACACACACACACACACACACACACAAATAAATAATAGTCCGTCGGGCTTGTCCCTATTTAGGACAAGATATATATACATACATTATACATATATAAATAAGCTGAAAAAAAAAGACATCATTAGTACGTCGGTGGAAAGGCATTATTTTATTACGAAAAAAAATACAAGCTAAAATATTAGACACTAATTCTCTTATATATACTTTGAAAAAAATGATCTGATGATATATTTGTCTACTATTATGACAGTGACAATGAAAAGAATGATTAAAGTGCACACACAAAAGGAAGCAAAATTATAAGTAAAAGACCAAAAAAAATATAGGAAAGAAGCAGAAGAGAGAATGAAAAAATATTAGCCAATTAGTTGATAAAAAAAATTGCTCTTTTTTTGCCCTTTCTTTTTTCCTTGCTTAAAAAAAAAAAAAAGGCAAAAAAGGGACAAAATGAATTAAAACTCTTGTCCAATAATATTACTTGCATTCTTGTTATTTTTTGTCTTTTTTTTGAACTTTTAGTCTATCCGCACCAAATGTTAAACTTGCATTTGTTACCAAGGCAACCATAGAAAGTCTAAATTGGAATCAAGATGAGCAGTGTAGACAAACTTGAAACTCACCTTACAACTCATTCATATCTATAAAATTCTTTGCGCAGACACACGCAAGCTAAAGATTTTGGGACTTTCTTTTTTAATGAGGAATTAAGGATGGAAGGTCTATAGACTGTGTAACTCATCCCAAATGCAAAGAAAAAGATTCCTAGAAATTACATACAAAATTGTGAAAATGAATACTGAAAGAAAAATGTAAAGCAACAGTAGGAAGATGAAAGTTTAAGTACTTTATTCATTTTAGTTCATACATGTACATATATATCATAAGAAGCTACTACACTATTTATTATTATTATTATTATTTTAATAGTTTTTTTTTGAATTTTATAATATTGAATATACACACCTGTACAAGAAAGATAAAGAAGTATATTTCATACATGCATGTATTATATTTGGAAGGTCTAGAGAATATAAAGAAGTAAAAGGAAACACTGCTTATATATATATATACATATATATATATATATATATATGAGGAAAGGCGTACTTTTTTTTTGGGATTAAAGCAAATAGAAGCTGAATAGAAGTTTTTTGATTATCTTTCCAGAACATTCTACAGGTTACCTAGGGAATCATTTATTCTCTTTTATTCTTTTTCGAATATATATACATATATAAATACCTATATAAGCGTATACACCCACCCACCCACATATATACGTGTACATGTACATGTATATTTACGTGTAAGAGATTATCAACCTACAAGCAGCCAAGAGTAGAAAGAAGTAAGGTATGTAAGAAACCAAGAAATTAAGTAAGATTAAGAGTGTAGATATATATGTATATGTATATGTAGGTATGCATGTAAATATTCATATATCTATATACTTTTGTATGTATTTGTGTGAGCTTACAGTCTAAGAATATTTACTATAGCTTGGTTCCTATAGAGTGGTTTGTTGTATATCGTCTTTTTCTTCTTCTTCTTCTTCTTCTTCTTCTTTGCTTATAGAATGAACCTCGATGGCTTAAAGGGTGATTTTTGGCCTTGGATTCCAAAGGGTTTTGAGGCTTTTTGGATGATAAAATAGAAATTCTAGTTGATTAAACTATGAAAGATGCTAATTATAATTATAATTATAATTATAATTATCAAAATTTTTAATTTTTTTTTTTATTTTTAAAAATTAAAAAAATATATTTCTTATTTTGGACGATGTATCTCTTTGAACAAATTCTTCTATTTTGTTCTATGAGTTGTTCTTTTTTCTTCCTTTATCGGCACAAACAAACTTGCATCGTATAAAGAGTTTCTTATTCTTCTTTCTTTTTGATCTTATATTTTTTTCCTCAACATTAAACTTCGATTATCTTTAATAACCTTTCTTCCTTTATCATTTTCACCATCATTGGTTTTGATTTTGTTTTATTATTAAAGAAATAGGCTTTTTTATATATATATATAATTTTAATTTTAATTATAATTATAATTATAATTATAATATAGTATATATAAAAGCTAATGATTATCAGATTAATTAATAATTAATTATCATTTTAATTATTTAAAAAAATCTGTCAATTCCCCATTTTTACATATTTTATTCTGCCATTATTTCTATTCTAAAACGCCCATTCACAGAAATCATACACGAAAATGGTCAACAATCAATCTAATCAAATCACCCCAAACTTTACTGGCTGGCGATTTACTGGGTCTAAAAATGATTCAAGAAGTACAAATGTCCCAAATCAGACCGGAAAAGAGCACACAAATCAAAGTAAATATTTCATACAGATACATATCTTAGAAAGGCTTGCTTGACCGATGTATCCTTTCATCACCCGTTTCTAATCAAGGTCAACTGATATTGGATCTGTCATATCCGACCAACTGCGTCCAAAAGGTTCCTCCTAAGCTCAGTCTTTTAGCAGAACGAAATCCATTCGAAACCAGTTTCTCTCAAGTACTGTCCCCAACATCCAGACAACCATGGCAATTCTCAGGTCGATTAAACAAAAAGACAGAAGCTGGTAATCATCTACTATTTCTTTTTTTCTTTTTTTCTTTCTTTCTTTCTTGGCAACAAAATCATTAATATCCTATCTATAGAGAAACAAACTCTCAAAAGACAACTTGCACCTACAGAACCAAGGCCGGACCTTTCGGAACTAATGAAGCATAGTCAAACGATCACAAAACCAGGATCACAATCACAATCACAATCACAATCACAATCACAGCCACAGCCACAGCCACAGAGAAAACGCTATCGAAAATCTCAAACGCCTGCCTACGACCCAAAATACGAACTAACACAAGAGCCAACACCATCTCCAACCTGTCCAAAACAGGCACTTTCATCAAAACAGCCAATTGATCCCTCTGAAAAAGAAAAGCGAGCCTCATTCTTGGAAAGAAATCGACAAGGTATGTTGAAATATATATATACATACATCTTTGTACATCTATAAACACCATTTTTGTTCTTATATTTAATTTGTTTTATTTATCTATTGGTTACAAATCAATGCGTTATTTATTGATCGTTTAATTTTATAGCTGCTCTAAAATGTCGACAACGGAAGAAGCAGTGGTTAAATAGCTTACAAGACAAAGTAGAATTTCTTTCAGAGGACAACCGACAACTACAATTAGAAACAGCTCGGCTCAAAGAAGAAGTAATGTACCTCAAAGAGCTATTGGCTTTTCACAACTGTCAACCTTCAATAGAATAAATGTATCCATTTTCCCTTTATAATATTATGCCCCACCTTTTACCATTCACCCTTTACATCCCCCCCTTCTTTTATTTCATTTCACTTTATTTTACCTCATCTTGCTTTATATACACATATTAATATATTTACTCCATTTTATTCTAAGCACACAAGCACACACACAAACACATCTCTCTTTATGTCTCTCTCTTTTTTTCTTCTTCGTTTCTTTAGTGTGTATACAATAAGCCATTTTTATCAAATATTTTATGCAATGCACACACGTAAATACGCGCACTCCCACGCAAATTCTCGCATCCACACCTACAAATACCAACATACCAACATACCTACATACCTGCATACCTACATACGCACATACAAATGCTTGTCAATTGAACATAATGTTGATATATATATATATATACTCTATTTTTTCCTTATAAAAAAAATCCCATAACCATAAAAGAACCCACTTTCTGGAAAAATATCCACATTGTAATGATTGAAAGCTGACTTGATGCAATGGTTATATTTATATACTTTTTTCTTTAATTTTTGTTAAGAAAATATTACAGTAAACTTGACAAGCATATAGACGCATTCGAATACCAAGAGAACTTGAATTCATGATATTTACAGAAATTATTAAATGATTTTATCCTTAAACCCAACCCACCCACCCATACATACATACATACATACATTTATATATGTATGTTAATGCGCACAGTTTTTATATTATTATTGTTATATCATTTATTCAACAATTACGCTTCAAGAAATCTAATAATACTCTATTTATTTTTATGTATATATGTGTATCTATATATATATATATATATTTGGTGAAAAACATAAAGTCTAATTATTCTATTATCTTATTTATTATTATTTTTTACTTTGCTTCATCATTCAAGAATCCAGAAACCAGTTTCAATACCTGTTCAGGCTGTTCAGCGTGTACTACAGAATACAAACATAATAGACAAAATCCAGGTTACATGAATATATATATATATTTAATCTTTTTTTTTTTTTAAAAAATAATAATAATAATAATTTACCCCAATGATTTGCGTTTTCGACAACCTCGAGACGTGAATTTGGAAACATTTGTTTGATTTGATCAGCATGTTCAAGGAATGGTGGGTAATAAGGACTCTTGCCACCGGCAATAAACAAAGTCTTGTTGTTGTAAACCCTGTCGACTGTCTCAAACCCACCTACGCCCGACAAGGCCTGCCCAAGAATCGAAAGGGGTACCCGAAACTTCATCGTACCGTCTTCCTGGCGCCGAAGGTTGGTCAGTAGAAACATCCGGACCCCAACATTGGGTTCATGTCGGGCCAAAAGAGCATCGGCTTCACTTTGCTTGCGGACCTTTGCGGCTTCGATTTCTTTCATTGCTTCGACATAAGTTGCAAAGTTGCTCGAGACCTTTAAAGATACCGGTGGCATGTCTACCACAATAAGCTTGGAGACCGTTTCTGGAGCCTTGAATGCGGTTGTCATGACAGCCTTTCCGCCCCTTTTTTTTTTTGGTCATTTTTAAATATAGTCAATTAAAGAGGAGGGTAAGAGATAGTGTAATATGGTTTAGTTTTATGTTTTGTTGTTGTTGTTGTTATTGGATTTCATTAATTAGTCTTACATTGAGTGCCCAAGTAATACTGGTTTATGAATATTGTTTTCAGCAATAAATGTGATTAGATCATTGGCCATGGCATCATATGTATGGGTTTTTATATGAGGACTGTCACCATGGTTACGCAAATCCTAAAGACAAAGGCAAAAAAAACCCCCCCACCCAATACACCTCAAATTATTTAATATACATATTTATATATATATATGTGTGTGTGTGTTTATTACAATGGCGTAAATATCTCGGTCAAGACGTGTAGCCATGGCTTTGGCAAGTGATTTCCAATTTTGCTTTGAGCCAAAAAGACCATGACAAATTAGAAGAGGCGATTTGTCCGAGGAGGATGAGTACTTGTCAAATGACAATCTCACCGAGTTTGATGAGTAATGTCTTTGGGTAGTCTGAACTAATCGACGAATGAACATTTCTTTTTAAAATTATAAATATATGTATATATATATAGAAAGAGAGAGAAAGATTAAGAGAAGATTTAAAATAAAGGTCTCGGATTCATTAATACAAAAATCATAATCTTAGTAGTCACATCAGTTAAACTAGTGTGCATGCTTGTTGTTGCTCTTATGTGTGTGTGTGTGTGTATGTATAGGTATGTAGGTATGTGTGTAGACAGACAGACAGAAAAACTCGAGTACACACCCAAAAGATTAGTTGTAAGAAAATATTTAAATTTATGTGTCTTGAGGGTATACAGGCCAAAATAATAATAATAGGGAAACGATATAATTAAAAGATAAAGGAAAGGAAAGGAAGAGGTAAGGTAAGGAAAATAAAAATGAAGCGTATTTGCGTGTTGGTATTGGTATGGGTATTGGTTTGCGTGTGAGTGGGAGCCTTTGCGTATCTTGTACATGTCTGTCTGTCTGTCTGTCTGTCTGTCTGTCTGTATGCGTGTTTGTGTTTGTGCGAAAGAAATACTTCTTGGATAAGCAAAAATAAGACAATATATATGTATATATGTATATAAATATAAATATAAATTATAGCTGTAATAATAATAAATGTAATAATGATAATAATAATGGTAATAATAATAATAGTGGTAATGGTAATAGTAATAAGGATAATAAATTGGTAAAATCAAAATAAAAGATAGGCAGAGAAAGAAAGAAAGAAAGAAAGAAAGAAAAGAAAGAAAGAAAATACTTTGGCATTAAGAAGCAGAAAAGTGTTTGTCAGGCGACATGGGCCTACTGGTATTAATAGAAGGATCAAGCACAGGTGGGAAAGGTCCATTGTTGTCGTGGTGGTTGGCATAAGGATAACCAGATCCTACATAGCCTTGCTGTTGTTGTTGTTGTTGTTGTTGCTGGTGGTGGTGGTGGTGTTGCTGTTGTTGTTGCTGGTGATGATGTTGGGGTGCATATCGTACATTTACATCATTAGGAGGATACTGTCGTTGGATAGGAGGGCCGGGCCAATATTTGTCTGCTCCCATAGATTCACCGATAGGCTCAGGTTTGATAGATGAATATGGTTCCTGACGATCATAAACCGACTGACTATTGTTAGAAGATGAAGACGAAGTAATACGTGAATGTGCCATTGAAGTGTCCATAGGATGTCCAGATGGGAAGTATGCACCATCATGGGTATTATTACTTCCAGAAGGTCCTTGTTGCTGTTGTTGTTGTTGTTGCTGTTGTTGTTGTTGTTGGCTTATCGAATAAGGGGCAGGGTTGACCATGAAAGGTACATCGGCACGCATAGACTGATTGCTGTCATCCGATCTTGCGGAAGATGGCAAATTTGTAGGCGACACAACCGAAGCGTAGCTTTGGTAAGGATATCCCTGATACCCAGACGAGTAACCAAAATCATTAACAGGCGATGTTGGCAAACTCATGTAACGCGAGTGTATTGGTCCTCCACCATAACGTTGTTCTTCTCCCATGCCCATTCCAAAGGCAGACGGCGGTGGACCAGCTACAGAAGGTCCTCCTCCTCCTACTCCTACACCTCCTACACCTCCAGCACCATTCTCGATGTCTTGGTAACGTGTATGTGAATCTGCATAGTGACCGGGACTGCGACCACGGACCACTAGAGGGGCAGACACACATGTGGCAACCCGGAAAGTCTTTTCAGATGTGGTTTTTGCGTACAGATCGACGACAATTTCATAGTACTGTTGGGCAGCACGTCTTTTCCCATTGTTGGCAGTAGCAGTTTTGAATTGCATGCGTTCAAAGGTAACAACATTGTGATTTGATCCTACCGTGGCCAGGTGGAGATTTCCGCCTGCACGTACCATGCGAGGTTCAGGTACCATCTGAGGACCCTTGTCACGCTTAGGAGTGTGCTGTACAAGATCAATCTTCTTTTCGCCGCTTGAGATACGTGCCCCGACACCAATCGTGAAGTAGTCTACTTGGTGAAGTTCTTGATTCTCGGACTTTACGAGACAGGGTATTTCAGGAGACTGTAGAAGGTAATTCAGGCCATGTACTTCGAATGCTGCACTGACTTGGAAGTAGTTGCGTCGATAACACGTCCAGTCTTGGTCAGCCCGAAAGAAACCTCGATCCATTTTGACTTGAATTTGAAGGTGGTACCTAATAAGAAATATTAAGATAATATAGAGTACCAAGAAGAAGAATTTGTTTATGTATGTATAAGTGTACGTGTGTATAAGTGTACGTGTGTATAAGTGTATGTGTGTATCTGGGGATTTTTTTTCATAAGCTATACTGCCCTGTACTGCAATGCACTGCAATGCACTGCACTATAATGCAATAAAAGGTAGTGTAGTGTAATTTAGGGTATTGTGTTGTAGTGAAACTTTACCCGTTTGTTTGGTCCATATTCCAGATCTCCAGTAATTGCTTAGTGTTCGAAAAACCAGGACCTGTTTCAAAAGTAAACATGGATGACTCTGTTCTACGGCGTCGAATTGGAGCTCCATTGGGGTAGGGATTAGAATGGAATGTTGTGGTTGTAAAGCTGGCAGCTCGAGAAGGCAGAGGAGGGCGTTTGCGAATGAGATTAGGAGGACCGGACATCTTTGCTGAATCTGGAGATGTTGGACTGGTTACGTCCGGGCGTGGGGTAGTTGGTTGAGACATTGAGAGCATCCTGAAGGAAAGAATTTTATTTCGATTTTTTTTTATGGTGATTAGTAAATGATGAAGTGCAAAAGTTAATTTTGTGTATGTATGTATATCTTGTATATGATTCTTTTTTATTATTATTTTTATTTTAGTTTTTAGTTTTATTTTTTATTTATTTTTTATTATTTTTTTAAATGTAGATGATGTACTAAAGTAACTTACCCTTGAATTGGTTGTGACATGGCGAGATGAGACGAACCACTGCTATTGGAACCAGCCGGGTGCGGTGGATATTCGTTACTGTAAGGATAGTTGGAAAGGGCCATGTAGTTGGAAGACTCTTGTGCGGGTGACCATTTGTTGTCTTGCATCGCTCCAATGCACACGCTCCGAGTTATTTGCCACCCTTTTTTTTTTTCTTTTTCTTTTTTGTTTTTTGTTTTTTTTTTTTTTTTGGGTATTTCTCTCTAATTTGGTACTACAAGAGCCATCTACACACGTGAGACGATGGCCATGTGTGTGGATCAAGAACAAGGTGGTTAGAAAAGGCAAAAAAGATGGTTTTGCTAAAGGCGAACCGAGAAGCAGTGTAAGTTGATAGGGTTTGACTAGCAATGGCTTGAGCTATGTAAGGTCCTTTATATATATATATATATATATTTACTTATTTATTTTAGGCATTGCTTATTCTTTGTCTTCTTTTTACCCTTTTTGTCTTTTTGCTTTTTTTATATATAAAAAGATGTATGCCAATAGACTTTTCTTCTTTTACTTTTTTTTCTTTTTTTGGTTACCAAGGTAACCAGATTACACTACCATTTATGTAATATTGTTATATATATATATATATAATATTGTGTATATATATATATATTATTCATTATCTGAATTTAATCCAATTCAGTTCAGTTCAGTTCAATTCAATTCAATTCAATTCAATCCAATCCAATCCAATCCAATCCTAATCAATTCAAAGCCTATGATCCAAGTATTCAATATAACATCGTTTCTTTTATGGCTCAAGTAATAGACATTGACTATCAAAGCCATGTGTTTTGTTTCTTAAATAGCTTCAAAGCACATGTTATTTTCTCTTTAAAATGCGTTTCATCTATGCAAAAAGTAATGAATATTTATATTATATTACATTATTTATTTATTTATTTTACAGAATATCATCTAGATTTATAATATTCCAAATATATATTTTATTATATTCTTTTTTTCTAAAAAAAAACAAGTTTCATCCTTTTCATTTTTATCATTGCCATTCAATAAATGTGAACCATGCAAGGGCCAGCTACCCTTTTTCTTTGTGAGAGAGAGAAAAGGTTCGTTTGAACGTGAGTGAGCGTGTGTATGTGAGTGTTGTGTACCAGATTTTACCAATATTATTGCGCGTCATCGTTTTATATTTATATTTATATTTATATTTATATTTATATTTATATTTATATTTTGTGTCTTCTTCTGTTTTTTACTTATTTGATTATCGAGGTTTTAAGATTTCCCGTATCTATCCAATCAATTTTGCACATTCAGCTTATTACTTTACACAAGAAAAAAAGCCCACTTCAAAATATGGTGCCTCATGAGGTTACAAGTTCTTAAAAGTCAAAACTCTAATTTATACATACACATGTATAAATAAATAAATAAATATAGATATAGATATACATCTCTAACAACAGTAGAAATTATTACTAGAGACCATAAGTATCTCTCTACCTGCTTATCTATAGGTACATATGCGAGTGGGTTTAGTAAACCGTATACACAAACGAGATCAGGATTACTTTATCAGAAAAGTATGCAAGATCCCTTACCACAAATCATGCCAGATTATTTGAAGCCCGACAAATAAATACAAAATTCGTCTCTTGAATTTGACCATTTATCACCAAGTCAATAGGAAACAGAAAAGCCCAAAGGAGAAATTTATATTGCCCAACAAAATAAAATAAAAGATTATTTATGTTAAGTTATAGAATTAAAGGTAAATATTAGGATTTACTCGTAAAAAGAAAAAAGTAATGGAATCTAATACTCACTACAAGAGAAACAAATAGCCATAAAAAAACAGTAACAACAACAACAACAAAACTCCAATTCCACTAGTATTTTTTTTTGTCAAATTATTGCTTCCAAGAAAACACACACACAGAGAGAGAGAGAAGAAGGATAATCATAAAAGGGTCTTTCTCATATATATATTCTTTAGTATGGCTATAATGGTAGTGGTAGTGGTAGTGGGTGTAGTCATTTATGTCTTTATTTTTCTAGAGGGGTTATTTGTGAACAATATATATATATATATATAGAACGAGAGTGAGAAAGAGAGAGAGAGAGTCTGACTACCTTCTCGGGTACATCCGATCTACAGGTTATCTAAATGTGGCACAGCGTCATCAACCAACAAAATCAAGCTTAAATGAACAAATGGGTACATTATATCTGGTTACAATATGAAAATGAGAAAATAAATGTTCCTTCTTTAAGCGTACTTTGAGACACATTTGAGGTACACACAAAGAAAGTAAAGAGATTGATAGATTTGGGTTTATCAAAAGATCAACTTTGAAAATAAGAATGAACAATGATAGTGTATATGATATTCTCTTGTTAATTATGATTCTGTGACAAGATAATTGAATTTCTAAACACATCATAGTGCATTCTGTTTTGTTTTTGTCAAGACCATCAATATAAATAGTATACATTTTGTGGAAAAGAATAATGAAAAGAGGGGAGAGGTTCAAACGATTATTTTGAAACCTTTTTTTTTTAGCATTGAAGATATCGAATATTCCCAATTTGTCAATCCATTTTGACACAAGATATTCTTCTTTTCTATTATTCTTATGGGCTGTATTTTGTATTTAAGCATGTCTTTTTGATATCACTGGCAAATATGTACTGGTGTACTCAAGTATAACCTCTATATTTTATATATTCCAATTGAGAGGGTAACATAGTCTTATGTATATATCTCGTCTATGGTGTCATCTCTTCACTATTATTTTGAAGGATTAGATTAAATACTGATCCATTGCCTCTGCTAAAGTTTATATGGCTTTCTATATAACCAGTGTGATTATAATTGTAATTTGAAATTTAATAAGTATGAGTAAAACCACAACACATTGATAATTTTGATTTGCCTTTTGGGTTTAAAGAATATATATGTATATATGACATTGCTCCTCCCCCATCACTCCCCCTTAAATTCTTTCTCTTCTTCTTGTTCTTATATTGCTCCTAGGTTTTTTTTTGACAGCTGGTTGATATTTACAAGGAAAAAGAAGGGTATAGCTACATGCATTCCTTATCAAGAAATCATATCAGAGTGGGCAAAAATGACTGATATATATATATATATATATATTTTGTAAAAGCACATAATGTCTCCCAGGCTAAACTTATAAGCTTTTTCCAATTAATGTTTTGCTCTTGTACAACTATTACCATTATTATATGTTTCTTTTGATAATTCTCGAGTAATTGATAAAGAAGAATAAGAATATTAAGAATAAGAAGAAAAGCATATGATTTCACTAGTATTAAATACGAAAAAAGATATAGAATAATATAATAGATCAAGCTAATTGGAAGAATCTAAAAGATGCGTGCACGCTTTTGTATTATGCATATAAAAAAAAAGACGCATATCTTATTGATATCTTGTGATAATTTTTACAAGTATAATGAGAATAATGCAGTGAGATTAGTCTATAATTAGGTGTACGTGGTATGAATGTTTGTACATATTGGCTGGTCATACCGCACTAGTGAGATGGAGATTGTTATTTATTATGTACATACATATTTATATACCATGGATAAGTATATCAATTCAGTGCTTGACTGTAGTCATTCTTTTTTACTCATATTAAATGTAATGAGCTTGGGAATCTATACATATATGTTGAGTGTCAACATCATGTAACAGCCTATAACCCCTCAAATCAAGTGTTGTATTTTTTTTCATATGCATAAAAATAAGAAGAAGAAGAAGTTGTACCAAAACGTACCAAAACGTACCAAAACGTACAAAACGTACAAAACGTTCAAAATATTTACAAATAGACTCTTTCCTTTTCTTTTATATACCCTAACATCTTTTTATTATCCGCCATAATATATATACTCATACACTCGTAGCTTTGGTTATCTGTACTTTGAACGACAGTTAACAGGGAATGACAGCTGTTATTTTTACTTCAACAATATTTCAATTCTGTTAGCTTATCTTTCTTTATTTTATTTTTGCATATCCTAACAGCTATTTTATTTTGCTAATGGTTTATGTTATATAGTTTTAATGAGCTCATGTTGTGTATGTGTGCCACCCTTTTACAAAGGAACAAAAAAGGGTTCTGCAGTACATTTAATACAACCTTGACACCCCTTGAATATTAATTGATTTTTATTTGATATATAGTTATACCGTCAGATCGACATACTGAAATGCTACTACAAAGAAAATAAAAGAGTGTAATTGAGTGAATGAATGCTCCTGAACAAATCGATGGCTTATAATTAGTTGTTTGCCGTTTAAAGTAAATAATCTGGAAAGGTGAACGCAATTCAATTCAATTCAATTCAATTCAATTCAATTTCTGTACACAGGCACTAAACTTTCAAATCTATTGGGCTCTAACAGATTCTATTATTATGGTAGTAAAATGTTGACTACCATTATCTAATCAAACCCCCTTTTGTTTGAATCTTTTCCCCTTGTTTCTTTTCTTTTCTTTTCTTTTTTGTTTGCATAATTAATAAGCTCTTATTTCTTTTCTTTTGCGTTTGACATCATCAATCAAGGTCTTGAAAAAAAAAAGACAATAGCTTTAGGATAATGTTTTTTTCTTTCTTTCTTTAATAATGATAATGACTTTGTTTACATATAAATCTTATTATAATTGATTTAATTTGAATAATATATATCTACAATATCAATTCCTTGTACAATAGTGTCAATGAACAATGCGGAGAAATGGACAAAGATTAGGAAAAGGAGGGATAATGTCTATGTGTATTGTCTGATAAAGACTCTACAAGAAACAAACCAACCAACCAAATAAATAAATAAATATTATCAAAGAAAGCTTTATATTTATATGTCAGTGTGTTGAAAGAATGTCAAGTGCATGCATGTATTTAACATTGCTTAATTTGATGTATTCTGGGACACAACAGCTACAAAAAAAGCAAAAATAAAACAAAAAGAATAGAAAATAAGCAACATCTTTCTTTGTATTTGGTGAAATAAAGAATTACTTGAATTATACAAAAGATGTTTATCATTATCGTTATTTCTTACAAATTATAGATGATTATCTTCAAGACAAATCTCTGTCTTCAAGAGTCTCATTCCTCAAGGAGACAAAACTGAATAAAATACACTTACACTTACATTTACATTTACATTTACATTTACATTTACATTTACATTTACATTTACATTTACATTTACATTTACATATATCCATATATACATATGTACATATATAAAAGAAAGAAAGAAGGGGCAGGTGAGAAAAAGGGGTGTATTATATAAGAAGGGATGGGGTTGGGTTAGGAAGGGGATGCGAATGTAAATCTTCTTTAGACTTGTCTTTTTTTGGGCAACAGAAATAATAGAAAGGGAACGCGGTTAATAAGTGCCAAAATAAGCCACGGAGAAAGTTACATCAAAAGAAAAAATATACAATAAGCAATCAAAATCAAAAGGAACTAAAAGCAAAGATTCTGTTATTTATACACAGATAGACCATGATAATGATAATGGTAATGCTAATGGCAATTATTACAAAGTATAATACTAACAATAAGAAGAAGATGTATAGACAATGTCAGAGGTAGAGGAAGAAGACAGAGCAGTAAGTTGCTAAAAGCATTAATTAATCAAATTTCACAAATTCCAGAAATGTTAAGGGGCAGAGAGGGTAGTATTATATTTTTGCTTCCTGATTTCATTTATCCTAACTTCAAACACATCAAACAAGAATAAAGAGAGTTTGTACTCGTATTTTAATATGACAATAATAATAATAATAATGAAGCTCCTCAGAAGATAGTTGGTTAGTAAAAGATATATATATGTGGGTGTGGGTGTGGGTTAGTGTTGCAATTATAAGAAAGAATTTTTTTTTAAAAAATAAAAATAAATTAAAATCGTATAAATACAAGCGCACATCATCTACAACCATCTTTTAGTTTGTTGTTTACGAAATGTACAATACAGGTACGACCACACTTCCTTTCTACCTCTATGAATCTTTTTCTTTTATCTTCTTCTTGAACCTTTAAATTTATAAGTCTTTAGACCCAAATCAAAAGAGGTTAACAGCTACAAAAAAGAAAAGAAATACTCGATACAAAGAGGACAAAAGAGCACCAAATATTACTACTTCTATTACAATCAAAAATAAAAATAAAATAAAATAAAATAAAATAAAATAAAAATCACTCACTGTCCTTTCTTTTATATAACATGGATATGCCCATTAGAAACCCTTCAATTGACGGATTACATTCACCCACACAACCTTGGACCGATAAAACGTTCTGATCATGAAAAATCACCAAGACACTCTCTGTTGACCGGATCTAGTCTGCCTTTCTCTACTGCAATTGATAGTTCTATTCAAGGACACGTTCAATCAGATTGGCTGTCATTGACATCTAATGCCTTTCGAAAGCACTCAATTGCTGCAGATGGCGCCGATTTTTCGTGTCCACCAGCACCACCATTACCACAAGCATCGCTGCTACTACTGCAACAACAACAACAATATCAACATCAATTATCTTCTTCTTCTTCATCATCTGTTGCTGCTGCCTCTGCCTCGGCTTCAGCTTCTGTGCCTTTACCTTTTGCAACTCCAGTAATGATGTCTAATACCATTGATCCAACCGGTCTTTGGCGCCGCATGTCCATGCCCAGTGCAGCCCAGAATAAAATATGTGCATTGTGCCTCTGTCGACAGCCAAATACAGCCGTGTCCCGCAAAACATGCGGTCATTCCATTTGTCAACCATGTCTTGCCACATTACCATTTTCACTTTCACTAAATCCTCCTTGTCCAGTTTGTGTCTCCCGTTCACAGGTAAATATATCCATATATGTAAATGCATGTATATATAGTTAAGAATAATATATTAATTAATTAATAAATAAATAAATTTAATTGAGAAAGAGAATCTAATCAATATTTTACCAGTCAACACAACAAGATATTCAGAAGCCTTTACTATCACCATTGGAAACATCACAAATTGGAATCCCTTTAAACTATCTTCCTCAGCCAGAAACCAGTCGACAGTCTGCACTCCCAATCTCAATGCTTTCCAACCACACTTCATCTGATGCTCTTCCGATTTCACCTCATAACTTCCCTTGTCTAAAGCTATCCAATGTAAGCAAAGACATATGAACTAAATAAATTAGAATACAAAAGAACTGTTCATACTTATTATTTTCACTGTTTAGATTCCTTGGGACGTTTCTCAGAATGACATCCGAACTTTCTTTTGCCATTGCAGAATGCCGTCTCCTTCGGTTTATGCTCAATCAATTCATGTATGATCCCAGAATTATTCGATACAGATTCTTTTTTCTGTATATGTATATTTTATGCTTTATGCTTTATGCTTTATTTTATTTGATTTGATTTTTATTGACAGCTTTTACACACACACACACACACACATATATATATATATATATATATACACTTCTGTATGTAGATCATGATGGACCGTACAACAGGAAAAACTTTGTCAGATGCATATGTCGAATTTGTGTCTACGGCTGACCTTAGACGTGCCATCGATACTCGAAACCAAAAACCTCTCAAGGGACGTGTGGTGACAGCAACAGAATGCACTCAAGATGAACTCTTATCAATTGTGTTTTCTAAATGGCGAGGTAAATTTTGTGGAATATCGGCTATTCCGCCTGCTTCAGATGTAGTCAAGTCAATGTCCACAGCAGCAGGAGGAGGTGGGATGACATGTCCACCTTTCATCACACGTGAAGAAATCAATTCATTGCTGGTAGTCTGCAAAAATTACAAGGTACAAAAAAAAAGCAAAAGAAAAAATTTTCTTTGAAAGAAAATACCAAACACTAATTCAATAACTTTACATTTGAAATGAATTATTACTATTACTATAATTATCATTATCATTATCATTATCATTATCATTATCATTATTGAATTTGTGCGTGCGTGCGTGCGTGTGTGCGTGCGTGTGTGTGTGTGTGTTGGGAATTAATGATAGCTTCATTTCTCTCGCAAGTGTGCAGAACGTCCTTTTGAAAATATCATTAGTGTCATTGCAAAATACCCATGGCACCAGTCCTACTTGATATCAACCATGCACAGAGATCACATTTTTGAAATGCTTAAATTATCAATTGGTAAATATATGTATACAAATTACCCTTACCTTTTTGTGTGTGTGTGTGTGTGTGTGTGTGTAATTTCTGTCAATTATTTTCTTTACATATTATTACCTATTGCATGTACTAACGTATGCATCTATGTGTGTATGTGGGTGTGCAATTTCATATAAAAAAAAGAATCTCTTCGGGCTCATTTGTCAAAGGATTATGTTCATATTGATCCTACCTTATTGGAACGCCTGACGAGAGCAGGATTGATGTGCCCTGCATTTACCGAACGTCAAAAGTTGACACTACTTCAAAATGCTCGTATGGAATGCCCTGTCGATCTCTACCATGTAATCTGGCCACCTGTCAATGTACTCACGCCCAGTCTTTCGACCTCAACCACCTCTCCACTCTTCAACACTCCAACTGGTGAATACTTTCCCAATTTTCCAACTCAATCAATGTCAAACGCACCACAATATGATTATTTTGCGCCCAAGCCTCGTCTTTCATTTGCCCAACCTCAGACTATTCACGATGGACATGTATGTATTATTTATATTACTTTCATTTTTTTCTTTTATATATAAAAAAACTGCTCACTATAAATGAAATAAAATAATACAAAACTAACATTTATCTTCTTTGTTGGGATATGTTTGCTTCTAGGCCCATTTGGCACGTTCAAAATCTGCCTTTGAAGCAGGTTCCCTATCATTATTGTCTAGCCCTGGTGGTGTCAACGGTGTCGGTGTTGTTGGCAATCAGCTACACGACAGTAAGCCTGGAATCAACAGGCCTTTATTCAATAGCGCAGGCAATTCCTTGCGGGACCCTTTAGTCTGGCGAGATGACTCTGAGAAGCCTTGTGGCACACCTGGCTTAACTGCCTTTTTGTGTGACTTTCAGCGATTTTGCCGCACCACGCCTGAAACAAAACAACCAGAAACAGAAGCAAAAACAACAAAGAAATCAAAAACAAAAACAAAAGCGAAAACAAAAGCAGTAGCGGTAGCAGTAGCAGAAACAGTAGCAGAAGTAGAAGTCGAAACAAAAATAGAAAAAAAAGCAAAATCAGAAGCAGAAGATAAAGAAGAAGAAGAAGAAGAAGATGAAGGAGATGAAGCACCAGAGGATGGGAATGAAAATAAGAACGAGGACAGAACAGTAGAGCTGCCGTTGTTCTCGGACCCGTTTACAGAATCCATGACTTCGTATGAATTGTTTGGAGAATCTGATCAAACGCTGTATTCTCGACTCGATAGTGTTCCGGTACACCCTTCCACAGCCGTACAAAAGAAGACACCTTTGAAAACAACCCGACTGTCGCCTTGGGCAACCTCGTACATGCCTGCCAGTACGACAAGTGACATATGGAAAACGCCACCTCCTTTCACGTCGTCTTCATCTTCGTCATCTTCTCTGATAGAAGATCCACCTGTGGAAGAGAACAACAGCCCGGCGGACACTCTGGCTGTTTAGAGCACCAAATCAACAAACCAACCTAAAGAAAGATAAAAAACAAAAACAAAAGAAGGACACATGAAATGGGTCATAGTTGAATTTTTTTTTACTACTATTATTATTATTATTCAAACAAACACACGCAGAGAGAGCAACTACATTGGATATGTTTATTAGCAATAGTCTTTTCTTCTAAAGAAAAAAAGTATCGAGAGATTAAAGCCGTTCAGCAGCGCTCAACGGCCGTAGAAGATGTCAAAGATATTATATTGGTTATATATTTATTTTCTATATAACTCACACCATTTTTACTCACCTCCACACCAGCTTACCTTACCTTACCTTACCTTACCTTATTTTTTGAATGTAACTAAAATTGTTCGCAATAAAAATTACAAATACACACTTATCATATACTTGAAAGAAGTCTGCACTTATAACACGCACGTATATTCACATACATACATCATATGTATACACCTCTTTGTATTACATTCCATTCCATTCCAATTTGTTTATATATAAAATAAGACAAAGACAAAGAAAATACATAGAAAAAAAAAAGACAACCTACAAGAGGTTCTTTCCTTCTTTCTTTAATATTTTATTACTATCACTGTTATAAATATATATATATATAAATTTTACACGTCCACTCAAATACACATACACAGAGATAGGTAAGAATGGATAGATGAATGAATGAATGGATGAATCGATGTTTTCTTGACTAAAGTCAATTCATGTTTACAAAAAGAAAGAAAGAAATATACAAATCAATCGTACACTTTTTCTTCTTATTCATTTTCTTTTTAACTTCTTTTTTTTTTAATAATAACCGGGAAGAATGTAGTCAAGCTTCTTGACGGTCTCGGGATTTCTCTTCTCCTTAGCAGTCATGCCAGAGAACTTCATGCTACCCTTGAGGTCAGGCTTGAGAGTGTTCTCACGCACAGCCTTGTCCAGGGCTGGCAAGACGGCCATCAGGAGCTTCTTTGCATTGGCACCGTTGTTGACCATGTTTTGCATCACAGTCTCGACCGTGACGGCCTCTTCCTCGACGCGCCAGCAGTCATAGTCAGTCGACATACAGACCATCTGGTAAGCAATCTCGGCCTCGCGGGCCAGCTTGGACTCGGGCAAGGCAGACATGTTGATGATGTCGGCTCCCCAGGAGCGGTACATGTGAGACTCGGCGCGAGTCGAGAACGCAGGTCCCTCCATGCAGACCGCGGTTTTCTTGTTGTGCAGCTTGGCGCCAAAGTCAAGGATGTCCTTGTGGGCATAGACAAGCTCGGCAATACCGGCGTGGAAGGGATCCGCAAAGCCGGCATGCGCAACAACACCATTGCCAAAGTAAGTGGCCTCGCGAAGTCCACGAGTGCGGTCAATCAGCTGGTCAGGCAAGACAAAGTCGCAAGGAGGGATCTCCTCGCGCAAGGAACCGACAGCAGAGAAGGCCAGGATGGCCTCGACACCGAGGTGCTTGAGCGCAGCAATGTTGGCGCGCACAGGGACTTCGGTGGGAGTCAGGTAATGACCACGGCCATGACGAGGCAAGAAAGCAATCTTGGTGCCACTGGGCAACTTGGAGATGATGATCTTGTCACTAGGGAATCCCCAAGGCTAATTTTTTTTTTGGATATTTGTTAATAAAAAAAAAGTTGTATGCGTGTGTGTGTTGCTGAGGTAATCAATACACATATCAATCAATGAATTTATTTACTTACAGTCTCGGGGTTAACTTCCTCGACAAGCTCAAGACCTTCAAGGTTGTAAAGACCAGATCCACCGATAACGGCAATCTTGACATCGTGGTGCTCAGTCACAACCATGGTATTATGTATTATTCTCGGCTTTAGTTGCGGGAAAGAGAGAGAGAGAGAGAAAAAAAAAAGGAAGCTTTGAAGGGGTTTAATCTTCACTATCTTTGTACTAGTTTTTTTTCTGGATCACAGTCACATAAGTGAGTTTTATATTATACTTTTTGTATTTTTATTTTACAAAGCAAAAAAAATAAAGACTTTTATAATGAATTCTAGTATGAATCTTTATCAAAATGATAATAGTAAATGCTCAATTGAACACTTATATACATGTGTATATAAGAATAATTCGATCAATTTGATTTTCTCCCTTTTTTTTTTTTTTTTTGGTCTTCAAAGTACACTCACAAACCCACACTGCATAGATACCCAAAAAAAAAAAAGAAAAAGAAAGGAATTATTTGCTTGTCCACCAATCAAATATTTGTGTTGATTCAGTGTAAGAATTTAATTGGATACTTATAGCGAATATTTATTGGTAAATGAGTAAATCGCAATAACAATAAGAAAAATATGAACGAAAAATATACAGCAATAGTTTAAGATGTTGATCTGGTTACAAGATGTGATTTTCCATCGGCTTGGCTGGTTCGCAATATTATATATGTATATATTTAATACAATATAGTATAATATAATATAGTATTAAAAGAAAAAGAATAAGATAAGGTATATGTGTGCGAGTGTATACATGAGTGTAGATATGTATATATATATGTATATAAATAAAATTAGATACGTATAAGGTATGTATGTGTAATAGTAGTAATAAAGATAAAGAAATCAAGCTTTTCTATTATTCTTCTTCTTCTTTAAATAAATAGATACTCATAATAATAATAATAATAATGATAATGATAATGATAATGATAATGATAATGATAATGATAATGATAAGGTTAATGATAAAGTTAAATGTTAAATGTTAGTGGCAATGTTAATTACTATTATTGTTATTAGAGTCATTAGCTAGTCGAAGTATGTCTTGCCAAGGTAGTCTTTTCAAGCTCATAAAGAATCGAGTGATAGATATTCTGGTATATCACAGACTTTGATGACTGAACCTCTGCTTCCTTGACCTTTATTCCCAGTCGTCCACCAGCCCAACGTGCTTGATAGATCATCACGGTAAATTTGAGTGTTTCTTTTCGATAACTATGATCAACGTTAAGTTCTAGTGGACTCAGTGCTATCGGAATCTGACTATTGTTTTGGTTGTTTTGGTTGTTGTTATGGTCTGATGATGAAGATTCATCAAAACGACTTCCCAAACTTCCGGTCCCACTGTCCGGAGACGGACAACGGACAAACTTTTGCCATTCAGGATAATCGCATTGGCATGACAGTGAAAACGGCTCGGCCTTTATGGGTTGGGTGCGGACATTCATTGACATCAGAATATTGGCCAGGTCTTCCATTAATTGCTGAGGCGAGAGACGGAATAGGTGTTTACGGTTAAAATTGAATATACTTTTTGGGTGAGACGAGCGTTCGAAACTTGTATTTGTAGAAGAAGTGTTGCTACTGTATTTAAGGCCTGTAGATATAGTATTTTCTATACATATTTTTTTAATAAATATATGTATATATATATTAGATGATAATACATATAAAGGCAATGGCATATATATATATATATATATAATGACTTACCTTTAACTATTTCTGCAGATTGACTGGTGTGAATCTTTGGTAGTGGGGGAACAGGTGGTTTATCTGAAGGAGTTCCAGAACTTTCGGTTTGGTCACTCAAAGAACGGCGAGAAGATCCGTGTCTACTGACTGATAAACGACGCCAAGAACTGCGCTGTGGTCCGGCATTATCAGACTTCCACCAGAATTGAGATGGTTTCTTGGAAGATGGTGTGGATAGGGAAGAAAAAGGCGAGAGTGTGGCCGAAGGAGGTGCTTGGGATGGAATATTTTCGGCTGTTCTTGTTCTTGTTGTTGTAGTTGTAGTTGTCAATGATTTTACTGGCACTGGTACTGGCACTTGTGTCGACGCCGGTACTGTTACCGAAGTTGGACGAGACACTGTGGTGGCAGTTGTGTTGCGAGATGAAGACCGAACAGATCCAAATAATCGGGTAGCGTTTTCTTTGAGAGCCGCAGATGTGCGTTCACTACGGGAACGAGTGAGTGGTCGATGGTTTCCGGTACCCTGAGGCCGCAGACTGTCATCGACCATACTAAGACGGTTGGTTGCCGGTGTACGTTCAGACTTTCGACGCATGAGGCCCGGCAACTCATAGCGAGATTTGCTCTGGAGACTAGATGACGATCTACTGAGACTAGAAGACGAAAATGTCGGGAACTCTTGTTGTCGTTGTTGCTGAATTGCCAGCTTGGCTGCCATTTCCTCAAACTCCTTTCGTTCCTTGACAAGATAATAGATCGATACCAAGGGGTCGTACATTGCCGGCAGAGACTGAGGGTCGTCTTGGGACGGACGCTTCTTTTTACTGATCAGCGAGCGTCTCCAGATTGGCCGAATGGCCTCGTTTTGAGAGGCCGCCTGCTTTTGGTAATTCTGGTCAATCTTGGTAGCCGCTTGCTGGTACTCAGAAAGAGAAATATAACGTTCTAATTTGCTGCGAATGTCGTTTGGGTCTCCAAGGCCAAATCCGTGCATTCCCTGGACTATTTCCATGTCGATTGTCTTTAAGGGTAAGCGGTGTGGAAGGTGGTTTGAGGTCGGTTCGTCGTACCCCTTGTTCATCCATGGGTGGGCTCTGATGGTTGACAGAGTGGCTCTCTTTTTTGGATCGACTACAAGCAGACTAGACAGCAGATCAACACATTCTATAAAGAGAATTAAATTGTTTGTTTGAGTTTAGATACATATATAATAAGTAAGTTTATTATTATTATTATTATTATTATTATTATTTGATTTAATTCAATCATCCCACAATACACAAAGAACACCATATTATATTATAATTGTATTGTATTTTGGTACCTTTTGAGAGATGGTCAGGATAGTCGTCTACGATGCCTGATTTGATCTTTGCATGAAGTGCTGGTAAGCTTGTGTCGTCAAAAGGAACTCGACCACAGACCAGCACATACAGTACCACACCAAAACTCCACACATCTACTTCTGGGCCTGTGTACTGGCGTGCTTGTAGTAACTCAGGAGCTGCAAAGTACAATGAGCCGCAGAATGTGCTGAGTTGACTAGAAGGTGAGTAAAGGTTCGAGAGACCGAAATCGATAATCTTGATGTCTTCATCCCGGGTTATGAGAATGTTCTCTATCTTCAAGTCTACGAATATATAATATATATATATGTAAATAAGTATAAAAATACATATATATATATACACACACACACACACAAATTAACAATTCCAAAAATGGAAAGTGGTGGAGTGGACTGAGTTTAAGATCACTTTCTTTTCACACCAAAAAATGAAGATGAAGAAAGTAATAATAATAAAGGTTCAGCCACGCTCCGATATTTCCTCTTACAAACCTCGATGTACAATTGAATTTCGGTGGCAGTAATCTACACACAGATAACAGTTTTATAAGAGGAAAATAAATAAAGATGTTTGAACAAGAGTGACAATAAAGAAGAAGTAAAAAAAGGACAAATGATAGCAGCATTAATTTAGAACTAGAACTAGAATTGGAATTGGAATTGAAATCCTTACCAAGAGCACTAATGATCTGTCGAGAGAATTTGCGTGCCTGTTTCTCTCTTAATTTTCCATGGTTAATTATATAGTCAAGCAATTGGCCGCCATCGACATATTCAAGGAACATGTAATATTGATCTCCTTCTGAAACCCATTCCTTAAGCTGACAAATGTTTGGGTGGCGCAATAAATGCATAATAGCCATTTCTCGAACTGTACGTTGTTCTCTTTCCTTTGGTGTATCCTTGGGATCCTTTACGCGTGCTCCAATGACTGCAGGTGATGTTAGATCAATCTTGGGCATAATTTTGACCGCATACTAAGTAAAGGTTCATAAAACAAGAAAGCAATAAATAAATACAACAATGTAGTGTAGTGTAGTGTAGTGTAGTGTAGTGTAATATTAAATAAGATTACTATTATTATTATTTTAATAATTTAAATTAATAATAATATTTATATATATGTATAAATACACAGATCATAATACCACATATCAAAATATTAATATCAATTACCTTTTGCTTAATAGTGTCGGTCAAACACTCGGCTAGTTTTACTTTGCCCATACTGCCGGCACCAATAGTCTTGCGGTAGATTACATAGTTTTGTATGCGCATCACAGCTCGTCGTTCGGATGACTTCCGGGAAACACTGTTGCCATTATTGTCTTGACTCTTTCTCGTGCTGTCGCTTCGGTTGACTTGAGAAGGTGCGGTGCTGTGTGCACTTCCTTGGCGTCTAATGGACCGTCTTTCTTCGGACCTTGACAATGAGCGCCTTGAGGCAGTCTCGGGTGCATTTGTCGTACTTGGAACTGTGTTGATGTTGGGATTTGATGGAGGCATCGAGATGTCGAGATGTGTATATATATATATATATATATATATATATATTTTTGAGGAAGAAGAAGAAGAAGAAATGAAAAAAAAGAACAAAGACAATAGGGAATACAACATTATATGAGGGGATTTTTTTTTTATAATTATTATGTTTAATTAATTAATTATTTATTTTTATTTATTTGATTGAGGTGTAACTGATTTCTTTATGTGGACTTTTGAATCATTATTTACACTAATTCTGAACAATTCTGCGTCATTAAAATAGCACATGAGTTTACATCTTGTATACAGCAGAAGCATATACATATATAAGTTTGCTTTAGTTCTTTGATTTTTATTTAACAGAAAAAAAAAAGAAACAAGACACTAAGATCTGTATACAAATCTTCGACAAACAGGTAAAAATAGATGATGTGTAAAAGAAAGAAAAGTTGCGCTTCTAGGCACAAAATTTAGATTTGATCAAATCAATATATAAAGGTAATTGACTCGGCTTTCCTTTTCTTCGGTCAAAAAAAATAGATACATACATATTTCTTTATATGTATATAGGTATGATGGTATGCAAGTACACATTATGTACGTATATTTAATCTAGAATATCTGTGCTATTGGTCTTGGTCTTGGTCTTGGTATTGCTTTATTTGATCTGATCTAGTACAATAGGATCAAATGTGTATTAACTATATCTGTTTAAAGACTTTCTTATTTTCTATTTAGTTTTCTAGCTTTGTTACACTGTCTGTTATATTAATTCACAAAAACACAAAAACACACAAAAAAAAAAAAAAGTACAATTGACCCAACTTGTAAAACGCAACTTTTATAAAAGTGTGTTATTAGTTTTTTGTGTTGAATCTATTTTTAATTGCTTGATAATTATTTATATTATATATATAATTGAATTTATGTTGATAATCATAAATTTGTGTTGTCTAGATTGTAAATGCACAGTTTTTATTTTTATGAAATACAGAAAAAAGAAGAAGGTTAATTTGCTCACTTTATAATAAATGCTTATTGTAACCAAAAATAAATAATAAAGAAAAGTTCTAGGGATAGTGAAGATGCACCTATCCCATAGAATAGAAACAATTTACATCTATAAATATAAATATAAATATAAATCTTGGGTATAGAATAGATATTTCTATAATTTCCAAAGATAGTTTCTTTTCATTATTATCAAGATTGATTAATCAATTGACCAATTAACTTGCTTGAATGGCCCTTTGCTTGCTTGCTTGGCTGTTTGATACATTAGAATATTTCTTTTGTTTTCTCATTAAATAATATTGGTCATGAGATTTGTACTACTTTATTGTCGTTTGACGGCGTTTGATCCATCTGGGGTAAAGGTAAATCTAGAATACAAACTTTTTGTCCTTAAAAAAAAAAGGTTCAGCTACTAATGTATTCTTGGTATAAAATTCAAAATAATAGATAGATAGATAGATAGATAGCTTGGCAGATTGATAAAATAGTGTGGGTTACACTTTTTAGCGTTCTATCTACAAAACAGGATCGGAGTTGGAAATCATAGAAAAATAAAAAGGGGAAATCTGTAGATTTGGAATATGCCTTGTTAATTGTGATGTTTTTTTTTCTTTTCTTTTTTACAAGGACACGGCAAGAGCGACATCTTTACAAATAAGGAATATAAATGTAAATGATTTGCTGACTTGCCCTTTAAGACTCTTGTTTTTTATGGGTTTTCTTGCTTAATCATTCTTTTGACCTATACCTTGACTACAATAAATACCATCTGTCTCGAGCAGTTATGTTGTATTATTATTTATTAAAGAAAATACAAGTGTATAAACCCAAAATACATTTTTTTTAAATAAATAAAGTAAAAGAGGTGTGTGAGAATATTAGGATTTGTTATAGAAACAATCCTAATGAGCTAGAACTTTCATTTTTTTTTTAGGAAACCCGAGTATTTGGATATCCATACTTGTATAAGCTTTACAGGCCTAGGGAAGAATGAAAAATATCAAGAGCTAGACACTTTTGTGTGTGTGTTTGTTGGAGGCTCAATTTTATGATAGTGCTGAAGACGTTATTATAGAGTAAGAAAATGTATTGGTTACGGTTTCTTATAGTTGGTGTTGCAGATAATATCCAATAAAACATAATTTCCTAAGCATCATAAATACATCAAACAGTTCAAAGATGATGGCTACTAAAAGTGATCGGGGGGTGTGGAGAGTCAAGGCAGCTAGTTCTACAAAAGATTCCTTGTACCAAAGGAAGAGACTTGAATGATCAAGATGTCATATCAAGCCTAGAACAAATCCATGACAATAAAGTAACACGTTTTTTTCTTTTGAATCATTGTATTATCAATAAAACTTTTATCATCTTTGTTGGCTTTTTGTGAACCATTGATATACATATTTTTATTCTCTCTCTCTCTCTTTATCTCCTTTCCGCCCCTGGGAATGGTTCTGGCGCTATTACTGTGGATGAAATATTTCCCTGTTTAATCAGCAGAGTACAAAACTATTATTATTTTTCTTAAAAAAAATCATTGTCTGTGGAAACTGTTCCAGACTTGAGTGCTTAATTTTTTTTGGGGGGTTTTTTTTTTTTCCTTTTTATATACAACTCCTTGTTCAATAAGATCAATTGACAAAATAGCTTCCCCTTTTTGTGTGTGATTATTTTTCAATTTAATATTGAAAGTAGTAATAGACTACCATGTATATTTATCTAACTTGATTCGAATATCTTTTTTTTTTTTTCAATAAATAATAATAATAATAAAAATAATCTTATATTAACAATGTGTGTGTGTGTGTGTATATATATAGTTTGTAAAGTGTATAGAGTGTTGAATGTCAAAGGGGGAAGAAAAGAGGTGAGGTGAGGGGAGGGGTGGGAGATGTGAGGAGAGAATTCATTTTTGTACAGTTCATTACAGTGAATATGCAAGATAATGAAAGAAAGAGATGAAGAGCAAGAGAAAGTAAAGAAAAGGCATACATGATTTATGTACTTTTCATTGTTGCTGGTTTTTTTTGGGGGGATTGTCTCTTAATTTTTTTTTTCTTACTTCTTTCTCTTTCTGTTTTGGTTTCATGGGAGTTTCCCTTATTCTACATTGGCACATGCGTATCCTTTCATCAGCTTCTCTATGCCTTCTTGCTCACTGCGTACAACATGAGCCCAGCTCCCGCCACTTCGGTCTTGGAAATGCCTCTCCAAGTACCGCAATACAAAGGGGCATGTTGGAATCATCAATCGATTGGATTTTTCCAACCATAGAAATGCCTCTTGTGCCATTCGGTCACCTATACCCATATTCCTGTATGTAATTGGAATTTCCTATAGACGTCAAGAAATAAATGAAATATATATATATATTAATATTGTGTCCCAACAAATAATAAATAATAAAAGCATTATTGGACTGAACTGGACTGGACTAGACTGGACTAGACTGGACTAGACTAGACTTACTGTGTGATAAAATTCCACAATGGCCTGGAATCTAGTCGGTAGATAACACAGGGCAGCTAATATATATATATATATATATATATATATAATTATGAATAAATTGAAATGTACATAATATATATAATTTTTTTTGTAACTAACCTATACTCCCATGGTTGTCTAAAACCATCTTAAACATACAGTTCTTTGGATCATGAATGACTGTTGAACCATGAAACGTCGTCCATTGTGCTGGTATGGCTACTGTTCCGAGATCGTTTCCCGAAACAACGCGCATTTTGTGAGGTAATGAATAATCGGTTTGGACGTATTTTGATTGGGGGTCGCTCGATCGTCTCTTGGCATTCGGTCGTGTGAAAAGCGGCATGTCATTTGGTGGTGGAGTAAGAGGCCCCATTGGTGCGAATGGCATGCGCATCTGTTGTGTGGTCTTGAGCTTTTGGCTGATGGTTTGCTGGGCGTACCTTGGAAGAGAAGGAGTGTCGGTTGTAATGGGATGCGTCTTGTCAAATGTTGAATCAGCCGATGGCAGAGTGCGGGGTGAGCCCATCATTATGCAGCCAAGTTGGGGAAAAATAATTACAACAGTAAGAAGGTAGTGATAGTAATAGTGATAGTAATAGTAAATGATATTAATAATTAAATAATAGAGTAAATGGTGATATAAAAAAAAGGCTTTTTTTTTTGTTTCCTTTGAAGGTAATATATATATATATATATAATGTGCGTTTGTGGGTGCGTATAAATAGCGTTTTATAGGTGGACTTTTTTTTTTGAGTGATGTTGATATGTAGGTAGGGTTGTATTAAGTGAATATTTTTTCTTTAGAAATAATAATTAAGAATATATATATATATATCTTTATATGTAAGTGTAGGTATGTATATTGAATGTATGTATATTGAATGTATGTATATTGAATGTATGTATATTGAATGTATGTATATTGTATGTATGTATGTATGTATGTATGTATGTATTTATATATTTAAATATATAAACTTCGTCTTTGTCTTTTTTTGCTGTTCTTCTTCTTCTTCTTCTTCTTCTTCTTCTTCTTTGTGTTATTTTGACTTAAGAATAAGTTTCTTTCCTCTTCTTCTTCTTCTTTTTCTTTCTTTGTGTGGTCTTTTCTCTGACGCGTATGGTAGATGTAATGTGTATTCGGATGAAATGCCGAAGAAGTAAAGTGCTGGTAATGATGGTAATGGTAACGAATCCCTTTTGTTTTATTCTTTTGTTGCTTTGGGTCTTCTTTATGTGAGTGTAGTTGGTGGTCTTGAGTATGGAGAAGTGTAGGTTGTAAGGTGTGGTTGACCGAGGAAATAGAAAAGGCAAAAAGAACGGCAATCAAGATAAATAAGAAAATTGTGTATATATATATACACATAGAAATATATATAAAAATAGAAATTATATATAAAAAAAAAAGTCTATTTTGAGGTCAAAAATAGGCGCACGGGTTCAAGGCAAAAAAAAAAAAAAGACAAAAAAAGACAAAAAAGACCTTTTTTTTTTTGTTCTTCTTTTTCTACACCCACACCCATACCCATACCCAACATCCAGCACCCAACACTCTACACACTTTTTTATATACATATACATACATATTTATGTATATATGTATATATTATAAACATATATGTACATCAATGTATATATATATATATTTGTGTGTGTGTGTGTCTGTATATGTATATACTTTGTTTGTTGTGTGATTGTGAAATACACTGTATTTTACATACTGATATTCTTATTTTTTGGTTGTTATAAATGTTGTGTATTTTCACTTTATTTATTTATATTTATATTTATATTTATATTTGGAAATCGATCGTTTCACGGTCCGCGCCTTGTTCCACCAACTTCTGGGTGCCCTTCTCCTTGACCTGGGGGGGGGACACTAGAAAAAAAAAAGACAAAAAGGGGGGAGATGGAAAGAAATAAATAAAGAAATACAGTGAGAAAGAGACAGAGGAGATACTTGATTGGGGGGTGGGGGATCGAGGCTGCATTGTGTTCGCATGTCTGTTTTCGTTTTCGTTTTCGTTTTCGTTTTCGCATTTTATTTTATTTTTCATTATTCTTCTTCTTCTTCTTCTTTTTATTTTCCAGTTCTTTCTTTCTCTTTATCTTTTTGCTTTACTTCTTCTTTTCTTGTCAATTCCTTTGTGGACTGAAAAATGCTTTGATATATACATATACCATATATACATATACCATATATACATATACCATATATACATATATATATATATATATATGTATCTAAGTATGTAATCATGTATATGTTATATGTATCTATGTATATGTACATGTATGTATGTAAATATTCAGTCGTTGCGGCTCATCATCAGCTGTTCAATTTAGTTGGCTTCCTTTACAAGCTAAGTTCTTGTTTCCCGCACGGACCATACTTGGTCCATTCCGGCACGGCAGATCTTCTCACTGGTCCCTTCTTCAAAGGTCGAGACCTTCATTCTTTTATTATATATATATATATATATATACATCTCCTGGCCTTTCCTAAACCAGTTGATTTACATACAGCCTTTTTTTTAAAAAAAATTAGCATTTTTTTAAGCCATTCCCTTTTCCGTAGGTCACAGGAGAAGAGGGTCTTTTTTTTCTTTTTCATACTTCAACTTTGAATCGAGCCTCCAAAGGCGGTTCTTAAATAGAAAAAGAAAGAAACAAAGAGAAAGTATATATAAAAATATAATAAGCAGAGTACAAATGAAATACGAGTTTTGCAATTGAATTCCAAGATACTCTTTTCCTTTCTTTCTTTCTTTCTTTCTCAAATTGACTTGAATTTGACTTGTCCTTTTGTTATTACTATTATTATTTTAGAATGGAACCCCCCCCCCCCCCCCCCTGGTATTATAGATAAGCTTGTTCTCCTAAAGTAGATCATATTGATACACCATAAGAAAATACTAGTTTCCCACCATTCACATTAAAGTCTATTAATCGATCCACACACACACACACATGAAGGGGAATGATGTTACACGTATATTGTGTTCATGGGGCTTCTCTTCATGTCGGATATTAAATAAGAAAAATAAAATAAAAAAAGAAAGAGAAAGAATCAGAAAAAGTCCGTCTCTATGGAAACAAATCAAATCAAATCAAATCAATTAATCAGTTTCCATAGATACCGGATGTTGCCATAGGTACCAAATGTTTACATAGTCACAGTTGTTGTTATGGTTATGGTTATATATTTCTTTTTATGTTGCCATAGTTATTGGTGTACTTTTCTTTTTGGTTTTTAATTAATGGCTTCTCATTAATATTGTACCTGTTGAAAGAAAAGGTACAAAAGAGAAATAAAATGATAGTAATAGGTAAAACTGTATATTGTATCAATTTATTGTGCTTACACTGATTTTTTTGTATTATTTATTTATATGTGCATTTAGTATACTTTTATGTATATATATATACACACATACATAAATGTCAAACCAAAAAAAAAAAAAGAAAAAAAACTGTGTGGTCCAACAATGCATTTTATTAAATCCAACCAAAAATATACATTCATCATATGCTCAGCATAAAGGAATGAAAGGTGGTGAAAATCGGCGCATTAATACGATAAATTCAGTTCATTTCTTCTTGATCAAAGACGTAAACTATAAATCTGATAACTATTATTAGGAGGTACTTTTATATAATTGTTATCATTATGATTATTATTACGAGTATATATATATATATGTGTGTGTGTCTCACAAGAAATAGACAGTGTTATTTGATCAACCTCTAAGAGTCAATGCACAGGGTTCTTTCAAAGAATTATAACACGTCAGTTCATATAATTTCTCTGTAAGGAATATTTATATATGTATGTATATACGTGTATACATGTATACGTGTATGTGTATATGTACAGATATAAATAATACTATTGGGATGGGCTGACGTACGTTTTTCATACAAAAATGGATTATACTTGACACGTGAAATACATTGAGCAAACCACACCACACAAATACCAAGTCGAAGAAAAAATTAAACGCGTTTAAAGAAGTGTACAGGATACAATGCAATATACTATACAATATATATATATACATATTGCTCTCCTATTGTTTGCTTTTGTGTTGAAGTGAAACTAGCTCTGCATTTATTGGTTTTACTATAATATTCCAATCTACACAGAAAAAAAACTATGTAACCTTATTGTTCTCTTTTAAGGACAACACTAGGCGTTTGTTCAAAATGGTCGGGCGTCCTTTAACCAACTTTCGTCACCTTTTTTGCTCAAAGGTGTGAACAATGTTTGTGACTATGGATTAAATGACATCATGTGTTCACTCCGCCCTTTTTACTTTTTTTTTTCTTTTCTCGAAAGAAAGAAAGAAAAGAGAAAAATTAGAACTAATTTAAACCATTTGCTTTCTTGTCTATATACTTATTTCCAAAAAGGTATAATAAATACTTCTTGCCTTTTGACTGTGGTGCAGTGTCAAGAAGTATATCAGAAAATATAACCAATTTGATTCATAGTTCCCTTGTGTTACCTTTTCTTGCTTTATCCCGCCCTCTTTTTGGTAAGATATTTCCTGTATCTACCAAGCAAACAAAGCATTCAATTAATCAATCAATATTAAATATTCATCTTTCACTCTTTATCACGTTTTCTCTTTCTTATCCATTTCTTGTATATGCATAAAAACACCCATTAGTTCTTTTAAAACATGGACCCTTCAGAATTTCCTACGCTTGAAGAGGCAAATGCTGTAAATGACAGCAAACACTCCGAAAATGATCCTTCCCCTGGTTTAGAAGCTTCCTGGGCTCAGGTTGTCAAAGAAGATGGTATCAACAGTGAGGAAAACGGTAAGTTTTTAAAAAACAATCTTCTTTTTTGGGAACCATAGTCGAGAATAAACAAAAAGAAGAAGAAAAAGAGCTCTTTATACTCGGGACTAACTTATATATGTTATATATATATATATATATATATATTAATAAGGTCAACCAGGAGCAAAACAAGAGCAAAACAACTCAGTGCCAGTAGAGTCAGTTATCAAGGAAGATGTGTCATTTGCCGATATCACCAAACAAGACTTGCCGGAGAACCAGGAATTCCCTACACTCGAACAATCGACATCAATTCAACCACCCGAAAGCGTCGAGCCCGAATCAGCTGGAGTTGGAGACCTCTTGAGCAAAAGTAATGAGAGTAGCGTTCAAGGTAAGAATTCCCATATATATACAATGGAATGGAATCAAAAGGGAGGGGATATATCTTTTATCCTTCACGGCGATTTCTTTAACTTTCTTGTTGTTGTTGTTGTTGTTGTTGGTGCATAATAAAAATAATAATATTCAAATTAATTAAACCTCAACCAAACCTCGATTCTTTTATTATTATAATTGTTCACCTATTTTATATATATATATTTTTTTGTTTAGATTCCACAATACCCCCGCATCCTGACCGTTCATTTGCCACTGTTGCTTCGAACCGAGAGTTCCCTTCCCTGGACGCGACTACAAAGGCAGAAGTTCCTGTCAGCAATGATTTATCAGACCTACCTGATGTCAAGGATATGTTGAAAGAACGCTCTGGTAAGTAAACACACACACATATATATATATACAGAGAATTATTGGGTCATGTTTTGGGATTTCCAAGAAACCAGATAACAAAAACCTTGGTTGTATTAAACTAACTGAAAACAAAAAATATAGTCAAGGTTCCCCCTCCTCCTCCTTCCCAAAGCTTTGCAAAGATTGCTTCCAAAGAACCTCCCCCAACCGAAAAGCCTTTGAGCGATAGAGCTAAACAATTGATGGCCGAGCAAGAGAAACTTCCAGAATCGCCCAAGACTGAACTCAATCACAATAATTTCCCGACACTGGCGCAGTCCAAGCTTATGGCAGAACATCATGCTTCTCCCACTGGCAAGGACAAGGAACTTTTCACAGAGATCTCACGCCTTCACGAAGCAGCAGAGGCAGTAGAGCCAGAAGAAGAACCAACTTCTTCTGAGAAAGACACCTCAGGTAATATATGTCCCCCATATCCACACATGTATATATTAAATGTTTTTTTTTGGGTGTATGTAGATATAAGTTCGGATATGGGTAACTCATTTGTGAAAATCGATCCTTCATTTGCCAAGATTACGGGCAGTAACCTCGAGAATGCTCCTCCTTCTGCATATCCCAAGCATGTACCTCGTCATCCTTCTTATGATGAAGACACAATCATGAGAGAGCGTACTAGAGCCGAGGCTCGTAAGATGAGACAAGAACCTCATGGTGAAGAAACCACAGAGGGTAAGTGGATTGAATTAACGGACTCTGATTAACTGAACGACTTACTAAATGGATTCGAATTTTATGAATCTATATAGAATTCACGCCTGAGATGAAGGTCATGGAGCAAAAGAAGAAGGAAATAATCAAGGAAAAGATTGAGGAAGAAAAAGAAGCAAAGGTCGAGAAGAAGCAGAGTGGTAATAAGGCTCCTACCTCAAAATCAAGAGGTGTAGAACAGGACAGCACCATAGCATCCACTGCCGCTGCCGCTGCCTCTACTGCTGCCGCTGCCGCTTCTACTGCAGCTTCTACGGCCGCTACATTATTAAGCGAGGCCGCTTCTTCAAAGGACGATATCGATTCTGAAGCCAAGGAGGATGTGGATGATGAAATCAAGGCTGTCGAGACACGTATCAAATTCTTTGACAAGCGTGGTCGTGGAAAGATTACGATGCTGGACACATTCTGCTGTAAGTTATATGATATATATATATATATAAATATATTGGTTTCTAATAATTGCTTTATACTTATTTCATCTCATTTGGTTCATTCATTTGTGTGTTTGTGTGTTATTAGCTCTGCGTGGATTGGGATATTCGTTTATTTTTGCCATCCCTGCTACAGTTCTTATGCATCTCAGACTGTCTCCTCTTACTTCCCCTCACGGGTTCCCATTCTTCTACCGGTCTTTGACTGACTTGCTGACCTTACCGATTTACACAAAGCGTGTGGCACAGGCCTTGACTTACAATACACCAATGCTTGCTCAGGATGAGGGTCAGGTTAACAACATGATTCAAGCCTATGGTCACAAAGCACAAGGCAGCAGCCTGTTGGGATTAAGTTTCTGGGACGGGTTCAGAGCCATGCGAGCAAATGAAAAGAAGACTCTTAGATGGTGGCAATTCAAACAATGGTACGTCTTTATAGAGTCTATTGATTTTTTTTTTTAAAAAAAAAACTTAATTCGTGTGTAATTAATGAATATAAATTGTTGTTATTTGTTTCATTAGGGGTATCCACAGATTGCAGTGGGTCTTGGCTTACACCATGCTTCATGATCCAGAAACAAAGCTGGTTACTCAGCCTACTCTGAACAGTCTCCACAGACAGCTTATAAAATAACTAACTACAAACCTACTTGTCTACCTGCTTAACTCACTTACTCACTCACTTACTCACTCACTTACTAAATAGCAACATCAAGCCATAATATTCTGTTCTTTCTCTTTCCTATTTCTTCTCTTTATTGCCGTGCGTCCTTACCAACCTTTTCTTCTTTTCATCCTTTTACTTTATTTTATCTTACTCTCTATCAATTCGAATTTTCCAGTCCCTCAATCTCAACCTTAACATCTTCCTTTCTCTCTATTTTTATATGTGTATATTATAAATTGTACACCAGACCTTTGCAGTCAATATGAAAATATGTATGTAACAGACGAATAAAAAAATAAAACATAAATTATATATATATATTTATGATATAAACAATAACAAAAAGGATATACATATTTTATAGAGTAGGACCCGTGAAATTGATTAATTAAAAATATAAACAAACAAACAAACGAACAAAAAAATATAAGCAAACAAACAGGCAGACCGGTAGATAGATAAAAAGAAAAAAGAGATAATCGCGGTAAAACCAAAACCAAAACCAAAAGAGTCTTTGACTATTCCCCCCCAAACCTTCCTTTCATCTCGTCGTCTCACCAAAAAGTAAAGATTTGTATGTGAGCCATGTTCTTCTCTTTATTGATTTACAGTTTTTTTTTACTGTTATTTCCCCCACCCTCTTTCCCTCACACACACTCAGTTTCTCAGTCTCAGTCTCATTTTTTCTTCAAATATGAACCACAGGCTTATTTATATTGTAATCATCATGACACAAACTTCTCTGTATTTACGCGACTCTGGGACGTTTGGTAGCTGTTGTTGCCCATGGTCGTGAATAAGCACGCTAAATAATAGACGATTCATAAGAAACACACTTTATATATATTCTAATGTACATTTGGTTTCCTTACCTTGTCAGATCCTTTGTTACCAGATTCATCTTCAATTGACTTGATAAATTCGCTTGGTAAATAGCTTGTTTTTAAGATCTACATATATACATATATATATATATATATATTTAAAAAAAAGGGTCAATTCTTCGTTGGTTGTTCTATTTCATCTTTCTTGTTCTTCCTTGTTCTTTTTCACTCTGCTTACCTCTGCTTGAATAGCACCTGATGGAAGGTTTCTGTATAGTTTTGATTGAATGTTTATGTTTTGTGGATAAGCATTCAGTGGCCAAGATGCAGTATGGCATTTGCGTTTGATCAAAAGACATGCAAGGTCACTCAGAACATACGAGTTCTATATATATATATTTGTGTATATGTGTAAAACAGTCGATATGTCAATTAGCATCGATAGAACTCAATAAATAAAAACATAGAGAGATCCAATGTTGATTCTATCACCCCCAAAAAAGTATATATACACATTTCTTATTTTAAAAAAAAATGCATTGAAACCTTCTTACCTTGCTCAATTCAGCCGTAACCATATCCTGAGAAGATTTGATTTCTTGAGCAACATGGTAGAGGAACGAAACATTGTCTGCGGACACAACACAACTTAAGTAGAATTTGATGTACTGAGAGAATACTAGCAAATCTTCTGTAGACACACTGAAATCGGGGTGGTGGGCCAGAAGATGTATCAGTCGTACAAATGACATCTCTAATGGCGAAGGTTGTCCTGTAAAATAGCCATAATCACAAATGTATGCCATATCATTAGAAAACTATCCGCGGCCCGTGCATATTTGTACACACACACGCATATATATATATATACATATACATATACATATTCAAATATTACTAATTCCAATGCTATTACTAATGCTATTACTAATATGATTATTACTATCCATATACCTGATTCCGATTTAGATGCTCGTTTGCGAATAAAGTATTTGACCTAGAACTACAATGTCAATAAAAGGAACCTTCCACCACCACCCAAAAACAGACAAAAACCTTGCGCGTGTTTTATTTTGGATTTACCTGCTTTAATAATTCTGGTTCGGGTTCGTGAGCGCACAAGAATAGCAATGTGTAGTAGCGAGGACGGATTTCTCCTATTTGAAGACCTTTCATCAAAGTCTCAGCAAGTTCAGAACGAACATAGTAGCACGAGTCCTACACAAATGGTAAATGTTTTAGATAAAGTATTATTATTATTATTATTATTTAAACATTCATTTATTCATTTATTCATTTATTCATATATCTATATACGTGTCTGTGTAATGTATTACCTGAAGGGTCAGTCCAAGTTTCTCAAATTTAGGAACAGTTAGGTATTCTTCATAAAGCTTCAGGTGCGTGAGCTTGATAATAGATTGAGCAGCTGCCAATCTCAAGTAGGATGTCTCCGCAGCACTTTTTTTTTTAAAAAAAACATTGAGTTCGTTTGGGTTCTTGTGTGAAAAAACAATTCAATAAAACATATTTAACTCACCTCAGACCTTCCGAAATAGCTTCATCGCAAGTGGTGTCAATAAACTCCCAAAGCATATTAAAAAGATGTGCTGTGATTGCCTCGTTATTATCGGTAAATTCAGCTGCACCAAGGAGGTAGTTTACAAGGGTTGATACACCAACAATCTAAAAAAAAAAGTTTGTTAATTTTGTTATTACTTCTTGACAGTATATATATATTTGTGTATCTTTACCTTGAGTTGAGCCAAGTAAGGAAGATCGTTATATTCTACCCATTCTGGGTTTACATCTCCTTGCTGATTTATCACCATCATTTTAAAAAGAAGTATACATAATACAATATAGTCGTTAGGTTATTCTATATATATTAATGGCTCTAGAATATCTAGCACTTACCATGCTATCCTTCTTTTGAACAAGGTCTCTATCGACAAACCCAACAATGTTTCCAATATGCTCTGATAATAATCTTGGTGTGTAGAGGGCAAACTCTTTCAAACTGGACAATAATGTAAGGAGGTGTTTGTTGGATACACGTAAATGTTGGCACAAGTACTTTTTTTAAGAATATTATAGTAATAACAATATAATATTTCCAAGTTAATATTGATCAAACACAATAGATTCAAATAAAATCAAATAAAAAGGTAATCAAGATCAATGATTTGTTTCCTTTGTACCTACCTCAACTACCAGCTCGCATGCATGTTCTCCGTTGTCCATATTTCCAAGAATTGTGGCAGCATGTTCTGCTTCTTTGGCCTCTCCTGTGCGTGTATACTCCATAAGACCTTCAACAGTCTCTCTATTCGGATCAAATAATTAATAAAAAAAATTGTCGTATTGGACCAAATCATACCATTATTATTTGTTATAATCACAATTATGTCTATATATCTATCTATATGTCCTACCTATCAAATACAAATAGTCTGGGCTGTGCTTTGCAAACCTCGGCCAGCAATTCCAAGCTATCGATGACTTTTTATATATAAGAATTGAATAATTGAATGGAGAAAACCGGTTATGTTGAGATCACATAAACTAATAATAATATAAAGAAACTTACCAACTTCATCATTCTCTTCCTTAGTAATGTTAGTAGCAAGTTCATGAGCATATTTTTCAAACATATTGGGATAGTTTGAAGTTGTGTCCTATAATTGTTTTTATTTCATTTTTTTTAAAAAAAAAAACAGGTTAGCAATAATTAAGTAGGCTGTTTTCTAAAGAAACAGCGACAAGTGTGATTATACTTACTTTCAATAGGTCTTGGGCAATTGCGCGACGTTCTTCACCAGATGTATTTTTTCTTCCACGGGTAGCTCTCAAGATTTTGAGAAGGTGGGGCAAGTTTGATTTGTTGAGTACAATTGGGCAAGCTCTATTAAGAATCAACTCAAAGATTTCCGACATTGCAGGAGACATTTGTTCCAGACGCTTCAACAGTGATTTCTATCTTTATGTGTAAGTTCAAATATGTACAAAAAAGCAAACGCATATATACAAAGACCAATTGCATTTCTAATTAAGGTTTTTCTCTTCTTCTTTTGTTTTTTGTTTGTTTGTTTTACCTTTGCATTGTAAATACGCTTGTAATCTTGGCTAGGGTTAATACATGTTCTCAAAAGTTTAACAATGTCAGTATCTTCGGCTTCTACAAAACGGCGCAAGCTGTTCAATGTTCTGGACTTGTCAGCAAATTGTTCTATAAACACAAATAATATCAGTTAATTAAATTTGATCTACACATTGTATCCCTGTATTCTTACTTGAAATATGTTTCATCAGCTCTTCAGTCTTTCTTTGGGTTGCAGTATCTGTTTCTGTATTGTCTCTCTTTGTTGTTGTTGTTGTTGTTGTTGTTTTTTAAAAGATAATAATAATTAATATATTAAAAGAAAGAGAGAGAGAGAAAAGGTTATTTAGATATTCCTATTATAATATTCTTCTTCTTCTATTTAATTAACTTACTGCTGCGTCGCACATATCAACAAAGTACTGCATGTCGTTGATGAAACTTTTTGTATTGTACATAGTTAATACATGTTTGCTGCTTTTATATATAATGAAGCACAAATACCTTTTTTGTTTTTGGATCAATGCCTTGAATGCAGTCTTGGAACGAGGACTGAGAGATCCGACTACAGTTACCAATCTTTCGGTTCTTTTCAAATCATTGGTTTCCTCTGGCAGAATATACTGCAATATAGTATTTTCAAGAGCTGACCTAAAGTGTATATATAGTATTTATTTAAATCACGAATATGATTAATTTCTGTATGTTTTTATTCGTGCTTTGTTTACGAAATCAAGTAATTACAATCAAATACTTACGTTACTGCGAGTTCATCGACATACAAACAGTTCAATAAGGTCTCTGGGATCCAGCCGAGTTTTGCGATAAGATCTTCATTGTTGGAAGAGCTAAATATTAATAGTAATAATAATATAAAAAGAGAGTAAAATGTGTTATTAATATATATATATCGTTGGGGATAGGGGATGTAGGTGTAGGTATCAATTGGCATATCATTTTATTTTAATAATACTTACATGCTGTCAAATTCGTGATTATAAATGGCGCCTAGAGCAGACATAGCTTCCTTTCTTACGGATTGCTAGTTATACAAGCACATAAATAATATGTTCTCTTACCCCTATCTTCCATCCCATCATATCTCACCCCCTTCCTTTCCCCTCCTTTCTCCTCTTCTCAGCCATAGCCATATAATCAGGCATATATATATATATATATGTGTGTGTGTGTGTATATATATACCTTTTTGTCTTTACAACGTAAAGCGACTTGTTCGAGTACAGATTTGTCAAAGCTAGTTGGCTCAAGATCAAATTCAAGACTACCAATTACTCGACATGCTGTTGCGCGAACCTTTTCTTCAGGATCAGAAAGTTTGGCCTTGAAACAATCTAGATATAGATATTTCAAGTAAGAGGATATTTTTCATATCTCTCAACAATAATATCTCCCTTTCTCTCTCTTATCCTTATAATACTATAGCTTTTTTTGATATTTTTTTTTAAAAAAAAAGTCTGATTTACCATTAATTTCAGGTACCAATTGCTTATGGTTTTTTAAGATAGGGCCACACATTTCGACCCATCTTACACGAAGTTGAACCACTTTATCATTACGTCTAAATAAATACAAAAAAAAGGTAGATAATTTTATATATACATATACATATACAAGCAAACAAACACACACAGACAATAATAACGCAAAAAACCAACACCAACGACAACGACAACAACAACAACAACAACAACAACAACAACAACAACAAAATCCCAATTCTCAAAATAAAACATACCTTCCCAGCCATGTCTTCCAAATAATAGGATATTGTTGGTATAATTCAGAGGTCTTTTCAGCAAACATTTCTCCGAGGGTTTGGGTAGCAATTTGGCGAACATGGTCATCATCAACCTTCATTTCCTCATCTAATTGAGGTACAACATTCAACAGTAGGTTGGGAACTACAGAGTGAACGTGGCGAATCAAACTGTGTACCATCTTTAGGTCTTCCAATTCTTCATCGGATCCGTCACTTCTGCTAAATGCCATCAATGTATCCGTAAAATGCTAATGTTGGGATCATAATTGTATGTATCAATGAATTTATGTATGAATGTGTGTGTGTGTGTGTGTGTGTGTGTGTATGCGCGTAGATAGGTGTAGATTTAGGTGTGTTGATCATTTGTTTGTTCGTTCGTTCGTCCGATCGGTCATTCGTTCGTTCGTTAATTCGTTCGTTTTTTTTAAAGCAAGAGTAATAATTAAGCATTAATGAATTCAATAATTGTGTTTCTTTTCTCCTATCCTCTTATATCTTTCATTTATAATTCTGTTTTGTTATAAAAGCTCTTAACATCCTTTTTTTTCTATACCTGGCAAACACGGCGTTGCAATACATCCGTACAGGCAAAGCAAATATCCAGAGCCATTGCATAAGAAGCTCCCTTTTCTTTGGCTGTGAATTGATCGAGAATAAGTTCGATAACTTCTTGGGAAAGAGCACCAACTTCTTCAACAAGCTGGATCAAGATATCTGTCATGCAAACTTGTACGTTACGGGGTAAATCGGCGCTATTGAAATCAACAATTCATGGTAAAGGTAAAATATATAAGTATACAAACAATCAGAATAATATTTATAAAAACAAAGAAAAAATTGTGGTGAAGAAAAGATCAATATATATATATATATATATATATATATATATCTTATTCTTTTTCTTCTTTGGTACCTAATAGCCGAGAAAAACTGATTGAAAAGGCTGGAAGAAAGCTGCTCGGCATTGTCAAGGTCAGCAATGATAATAATACTCTTCACAGTTGAAAGACTTTCGAGCAAGTAAAAGTAATAGTGGAAGTTTGGATCGGTATTCGACTTGAGAAGACTGAGTTGGGATACAAAGAACTCGAATACACGCTGTATAATTTATAGATAATGTAATATATAAATATGGGTATATGCATATATTTATACAGAAAAAAAAATTGTATAAGATAATAAGATAGTTATATTGTCTGCCTGAATTTTCTTTTGTGTATGTGTGTGTGTGTGTGTGTACATGTAGTTTTTTTTTGGTAGGTCTATGTCTCGGTACCTTTAATTCAAGGTTGGAATAAGGCGCATCGGGTGCAAACAATCGCAAGATGTCAGCTAAACAACAGGCTGTGATAGCTTTGACAGTCTTATTTTCATGCTTCAGGATAGCATTAGTGACAAGGTCTTTAGCAACTGATGTAAGAGAGTTTTTTTCGACTGTTTCTTGCTGAAGGGCCTTTAATTCAGTTTGAAGATCCTAATGTTCTTTTTGTGTGAGCTTAATTATATCTTATATGTGTGTGGTGTGTGCTTATGGGTTTGTGTATGCGTATGCATAGGTGTATGGATGTGATGTCCTCTGTTTCTATTAAGAGAAGTCTTACACTAAGTCTTTTGATGAGGTCAGAAACTTTAACTGCTTTGGATCCTTGCAACAGCTTCTCTTTGAATTGGAGAGACTGGGGTTCATCGACTTCCATTAGCATAGTGGTCGATTATATGGTCGATTAAATGAAACCACGCGTAAAAGAAAAGAAAAGCAAAAGAAGAAGAAGAAAAAAAAAAAGACCAACTCTTTCTCCCGAAAATGTAAGCTCTTCGTGGTCGAGCGCGTCAAAAATGGGGCGCGTGGCTCTCTTTGCACGTCACACACGCACACCACTTTACAGACACACAACCATAAACTATTTCCTTTCAATTCACGATAACCATTAAAACAACCCCCCCTCTCTAATATATATACACACAAATTTTGTAGTTATTTTTTTAGTTTTAATTAAATAAAACAAAAAATATTAATATATATATATATATATTTGACTACAAAAGACATGAATTCCCTTCGCTCACAATTCGTTTCGACCACACGTCAACTCGTGCGATGCACGATTCCCAAAAGACCTACCATTCTTGCTCAAACACGTACCTTACGCACAAACATCAACACACTCTATCGAATTGAAAGAAAAGAGACTGGCCAGTACTCCAGCAACCCTTACACTGAATCCATGCGCCACATCAAATCCCAAGCCAAGTTTGTAGCCAAGATTACGGGATGCACTGTCGTTGCATTGGCAGCCTCGGCCGCTCTTGTTTGGCAGGCCTACCACCTCTACATCGAATGGTACCTCGAAAGTACCCCTACTGAATTGGGCTATCAGGCTCGAAACCTGCTCCATGGTGCCTACGTTCGTGAGAAAGTCTCGCCTGATTATGAAGTAGCTGCTGTTTATGTACGTGAAGTTTTGCGCTTGGCACTAGAGGTCGAAAAGCTAGAAGAGACCTCGCCATGTGTTATTGCACTCCGTCTCCGACTGGCTAATGATGAAGCCCATGCTGGAAATCTGCTGGATGCAATTGCGGAGTATAACCGTGCCTGGCATCTTCTTCTCGAGCAAAAGAAAGCAGAGGATGGAAAGGTGACCGAGGCTCGCGAGATGTTGTTGGCACAGACTGCCAAGCATATGGGAGATTTGTATCTACGCGTAGCAGATTATGCTTATGCAGAGGAATTCCTGGCCTGGACTCTTCATGTGGTCGGGAAGACCGAGAAGTCCCAAGAGACAAAGGAAATATGGGACCATCTGAAGGTGACGACCACATGTTCACTTGGAAGTGTGTATGCAGTCCAGGGTAATTTTGGATTAGCTCTACCCTTGTTCCTCCAAGCCCTCAAGGCTATTCCTGAATCAGAAAAAGAGAATACAAAGTGGATCTGTCTCAAGGCCATCTTGCAGAACCAATTGGCTGAAACGATGTTTGGTCTGGGAAAGTTGGATGATGCGATGGGTTGGGCACAGGCTTCGTTTGAATCTTGCTCGACTGGTTATTCTTTTGAGAACCCATCCGAGAATAATGAAAAAGACAGCAAGGATTGTAAGGAGTGCGGTGCTGTTGTCTCCAACAACCTTGGAAGCTTATTAGAGGTAATATATATGTACAAGTACAAATGTTTATCAACTGGTATACTCATCTGCTTTTTGTCTTTATTGTGATTTTCTTTATGTAGCTCAAGGGCCAGTTTGATCAAGCAGCAATTTATTATAAGCAAGCTATGGCATATGCATCTGCTTTGGAAGATAATGAGGGATATAAACAATACAGCGAGAATGAATTACGGGTAGAGAAAAAAGAATCAGAGGCACCTGTGACAACAGTAAAGGCAGTCATCGAAGCTAAAGAACCTGTTACTGAGCCAGTACAAGAAAACAAATCATCCTGGAGTAGTTGGTTGAAGAGAAAGTAAAGATGTAGACACATCTACACATCTACATATACAAAAATAGAGAAAAACAGAAAATAAAGGATACTCCATAGAATCGAATAATATATTAAAATTTTGTAAATATATACACATATACATATACACATATACACATATATGTATATATATTAAAGTAAAAGATCAAGGCATATTACATGCACATACAAAGAATGTGTATAACTTTGGTTTTGATAAATAGGAATCAATATTTGGCCATAGTGTTTTTTTTTCTGTCGTTGAATATTTTGTATGATACAAAGGGTGTGGTGTGGTGTGGTGGGGTGGGATGGGGTGGGGTGGGGTGGGGTTATTATTGGTTTTCTTTCAATAAATGGATATCTACACAGTAAGGAGGGGATTTGTATTGTCAATGTCTTGCTGTTTTTTTCTTTCTTTCTTTCTTATTGTCTTTGTGTGGGTGTGGAGTGGTTACTGTTTCTTTATTATTTCCTGGATTCTACGAGCTGTTGATTAAGCTCACTAAATAAACCAAAATCAATAAGCTTAGATAAACACGGGCTTGAAAACATTCTATTCTACTAGACTTTACTTTGCTCTACGGTGCCAATAGTCTCTTTCTGATAAGGCTCTGTCGAGACTTTCCTTTGAATCATCGTCTGTTGATGTTGCGGATGCTATTGTTGGTCTGGGTGTATTCGTAGGTTGCTGAGCGTTTGTTTCAAGCATAGCAAGTATGTTACCCAGCTTTGTGTTCAAGTGCTGCGTATACAAGATGTTGGTTTTTTTTTAATATATAAATATGTATAACCCTTCTTTGCCGAATAATTATAATTATAGTTATAACTATAATCATTATAGTAGATAATGCGAATGACTTACGTGGTACATTGCATACGTATCACCACGTAGCTCTTTGCAGATGTCTTGTAGAACATCTCCCTCCGTAGATGGCTTTGTTTCCATTTTATTATTAGTAATAATAATAAATTATCCTTTTTTCTGGCATGGTTATTACTATGGAATTGGGACTTACCACTCGAATTTGATCAGTTACACGTCTTGCCTGGAGTTCCATGGCGTTACATCTCTCAATTAGCTGACACAGTGATGCATTCATCTCTTTTGTGAGTTGATGAACAGCATCCTGTGACGAAATGACTTGTGGGGCAATAATTGTAGCAAGTGCAGGACGTTCATGTAAGAATTTACGTGTGATTCTGTCGTTACTATTGGTGCGTTTTCGAGCCAGGTATTTTTCGTGGACTTGACTTGCATAATCATCATTATCAACCGGATCAGAGAATAATGTGGAGCTATTTGTGAAATAGCTTGGCGTACGTATATCCTTTATAAAGAAATAAATAGAGTTATAAATATAATGATAATTTAGGATTTGGTTTGGTTTGTTTTGTTTTATTCTTAATTTAAATGTATTGCTTACCTTTGTGATTTCAAGATCTTCAAGACTAAGTGAACTACGGGTACTTTGGCTTGTTAAAGAGGAAAGGGTATTATAGCTAGAGTGCGCGTAGGAATTGTTGGTGTGTTGATTGGAGCTGACTGTGGATGTCGTGCTGCTGCGACTAGAAGGACGAGAATTAAGATCCTGAATGTCTGCGTCTCCCGGACTTTTTGCTTTTTCGTTTGTGGAATATGATAGAGGTGAATGTGTCTGGGGAAAATCGCTGCTATTTTCTAAAGGTTTCTTTTGCTGCGGAATCATATAATGTTTTTATATATATGTATATATTAATTAAATATATGATGATACAAGTTAAATCTTATTTCTTGTGTAAGAATAATAAGAATAATAATAATAATACTTACTACGGAATGACTATTTGCCCAATAATTTTCTGGCATTGATCGTCTTTTGAGTGAGAGATCTAGAATCACTATATTTACATATTTAGAATTGCAAATCATGAATTGTGAATTGAATTGAATTGAATTTGAATAGAAATAACTATACCTTTTGTATCTTTCTTATTAGGGCTAGCGCTTTCTTGCCGCTTTACAAGATCATAAGGTTGAAGATCAGACAAGCTAACATCACTCGTTGACCCGTTTGTCTTTTGAATGATCTGAGATTGGGGACGTGGTTTGATGAGAGGTGCACTGTCGACAGACAGACTTTTGGCGCGAGGTCGGATAATTGGACCGAAAGAATTACGTTTCTTGGGTGGGGCGACATTGTGGACCAATGGCGACGATAAGGATGAAGATAAACTCACTTGGCTGCGAGAAGGAGATGTTGATCGAGATCGACTACCAAATATTTTTGAGAGCGTGACACCACTGGTTGATCTAGAAAGGGAACGGGAGCGGGAGCGGGACCGAGATCGTTTTTCTAGCTCTTCTTCTGTCGTCTTGTCATGAACCATAGTAAATCCTGAAGCATGTCTCAATTTTCGCTCGCACATTATTACTAGTCATCAAAAGGGCAAAAGCAAAAAGAAATTAAGTAAATATAAATGATAATCAATAGTTTCTTTTTTCTATAAAGAAAATAATGTGACCTTTAACTCACCATTGTACCAAAACACAGACACAAACTCATTGTTCTCCTTATTTCCATTGTCAGATCCACTGGCTGCACGGTCAAGATCTCGTTCAGCTAGGTTTATCTTGCTGGAAAGAGACAAACGATACCCTTTGGTGTCAGACTGAACTAGACCAATTATCCATGGCGTGTTTACTTGGCTTATTAGAGACTCGATCTCTATGTCCGATCCTTCTTCCACATAAGCAATTGCAATATTATTCTACATAGTAATAGCAACAAGAATAATAATAAAAGGTTTAATTGTTTCCTAATCCAAAATAAACAAATCTAGATAATTCATTTACCCTGTATTTTGCAGTTTTGTAGCTATTAGGCGTATAGAAGCTACTATAGACATCTAGACCCTGCCAGGATCGACTAAATGTTTCATCAGTAGGTTCTAAACAAATAAATAAAGCGTGTAAATAAAGAAAGCATGTGAGAGAGAGAGAGCCAGCCAACCAGTCAGCCAGTTAGCTTTGAAGAATGAAAAAAAATGGAAATCAAATACCATAACGACGTGACAATGCTTGGGTCTTTTGAAACGAGGCTATAAATTCCTGGCATGTTTCAACGTAGGAGGCTTCAAGAGAAGTTCTGCTTTCCTTTGGTGGAATAGCAGCAAATAGGCGGGCACATTTTTGGAAATAGGCCGTGGAATCCGAACATTGCTGATCCTGTGGTTGTTGTTCCTGTGCTGAAGATACCCGTAATAAGAAGGAATCAGGTCGATCTACAGTAATATATAAGTTAATGAATCAGTAAATTAATAAATGTATGTATAGATAATTCTGTTTATGTTTATGTTTGACAGATCATTTGCGTGATACGTCAATTATTTATGTAATATTTACCTTGTATGCCTTCAAACAGCTCCACTTGTTCGACATCAGCCCAGCCTTTGAATCTTAGCATCTGATTAGGACGAATTCGCTCTAGTTTCTTTGGAATAAATGATCCTGAAGTCGATGATTTATCATCATTCATTCCACACACTTCCATACTCTTGGTTTGGTGGGAGTGTCGACTGGCAACCATAAGTTTGTCTGTAAATAGAAATAGAGTAACTGGCCGAATTGGCTTTAATGTCTCACGATGAATTTCTGTGGCATCCAGATGGGTAACAAGAGAGCGGCTTTGGTTAATTAAGGAGCACTTTTTTTTTTGGTAAGAATAAAGATTGAAAATTAGGGTTAATATATGTGAACAAATTGAAACCATCTTGTGCTTCTTACAGGACTATCTTTGATTGATGTATACAGATTATGGAGCATATTTGCCAGCTTTGTAAGATCGTCTTCTACCATCTTAGCAATTTCATCAAACTTTGCATGGGCTTTTGTAAGTCCAATCCAGTCAGGGTGCGTTTTGGGCGTGTACTTAATAATGACTTTATTTAATTAATAGATATATGTAAAATATCAGTCAAGTCAGTCAATCAATTTAATACAAAAATAACCAAATTTATATTTACCTCCAAGTTGTAGTGTGTAGCGACTAATGCGCTGAACTGGTTCCATGAGTAGAGCAGACAGTGTACCTTCTAATGCTTTTGCGCGTGGATCTTCTTTGGCTCTGACAATAAAGCTTCGAAATGCTTGATTTTCAGCATATTCCTTCTTTTGGAGTTCCTCGGATCCTCTCTTCCCGGAGAGGTATTTTCGATAACAGTCAAATGCGTTCATCTGATGGAATATTGGAGTAACATTACACAGTTATTATTATTTTTATATGCTTCATTTTCTCTTGTTTGCCGAGTTCGCCGATGTCATCCTTACGTTTCTTGCGCAAACATCGCCAAAGCAATCGTCAGAAGTACTGTTATTTAGCTGCTTTAATTCTGCCAAGAATACTTCGTTAACTTCCAATAGTTGATCACAGTTGATGAAGATGGTGGCATGTTTAAAAGAATTAAGAATCGGGTTTCTGCTATGGGCCTGTGCTCGCAAAGGAAGTGCGATTGAATTCACAAGTGCCCGTAGTTTCTGTACATAGTTCTCTTCAGTCGAAATAAAATGTTCAATCTCGTAGGCTCTCCTATCATCGTCTCTGACAAACTATTTTGTATGTATTAGTGTGGATGTGGGTGTTTGTACACACACAATTATATATATATATATGTATGTATATATAAAACGAGTTTGTTGCGTACGCTATCATGACGAACAGGGGATACTTCTTGTCTAGCTGCTCCAGGCTGTTTTTCACAAGGATCGCCAATGACATTGAGGAATCTACGCAACTTTAATTCCTGGCCTGCAATGGTGGTTAAGAATGAAGGTTAAGATTCATCTTTGAGATGAGCTTACTTTGGGTACGAGGTTTTTGGGGTACAATAACGTCAATATTCTGGCACTGTAATAAGTGTTTGTTTTTATTAGTATTCTATAAATTACTATTAAGAAAAAAGAATTACTTACTATTGGGAATTTTGTATTTTGAAGGATATTTTGCAGTTGGTCTTGGTCAAGCTCCGGTCTTTCGGGAAGCTGTGTATTTCTTTGTAATTTCCATGTGTTGCTGTACCCCAACTGGTTCAGGTGAGCTTCGACAACCTATAATAGACAGCTGTCAGAGCTGTGACACTTTTATATGTTTCGTAAATGATAGGACATATGGCTTGCCTTCAGACGTGGCATATATAAATAAATAAGAATAAAAGTAAAATTGAAATAGAAAGGTAAAAAAAAATGTGAAAAAGAAAGTAAAGATTTGAATATAAAGAAGCACAAAAGAAAAAGAAGAGAGAGAGAGAGAGAGAGAGAGAAAAGACGAAGAGAAAAAGCAAAAAAAAAGGTTCTCCTGCGTGTAATGTTATTTTTTTCCTTTTTTTCTTTCCTACTTTAAAGAGCTCTAGACTGTAGCTAAAGAGAATAGGTTTGCCGTAGTGTAACAAGCGGTGTATAACCAACTAAAACAATATACCCACTGAATTCCTTTCACTGTCTCAGTAACGAAAGCTTTTAAAATCTTTGGCTTAATATTTAAGCAAGTATATTCTTATTTATTTCAAAAAGCTTGATGCAATGTACCTGTGTCTACGTTGTGTGTGTGTTCTTGTTGTTGTTGTTGTTGTCATCAAAGGTACAATATTTGTTTATATAAACTCGGTAAACAAAGAGGCTCATCATCTAACTCAAATCATCTCTCTCGTATCAGATAAGCTACAAGGTCAAGTCAAAGGTCTTTTGACACAATATCAAACACGTTTTTATTTTTATGTTTTGCTACTGTAAATAGACTCGATTTTTATTAACTGAATGAACAATGAACGCACTATAGAATATGCAGTTCAAGGTAGTTTATTTGTATGCACGCAAGCATCTTTGGTCACAAAGACCACCTGCTTGAAAAACAAAACAAAAAAGAAACTCAATTCTTGACACCATATCAAATAAAATATACGGAGAGAAATTCCTGATATTCTCACTTATAACTGTGATTGTGATCGTAATAGTAAATGTTTGCCTAAAATATAAAACGCACTGTCCAGAGTATACAAGTTTTAAACTGCCGTGTTTCTTCCATTATTTAAAAAGCATGTAAATATATATCTCTAATCTCTTGCTCCACATCAAAGCAACTTCTTTTTCCAACTCATTAGTCCATGAGACTTCAAGTATGAAAATGTTGATAGATACATCTTTTGTGCCAATTCTCCTTTTACAAAGTGCAGTTTTTCTTCACTGTTTGGGTGACTGACTTTGCCTACAAAAAAATTGTATTACATCCTTTATGCCATTATTAATTTTCGTCTTCTCTTTTCCTCTTTCTTCCTTTCATAGCTTATAGCTTTTCTTACAATATTTTGCATATCTTTTTTGTAATTTACAAATAAAAAAAACACGTATTTTTCTATTAGGTGTACTCACCACTACATATATTAATATTTTATTTTAAAAAAATATTATTCAAAGTTTTTATTTACTGAACATTTTATGTATTCAAGTCATTACCACCCCTTCTCATTAGGTCCATTCATCTCTATCAATAAATCAGCATGGTAAGTCTTTTAATGTTCTGAATCTACCTTTTCCTATTACTCATCTGCGTGGAGAATTCTTTTCGTATATTTTAGTAGATATATAAGTTTGTAAACTTGGCCATCTAATCAGTCATGAACACTACAATCTAAATACTCTGTGCTTTTAATATATATAGTGCCAAGAAGTATCTATTTCAGTAGGTGCTTATATATAGAACAAAAAAAAAAGATTCTAGTATTCAATCTCTAGCTCAATTAATGATTTAATGATAATATCAAACAAGAGTTATCTAGTACAATATTTATATCAGAGAGAAACCCATAAAAGCAAAATATTCGTCTATATATATTTCTTCCTATCAAATAAACCAAAGAGTGAAAGATTATATAATAAAATTGATTTTTATAAAATACCAAATAAAAAGCCTGATTATAATTGTGGACCTGTTTCCCTATCTGTTTCCCCCAATTTCGAGATATCTAACCAATGGAAATTGAGTAAGATTTGGGCAACCTTTGATATAATTGGCTCACACAGAGTATCTATATTTGGACTGACCACCCCATTTAAGAAATGCTTACCAAATTTTAATGAGAATATGCACTGGACTTTTTTTATTTGAAAGCTGAATGAAAAATACTAGCTAATTTAAGCGGCGTATAAATGTATGTATTTCACCATGGTATAAGGCTTCTTTCCCATAATTTAATAAGTCTTTCAACTTAGTGAAATCACATAATTTTGCCGTGGTACATATGTTTCACCATGGTATAAGGCTTCTTTCCCATGATGAAAGGCTTCTTTCCCATAATTCAATAAATCTTCCAATTCAGTAAAACCACATAATTTTGCAGTGGTATATATGTTTCATCAGGATATCATTAAAATCTAGTTTGTACCTCACTCTGCTAAAGGCACTTACATAATGTATCCATATTTGTAGGGATGCATTTTTTCATATGAGGCACGACTAGTTTCTGATAAAGATATGTGTTGTATCTAGCATTTGATTAGTAAAATTGAGAAATAAATGCTTTTACTTTGTTCTATTTTTTGGTTTTTTTTTTCGATGATCAAGCCGTTTTTGACTGTGATAATATATTTAGTCTGGATAGTTCTATCGCTTACTTGATCTTAAAAAATCGATATATAAATACTTGGAGGATCTATCAGGACACCTTGATTATTATTATTATTATGGGCAGAAAATAGTATATTGTATATGTATACAACTGACCGCATTCCTTACTGTGTACATGTTTTATCAGTATACTACTTGTCTTATCTTAAAGAAATAATAAAAGCCAGCTTCCTATATGACTTCAAAAAAAATCAGAGATATACAAAGACTTTAAACATTTTTGTGCTCTATATCTAAATTATAGAAGAGATAAACATTCTGGATCCAAAGTTATAACAAGTCGAATATAGGCTAACAAATATATATTTCTTAAAATGTAGTCTATTTCTATTTGCGTGTATTGTTTATTGGGATCAATAAGATATAAAAGTGTGTCTCCTTTCACCTACAGAATATATTCAGCTACTCTTTCCTACACTTGATTTAATGTGTAAGAACAGCCGACCATTCTAGTGCTTTAAGCATTGTCGCTTTCTTTTTAATCAAACTTTATTCCAGCTCGATTATATGAAAACGTTGGATTGTTTGTCGAGTCCAATCATAAACGGAATATACCGAAATGGTCCAGGAAAACTTTGTATTCGACTTTAATAAGTCAATGTTTTACTTTTGGGAATAATGAATGGTAAGAGAAATAAAAGAAAATAGTTTATAAGCAGAATATAGCTATTATTCATTTATGTTGATGTAAGCATATGTTTAAAGAATAAGATACTGATGGCTACTGAGGTATTCGGAATTGTTATTAGCCTGGTATCTCAATATTGGGAAAAGTAGATACTTTGATAGTGTTATTTATTAAAGAGACCAAATAATATTGTTTATATCTGTTACTATTAAAATCCCTGTAATTAAAATCCCTGTTGTGTAATGGTTGGTTTACACTGTATGAGTGTATAATGTTCATGTGCCTGGTGTGTAGCAGTTCTGGAGATTATTAACTTTTCAGGTTTATTGGCAAGAAGAGACCAGTGTTTGGCTATGGCTTTTATTTCGCTCAAGTGTAGTATGTATACTAAAAGACCTACTAAAAATTGCACCATATTATACAGAAACTTCATTTTTACATTTATGTGGTTTAAATCAGCCGAAATAACAATGGGGGATCCGCACAGTATTAACAATATATCTCCCCACAAAAAGCAAATCCTTGAAAAGAATGATAGTATAGTAATTCCACTTGCCTGACCGACAATAATACTACTAGGATTCTAAATATTGGTTATTTTACCCATTTTTTTCCTTGCTAAATTATTACTATATCGAGTGCTGACTCTACTTATCTCTATTGCTAACGGCCTTTGAGCCTTTGGTAATGATCGACCACAAAAAAAAGAAAATAAAAAGCTCAATATATCTAGCCAGACTATATGTCTTCTTCTACTCTCTCATACACCTTTCCACTGGGTCACTGTAAAATCAACATCATTATATTAGTATATTAAGTCCACTCTTTATTTTGCTTTATTGGTCTGTCGTAGATTCATTAGCATGGAGTATAATCCAATAACTGAGCAAGTCATTTTCATTATTGTAAAATACGATACGGAACAAAGAAGCAACAATAATGAGATATCGTCAATGTATGTACACCTATTATCATTTTTTTTCTTAGCACTCAGACAATAACATCGTTACGTACCACATTGTGAATCTTGAGTCATCAAACTAAACTAGGTTTCTAAACTGGTCATCTACTCAATTAACATGAGTTTCGACCCCATTGTAACGGGCGTTGTTACCATCTTTCAGTCAAACTTAGTTTGAAAGCTGTAATGCCTGAGCATACCACCGGATGACTTAAAAAGAGAGAGAGAGAGAGAGAAAGTCTGTTACTGTTCGCTTTACAAATGATAATATTCTTTAATGCTAATCTCAGATGATTGTCGGATGTACATGGATTCTTTTGTACAATCTTCACATGTTATGCTTTTGGGCTACGGCCTCTCACAGACTTTTAGGGAGGTTTCTTTTTTATTTGGTTTTGTAATAATAATAGTAATAATAATGATAAAAAATAAGCAATATAAATATAATAGCGTCTCCAGCAGTCGCTTTTATTTCGACTTTTATCCTGTATTTAGACTTTTAGCTAAAAGTCATGTTCCCAGAATTCATTTTATTTTATCTAATTAGAAAAAAACAGGATGGAGTTAGAGATCATGTCATGCAACTTATAACTTTCGCCACGTATTCCCTAACTTACTTGTTTCTCAATAAAATAAAATATAAGGCCTATACTACTTGGTAATTGTGTACGGCACACAATTAACAGTAAGGAAAAGTCATATAAAACTTCATAGGCCAATGACCCCTTCCCCCGAGGGGAGGGGGGAGCAAAGCTCCTAATATATATAATAACACATTTTGGTTAAAATATATAAGAGTTGATTTTTTTTTACTATGATTATAACTAATTCTAACTCTAGCTATAACTCTTATTCTAACACTAGCTATGACTCTTATTCTAACACTAGCTATGACTCTAATTCTAACACTAGCTATGACTCTAATTCTAACACTAGCTATGACTCTAATTCTAACACTAGCTATGACTCTAATTCTAACACTAGCTATGACTCTGATCCGGATTTTGCTAGTAAAGTTAGTTGTTAGTAATGTTAGTTGTTCAAAAAGTTAATTGTTTGTAGTTAGTTGTGAGTAAGGTTAGTTCCCGTTGCTTGTTAGTTCCCGTTGCTTGTTAGTGTCTGTTGCTTGTTAGTATGTTAGTCTGTTAGTCTGCTGCTTCTTGTTGCTTCCTGTTGTTACAAAAAGTTTTTTTGTTAGTTGCTTCTTCCGGGGTACCCGGAGATTACTCTTCTTGTTACCATCAGAAGAGTAATCCCCGGACTGCAGATGCTGTGATTACACCGGCAACTGTCAGCCATTTTCTAGTTCCATTTCCAACCTCTTCAGGTTCTGTGGGTGGATGTGGCTGTGGCTGTGGTTGTGGTTGTGGGTGTGGGTGTGGGTGTGGGTGTGGGTGTGGGTGTGGGTGTGGGTGTGGGTGTGGGTGTGGGTGTGGGTGTGGCTGTGGCTGTGGGTGTGGCTGTGTTATTTCAGCTTCGCACTCGTCATCGGCGTCGTAGTCGGCATCTTCTTCTGCTTCGTCGAGAAGTTCTTCTTCTGCATCAAAGAACTCCTCGCTTTCTTCTTCTTCTTCTTCTTCTTCTTCTTTGACTACTTCTTCTTCTTCTTCTTCTTCTTCTTCTTTTACCACTACTTCTTCTTCTTCTTCTTCTTCTTTTACCACTACTTCTTCTTCTTCTTCTTCTTCTTTGACTACTACTTCTTCTTCTTCATCTTCTTCTTCTTCTTCTTCTTCTTCTTCTTCTTCTTCTTTTACTACTACTTCATCTTCTTCTTCTTCATCATCTTCTTCATCTTCTTCTTCATCATCCTCATCTCCTTCTTCATCATCCTCATCTTCTTCTTCTTCTTCTTCTTCATCTTCTTCATCATCTTCTTCATCATCATCTTCTTCATCATCTTCTTCATCATCTTCTTCTTCTTCATCTCCTGCTTCTTCTTCTCTTCTTCTTTCTTCGTATCTTCTGTCTATCTCTCTTCTTCTTTCTTCTTCTCTTCTTCTTTCTTCGTCTCTTCTTTCTGCCTCTCTTCTTCTTCTTATTTCTTCTCTTCTTCTTATTGCTTCTTCATTGCTTCTTCTTTCTTCTCTTCTTCTTCTTTCTGCTTCTCTTGCGTCAATATCTCTTCTTCTTATTTCTGCTTCTTCTATTCTCCTTTTCTTTTGCTTGATAAAATGAGCTGTAGCTTTGTGCTCCAGCTCATTTTCTTTCTCCAATCGTCGCTTAAGCCCCTTGGGCAGGTCTGGTGCTATAGGTATATTATTGATTAATATTATATTGTTTATTTACTATTATATAGATACATGACTTACCAATAATTTTCACTTTTTTGATCTTTCGATCAAAAACTTTGACTAGATTAGTTTTGGCTAATCTAACTAGAATTGTATGTCTCAACAGCTTTGGGACATGCTTGTGAATGGCCTTTGGGCCAAACACAAACAAGCCGTTGAAGGACAATTTTTTGCTGCTTATGCTGCTGATGCTGCTGCTGGTGTTGCTGTACATTGGAGTAAACTAATGAAAAAGCGCAAAGAAGAAAAATAATACCGTGAGAGTGTTTCTTTTTTTTTAAATGCGTTATAATCTTTGGGCCACACATTTTGAGACGCGTTCTTTTTTTAAGGCGCAAGTTATAGCCTTTGGGCCACACATTTTGTAACGCCATCCTTTTTTTTTAATTTTGACATGAGCCAATCATTTGCAATTTTGAATACACGTGTCTGCAACAGAGTACTTGAGTGGGGGAAAGTGACTAATAAAACTTTGCTATTAGGAAGAGCTTTTGAGCTGTGTAGTGTCTAGAGTCGGATTACTGACCTCTCCTACTGCCAACTATTTACTTTTTTTTTTCTCCCTCCTTCTACACATTTCAATCTCCTAATGTCGTTGCTTTTCTCTTCCAAATGGCGGTGGTCACAAAATACACCCGCCGTCTCAAGTTCCCAAAATCAAGATATAAAACAAAGAATCATGATTAACCCCCTTGAGTAATTTTATTCAGGTTCAAGGTACATACACAGAAACAGTTTGTGCAAACTCATTCCATTCGAGCAAACCAATTAAGGGTTTTAAATTTTGATATATATAAAGTATATAGCTAAGACTCACTAACTGTCTAAAAATAATATATATATATATCATTTCTCAAAAGCACCACTGATACTTTCCTTCTTCTTCTTTTTTTGTCGGTATTATTTCTTGATTGAGTCGCCGGTATTTACTGGACGGCTATTTAAAATACATTATGCAGTTTGTGATATACATACCCCAAGGTATTCGTGATTGTTTATGGACTAGTATCTCAATAACGGGAAGAGTAGATACTGTGAGAGTGTTATTTATTAAAGAGACCAAATAATATTGTTTATATCTATTAATATTAAAATCTCTTTGATTCAAATCTCTGCTGTGTAATGGTTGGTTTACACTGTATGAGTGTGTAGTGTACGTGTGCCTAGTGTGTAACAGCTCCTGAGATTGTTAACCTGCCAGGTTAGTTAGCAAGAAAGAACCAGTGTTTGATTGTGGAGACTGTTCTTCACTCAATTGTGGTGTGTATACCACAATAGCTATTTGATTTGAACCAAAATTTTCGTTCTTGCTTTAATATCAAATTTTTATAGGAATAAGATATTTAAATAAACTTAGACAAATAGTTTTTTTCTTTCTTAGAATAGTATGACTATTGCTTCTTAAACTGTCTGAATGGGGGCAGCCGGTCTACCTCGTAATTAATATGAAAAGATTAGTGTATTATCTTGTAAAAATAAAATAAATCATTTGAATTAGCTATGGAAACATAATACGATGAAACATTTTTTTACATTTTTTTTTAAAAAAAAAAGAAATTCTTAATAATCATGATAAAGAAGATCTAAAGCAAGATGTATATATTGACTTTTATAATGGCTCATGTTGTGTGATTAATACAACACTATTCTTTGTGTCATTTGTTTTCTAGTCATAAAATTCTCGATTATATATGGGTCTTGTTTTATTTTTGCTATTAGACCTCTCCATATATGGTGTTTTTCTTTAGATGAATTCTTACATTTCCAATTGTAATTATCCTGTTTTATAATTCTTTTAACTGGTGCCTGCAAAATCTGGTTATATGTATTGTGCAGCTCTCATTTTACTCGGCTTTGATATTTTGCATATTACTGTATACTTTTTTTTGAGTTTATTAGTTGTCTCCTCTATGACCGCTCAAATCAAATACATGAATAGTTTCTTTTCAAATGGCCTATTTGGAAAATCTGAACAATGCTCCTAATTTTTCCAGGTACCCGATCTTATAGTCAGTAAATCTTTCATTTGTTGTATTTAATATACACTCTGAATTACTTGGAATTGTTTTAGGGTTAGTATCCAAATATTAAGAAAAAGTAAGTCTTACGAGAATTTTATTTATTAAAGAGAGTCAAATATGACTGTATATATATTACTATTCAAGTTCTTGCTGTGTAATTGAGGTATTCGGGATTGTTTATGGGTTAGTATCTCAATAATGGGAAAAGGAGATACTGTGAGAGTGTTATTTATTAAAGAGACAAAATAATATTGTTTTTATATCTGCTACTATTCAAATCCCTGTAATTCAAATCCCTGTTGTGTAATGGTTGGTTTACACTGTATGAGTGTGTAGTGTACGTGTGCCTGGTGTGTAACAGTTCCGGAGATTGTTAACTTGCCAGGTTCATTAGCAAGAAGGAACCAGAGTTTGGTTGTGGAGTCTGTTTCACTAAATTGTGTCGTGTAAAGCATAGAGGTCGTTCGGAACCACTTGGAAAAGGTCTCTTTCTGTCTTCTGATCAACCTTTCTAGATCTCCTGAGCTCTTTCTTGGGTATGGATAGCTTGCTTCATGCACTCTCATAATGATATACTTGACACTGGACAAAGTTCATGCCAACTACCGATTCAATATAGGTCGCTCCTAAATCTGCTAAATGCTTGTACAAGATGCAATTCTGTTTGTAGAAATCACATCTCTTACATGAACCGTGAGTTTTTTCTGATAAAGATGTGTCTTTCTTGTTTGGATTTGATTAATAGCATGAGAAATAAAACAATGTTTTTACTTTTTTTTGCAGGTATATTCTGTACTTTTATTAAAGTAAATAGGAGAGTAAATGTCTTTTATATATATATATATATGATATATACTCAAAGCATTGTTTTATTTCTCTGGGCTATAGTGTTGCTTATAGAAACTTATAATATTTGACAATTTCTACTATCCCAAAATTTGATATTTAGTAATTACATCAATAAAAATAAAAAATAAAAAATTAGGTCAGTGTTAGCACCACAGTTTCTTTAAGCAATAGTTAAGAAAGATAATAAGTTTTTACTTCTTTACAGAATACTTAACAGCTGATATTATGCGCGCAAATATGTACATCCCAAAGTCTAGCTATATTATAGATCAGTTCTTTCCTCAAGCCGAAGATTGATCTTTTAGGTTCAAAATCTTCATCCATATTTTCTTCGGCTTTGCGGCTTTGTATTCGGCATTTAAATGGTGCCGGATCGGAGTATCGTGTGCGCCATGAATTTTGAGGCACTTTTTTGGGGGGTGAAGCATAATTTCAATCTTTGGTTAAAATATATATATATATATATATATATATATATATATATATATGAACATGAGTGTAAAGGATACTCGGGTTAATAGTAATAATAAATGGTTGGATGGAAGTAAGTCAGGAACAAGTCGAAAGTGTCTAAAGTTTAATGATGACAAATATGTGATAAATATTGTTGGTGGTTTGTAAATGTTTGTCCTAAAGTTTAGTAAGTATGAATAAGAAAGATTGTCTAGAACTCAAATGATAGAATCTCAAATGTACAATTAATAATATGATATATATACATATAAATATATAAAAGTTTGTACCTCATTTTTGTCAAGATTGTAGGGTGTATCAAAATCGCATGTTTATTTTATTTTTTTTCATTGCGAGTCAATTAGAAGCCAAGCGTTTCCGAAGAAATGACTACAAAACTTTAAAATAAAATAAAATAAAAGCAAAAGTATATTAAGCTTTCCAAAGAGGAGAAAAATTCTTTATCCTTGTATTCCGACTTGTTAAGTGTAAATATATATACACATACCTATATACCTAATACATCTTTTACTTTGTGGGTCATTACGAAATAGGCAATATCCAACTGGCGTATATAAAAGATGGTTCTTGAGGCAATTTTACTGCTTTGTTGTTGCGCAATAAAATATATGTATATTTAGGTATATACTTTATGGTTATATAATAGAAAAAAAACTTCTACCTTGACCGAGGGTAACGGAAGAATAGATATATAGGGGGATGGGAGACGGGAAAACAAATATGGGACAGGTCATTAAGAAATCTCGGTCAAAAGATGTCAAAGGGATCGCGGAATCCAGGTCACAACTATACTAATTAGGAACCTTATTCCCCGGAGAGAATAATAAAAAAGTGCTACAAGCGTTCCGAAACAATCACAATAATCTGGTATGTGATCCAAATAAATAGAAACCAAGATAACATAACACCATTAAGTAAAATGATCAATTTATATACATATATGACGAGTCTCTATTTTCTATATAATCACAATCATAATCACTACAGCATCTTATTGGTTTCTTTTCTTTGTTTTTTTTTTGCACGGTTGAATATTCTCCGGAAAATCAATTATTATCTATCTATATATTTTTCCTGCTTCTGACAAATGTAACACTTTTGACTGTATGTCGCATAAATGAAGTTGCGATCGATGGGTTATGAGCCAAAGAAAAAGAAAAAGAAAACAATCAAACCTTCTTTTTATCTTTTATATTAAAATGACTAAGCGTTCCAGATAACTGGACCATGCACTGAAACATATCAAATAGTAACAACTCAATAACTAAAAAGAAAAAAAAAGAAAGAAATTGAAAGAAAGTGACACAACTTGACGATGTATTTACGTATGTTATAGGTGTTTGTGTGTGTAATGTGCAATAGGTGCAGGAGAATCGCCATTTTAGGTCAAATGGGGATTTCTTAACATAATTTATATTATTATTTTTTTAAAATGCTAGAAATATTTGTATATGCTTTTTTTTTTGTTACAATTTTTTTTGTTACAATTTTTTTGTGATTTTTCACAAAATATTATTACTACTAATTTATAATTGTATTTGTAAGGTTGAATGTACAATTATATATATATAACAAGTAAAGGTAGACGGTGTTCGTAAATGGTATTGTGACAAGTAGGGCTGAAATTGATATAATCACATCAAAAAAAAATCATAGAAAGAAAAAGAATCCTATAGATAAAATCAGTTTGATAATTTATTTTTTTTTTTGTTTCATGATAAATATCCAAATATTTCTGTGATTCAATCATAAGAATCATACAAAGATTGTAAACTAATTAAGACAAAGACAAAAGTCCATTATGTCATTACTGCTGTTATTATATATATATATATATAATTCTCCTTTACCCCTGACGAGGAAGTAAGAAGATTTATGAAGGCCGATAAACGTAAAATAAGAGAAAAAAATAAATCATAATTGTGGTTCAACCGCTGCTGAATTTAAATCGCAAAAATTAAACTAAATTAATATAAAATGGAAAATGATAGGACACTGTAGGAATTTAAGGCGGAGTAAATACATTTAAAGTAATGAATTAACTCAACTCATTTCAGCACAACCCAACCCAACCTACTCAACACAATACCCAACTCAATTAAACTCATTTCAATTCGATTCAAGCAACAACAATAATGATTTTTTTCTTTTCTTTTCTTTTCTTTGGGTTCATAAACATTTTATAATATATACATATACATATACATACATAAATATATATAGATATATAAAGAAGAGTAGTACATGTGGAAGAAAGAAAGGGAACGGAAGGGGGGGGGGGGGAGAAAAGAGTTGCGTGATATAAGATATATTGGCAAATTATCAAACGTGTAAAGAAAGAATAGACCAAGGATTTTGTTGAAGAAAAAAATACCATGGTGATTCTTTTTGCATGTAGTTGAGAGTTACTATAATAAATATATATATACATAATTTTTACACTACCAGAATTAATTACTACTATGATAAATAAATATATAGATAGATAGATAGGTAGGTAGGTAGGTAGATAAGTAGAGAGGTAAAAGTAGATATAGAAAGGGTGACAAAGAGATATTACAGCGAGATCGTGAATTAATATCTACAATAAATGACTGATATCCTTTTCTTTTTTGTTTCTTTCCCTTGGTTCCTTTGGAATTTTGATATAATTTGTATGGGGCCTTGATTCCTTTTCTTTTCTTTTCCTTTTTTTTTGGGTTTGATTTGGGTTCTCTATTACTATTTGTTCTTTCGGTGAAAGTCTATTGGAAGATGTGTGTGTGTGTGTGTGTGTATTTTGTTGTTGTTTCTGCTGCTGCTGCTGCTGCTGCTGTTGTTGTTGTTTTTGGTAGTGGAGGATGATTGATGAAGAAAATGAGGAGCGATGAGAAAGATGAAAAGGCGGAATAGAGAAAGGACTAATGAGGTATTTTGTTGTTGGTGCTTAGCATATATATTGAAGTTTCTTTTCAAGAAGAGAAGAACCCGAGATGGATGAGCGAGTAGATTTTGTTGAAGACTTTGCTGAAGATTTTCCTGATCTTGAAATAGCAGCAGTGGCGGCAGCAGTAGCAGCAGCAGCGACGTTTGCCATTGCAAAACAGTCAACAGCCTTGCTCTTGTTTGCTTCCGAAATATAACTGGTGTCATCACCATATACAGAGTTCACCGTAGACTCGCTAAAGTCTTCAAAGGTCATATCAAGATCAAACAGGTTGTTGGCACAGAGGTAGGTCCTCAGACTGTCCGAGTCATCACTACCGCGGGTAGACAGAACATCGATTCCAGAAAGATTGGCAACTGTGACACGCGAAGATGATTGAGAGAGGCTGCCGTGTGGGGAGTCGGTGCGATGTCTCTGGTGAGAAGTGAGGTCGAGTTTCTTGGGTTTTTTGCCGATTGCTAGAGACGATGCTGCTGCCTCGCCTTGGACAATTCGAAGGAACTGCTGTTCATCAAAACTCTTGAGTGCTGCCCAGGTAGGATTCAGGAATGCAAATGTACGCTTGATAGAGCTCATTTGTTCTATATTATATTATATAATATTTTATTTTATTATTAGAAAAAGAAAGAAAGTATAAATGTATATCAAGAAACTTACGTCTACCGATACCACCATTGGCACCAATACCATGAAGAGGTTTGAGAGGAGCGGGAGCAGTACCTTTGGCGCCCTGGCGCAAAGGTGCCTTCCCCTTTTCGATACGACAGATGTTTCGGGCAATGCAGACACCAGCCAGGGTGGCAGCAAAACCGGTTTTTTCTTCATCAACATTGGTGACATCTCCACCTGCAAAGATGTGTTGGTACTTCCAGTGATCCAGCTGTAAAGTAGGTTTGACACGGATGCGGTCCCAGAGATCTACACAGGACTCAAAGCCGACGTCGCCTGCGCCCTGGAGCAAACCACTGCTTGGGATGGTGCCGGTCGCCAGATAGACCTTGTCGTAGTTGCGATAAACGTGGCCGCTGGATCCAAGATATGTGTTTTGTTCTCCGGTGTCAAAATCGACGATCTTCTCTCCGCAGATAACCTCGACACCAAGGCGGGTCAGGTAGTCAAATGCTCGTTCCCGACGCTTTGAGGAACTGCGACGCACAAGATCATCATGAGATTCTACTAGGGTCACACGCTTCTTTCTTCTGTAAGGAGGTGGGAAGTCATGCAGAGAGATCTCGCTTGCCAATTCACAGCCGACAAGTCCGCCTCCTGAAATTGCCAAAAAAAGAAGAAGAAGAAGAAGAAGAAGTGTTAGTATTTGTGCATAAAGCTCAGAAAGAAAGATATAAAAAAAAAAGAAATGTTACATTGTAGTACGTTACGTTACCAATAATTAGAACACTGTTGGCCTTTTTGAGATCATTGTGTTCATTGACCAATTCTGACATGCGGTAGAGTGCAGAGATATCAAACGATTTTAGCTTTGATCTGTATGTACTTCCAGTTGCAATTACGAGGTAGTCAAAGTGAATCTATATGTAATGTATTTTAAAAAGCTCTTAAGTACATGTTTATTCAAAATAAAGCAATAAAAGCTGTTGCTGTTGTTGTTATTTTATTTTATTTTATTTTTGGTCTTACCAGTTCATCATTCACGCGGACAGCAGTAGCATCTTGTTCTATTCTTTCTGCGCACCCAATAACCACTCTGCCGTTTTTAACATAAGCATTGTGTCTGACTCGAAGTGATGACGTATCTTCAGGGCGAACAAGCATCTAATAAAGAGCATATATGTATTAGCATCTTGCAAAATAAATGATTTTAAATATAAATATATATATAATATCTTACCTTGATCATACCAGGGCTGTATTCGAATGAATCTAAAAGGCAGGTTGTTAATGTGATAATACCAAATATGGAAGGCCTCTATATGTATTACCTTTGGTATCTATCAAAGTCACGTGGAAACGTGGCATAGGGTCCAAGATGGAGGCAACCGTGAAACCCTACGAAACCCAGATAAACAGCATCAGTTTTCCACGTGCTCCGCCGTCGTGAATATCATATATTGGGGGTAGAAAAAAAAATACTTTACCGTAAATCCACCGCCAATAATAGCAACTTTTTTCTGAGAACGAGTTGCTAATGAAGAAGTGCTATTTTAAAAAAATCACATATATATTATTAGTATGATTATTACTTTGTTTCTTTAATATATAGTTTTGAATTGAATTGGATTAAATTTGAATTGAATTTGAATTGAATTAAAATTAGACTAAGCCAAGTTAAAGTAAAGTAAAAGTAAAAGTAAAGTAGTACTTACACAGGGTGGATATGGATCTTGTCAAAATCAATTACCATTTTTTCCTAAAAGAAAAAGAATAATGAAAATGTTAATATAAATAATATATATATATATATATATATATTTGGGTATTGTATTATTCTCTTGGTGGCTTACTCACCAAACTTTCTCTAACGTCTCGTTCTGCTTCACTAAAGATGTCAAGGGCCTTCTCTTTTGTGAGAATTGCCCATCGCATTGCTTCAATTGCACTTCCGATTGCTTTTGCGTCCTTGATATCTAATTCCAATGGTGAACCAAGAGCAATAAAGGTCCGCCAGATTCTAATAAATTGACCATGTTAACCAAAAGAGAAAATGCATATGCACCCCATTTTATGTAAAGAAAGAAAAATGTTCTACCTGTGAACAATGGATTCTACATTTGAAAGGTGCTGTTCGTGACGTAGTTGTGATAATGCTTCGATAAAGAGCAGGTTTTCATGAGCTTCCATACGTTGTAAATAGACTTCAAACGAAGCAAGTAAATTTGGTGTAGATAGGATTTGTTGAAGTCTCGTTCGTTGACATTCTGCAGGAGATTTCATTGTTTCGTTTTTAAGAAGTTTCAAGAGAGAGAAAGAGAAAGAGAGAGAGAGAGAGAATTCTTATTTTTTTATTTAAAAAAAAAACAAGAAAAACAAAGGACGGTTTAAAGGTTGAACGGTAAAGTTTTGGTTGTTTGGCTGTTTGGTGATTATTGAATTGTGGTATTTTTGTTGGTATTTTTTTTTGGGATATTCGTCTGATAGAAAGGCTATCTATGTTTTTTGGGATAAGAGATTTCACAGGGTCCTTATATACAATTTTTTTTTGTCATTTTTTTTTCTTTTCTTTTTTAATTTTTGTGATATATGAGTATTTTTCTCAGTTTCGAGCTACTACAAAATCCAACACCGCTTATGGTTGGGAAGGAATAGTGGCGGGGAACACTGCTTATAATTGTATTGTATTGTATTTTATATTCTATATATATATTTTATATTTTACCATAAAAAAATCAAAATCAAAATCAAAATCAAAATCAAAATTAAAGCTAAAATGATAATAGCAGTAGCAGTAACAGTAACAGTATCAGAATCAGTATCAGAATTAGTAGTAATAAGCATTAATAAATACATATTTGTATTTGTATATTTAATGTAATGTAATGTAATTTGTTATGTAAAAAAAAATATAAAAAAAAACAACAATAATGTTTTATATGAATTCAAACGTCAGAATCCTCGGAAATTTTGTAACTATTAATATTTTATTTTTTTTCTTATAAAAATTTATACTGATATTTATAATTGTAATTGTATTTTGTGTGTTTGTGTATGCAGTGAGGTCCAAGCACCAAAGAGGTCCACTGAGTTGGATATTATCTTTTGGCTGTGAACCCCCTTTCTTGGGTATGGGATGATTTTAGGGAAGCCAATCACGGGCTGGGCTCATGCCCCCCGCTTTCTCCTACGGTGATATCCCGAATAGTCTAAGCACTCCTCTCAAATTTGGGGGTTGAAGAAGTCAAATAGATGTACACACGTATTTTATATATATATATATATATTCCAAATGTAGAGTTGTACGGTAAATTATTATTATTATTATTATTACATATAAAATATAAAATATAAAAAAAAGAGACCATAAATAATTATAACCACTTGGTTTGACAAACAAACAAAATAGGTTGCACACTACGATCATTATTAAGAACCCTTGTACAGCAGACAAAATAGATCGGATATCTAACTCTTTGGTTGTCTCTTCCTTTTAGATTATATTATTATTATTATTATTATTATTATGTAGTGGTAATAAGCCATAAAATGCTATAGGTTTGGTGGTCAGGATAGACTTCTTGTAGCATTTCATTTATTTATTGTCATTATTTTATTACTCTTATTAGCCATTTAGCTATTAGCTAATTATTTTATTACCTTTTGGCTATTGACTATTAGCTATTGGCTATATAAATAAATATGATACTCAAATTATATGTATTTTGCTTACCTTTTTATTTGATGTTGCGACTCTGGGTTACATTAAGTGTTGCACGGAGGCAGAAGGAAAAGGGGTAGGACCTCCTGCAAGATTATGTTTATAAATATTATTAGTATTATAGAGCCGCACACTTCAAGATATATATATATATATATATATATTAACTAAAGTAAGATTCTCAACTAAAAGACACATATGAAAGCAATAGAGAGCACAACTTGCTGCAATACATAAAGTGGTATGTATGTAAGTATGTATGTATGTATGTATATGTGTAAGTATGTACGTACCAATTCTGCTTCTTTCTTTCTTTCTCTCTTTTTGAGATTTTGAATTTTGTTTTTACTATTTCTAGTCCAAGAACGAGTACGTTGAATGTACAAATGAACCGTAAGAAAGGAGAAGAAGGCACAACATGCGGATCAGCGCATATGCACTTCTTTACATCCTTCTTTTTTTCTAATATTCTCCTTTATCCTTCTCTCCTTCTAAAAAATCAAATGTATTCCCAACCTAGTAGCTAATGTTGTAATTCCTGTTAGTCTTTTTTTTTTTTGCTCTGCGCTGCTTAGTTTAGCTTAACTTAGCTTTGCTTTATTTTACTTAGACTTTGCTTTGCTTTGCTTTGCTTTGCTTTGCTTTACTTCGCTTTGCTTTGCTTTACTTAATTCTGCTTTGCTTGGGTTTATTTTATTTTATTTTTATATATTGACCTTCCCCCCCCCTTTCCCCTTCCCTCTCTCTCTCTCTCCCTCTCTCTCTCTCTCCTTTGGTGTTATATAAATCTCTCTTCATCTCCTTTTTCTTCCACACCTCTTTTTCCCTCTTCTGCAACCATGTCCTTGCAATCCACACGAGCTCTTTTCATTCTCAGCTTCGTCGTTGCTCTTGTGTTTGGAATCCAGTGTGTCAAGGCGGCCGTTGGGTGCGCTGCGGAGGCAAAGTAAGTCGATCTTTGATTAAATAAGTATATAATTATTTTTAATTATGTATATGTGTATATATGTGTATATATAAATATATATATATATATATATATATATATGTGTGTGTGTGTGTATGTGTATGTATTGGGCTAACATAAATCAACAAAAGTTTCCAAGGATGTAAAAGTATCGAGGAAACTCAGCTCAAGAGTTGCGGCCCGTCTGATTACGCCTGCCAATGTGCAGCCCAAAAGCTTATCCAACAATGCTACAATTTGTGTCCTACATACGCCAGCGATGCGTCTATTCAACAGGGCACGGTAGACGGTATCTGCGCTGCCGTACCAGTTACCACAACCACAACCGTCATTTTACCCACAAGCTCAGTGGCCCCGGTAGTCCTTCCGTCAGTCATTCGCCCATCGTCTTCCTCGTTTGTCTCGATTAAGCCTGCTGCACCCACCGCCTCTGCCAGTCATCCTGCCACTTCTAGTGGAAGCCAGTCAAGAGCCACATTCAAGACTCTTACTCTTGTTGCTGGGATTGGTCTTGGTCTTAGTGTTGGTCTTGGTTGGGTTGGGTTGAATTAATTAAACAACAAACCACAAAATTTAAAGTGTACTTTACATCCTAATAATCAACCCTTTTTTCTTCTTCTTCTTCTTCTTCTTCTTCTTTTATATCTCTCTCCCTCTTTCTCCTCCCTATTCTTCTTATTATTACTCTTACTTTTTTTGTGTGTGTGTGTCTGTGTTTGCGTGCCTGTTAGTTTGCTTGTTAGTTTGCTTGTTTGTTTAGGTAGTAATAATCTTTCTATTTCTCTCAACCTATTTATTTATTTACTTACTTACCTACCTACCTACCTACCTACCTACCTACCTACCTACCTACCTATCTACCTATCTATCTATCTATTTAGTTTCTCTCTTATTATTGTAATAGCGCACAGGCGCCTACGCTTCTTTCTTCTTATTTTCATCTTATTTTTTTTGTTTCTTTTAAATTTATATTTATTTAGTATTAAAAAAAAAGCAAAAAAGAAGACCAACTTCTTTTTGTCAAAGATATTTCAAGTCGCACCAAACAAACATACTAGGAAGAAAGCATCAAACATAGAAAGCTTTTCTCACTCAGTTTATTATTATTATTATTATTATTATTTTGAGAGGGAGGGAGGGAGTAAGAAAGATATTTGACATATGAAAAATATATATATTTATATTTATATACTTTGAATCCTTTTATTATTCTATATTTTTATAAAGAAAGAAAGAACCAGCAAAAAAAAAAAGAGACCTCGTTCAGACTCGGCCTATGGTTCTTTATAAAGCAAATGCCCATTTTGTTTCTTCTCGCTTTCTTTAGCTGAGAATATGTTATAAAAAAAAATAAGCGCAAATTATAGTCTCTTTTATTTTTTATTATTTGTTATATATATATATATACTCATGCTTATACGTCCCGCTCTTTTGTAGGCCACGTTGTTCATTACAAAGAATACTTTTTGATTTCTTTATTAAAAATAGTAAAGTAAATAGTAGTCATGACAACAAGTCTAAATATTTAAAAGTAAGTTTTTATTTATTGCCATGGTGATTTTTTCTTTCTTTCTATTGTTGTTTAGTGATTTATTTATTTTTTATTTTTTGGGTTCCTGAATACGTATAATGTATATACTGTCAAGTAAATGAATAATAAAAAAAAACAAATCCAAGTAATAGTAAATCTTAATTGGTTATAAAATAAGAAGAGGAAACGAAACGAAAGAAATAATCTTTTCTTTTTCGTTTCCTTTTTTTTTTTGTTAAATTCACATGTGGTATGTAACACGCATCTAAAAGTGTAGCTTACCTATCGATCAGCATCCAAATTAGTAAGACATCTGTGTTACATAATATAAAACATGTGTATATATTAGGCAAATACTTTTATTATCACACTTTGAACTGACTTTCTTTTTTGAATTGAATTGACTTGGAATTTTATTATTTTTTATTGTTTTAATGTGATGTGTTATGAATAAGTAGAATTATGGGTAGAAATTGGGTGCGTGATGTGCGTGTGCGTGTGATATTATATTTGTATATATATATATTTTTGTTATTTTTTCTTTTTCGTGAATTCCACAAAGTAAGTACCTTTCAAAATATAGATTCATTCTTTTTTCTATTCCCATTTTCTTTAGTATTCCATGGAAGTATATATATCAAGTCATTTATAAAAGATTACGTTACTTTCACATTCATACGCATAAACACAGGCACAAATTAAGATTTTTATATATATATTTCTTTCTTTCTTTCTTTTGGGTTGAAAAAGACGGCTTTTTTTTTTTTTTTAATAAGAATAAAAAAAAAGTATGTAAAAGTACATAAGAAATAAATAAAATACCTCAAAAATATCGGATACTTAACTTGAGAAAAAAAAATTAGGAACAGAAGGAAATAAATGTATATATATAAAAAAAAATACCGGTCAGACCCTTGTTATAAAAATGCACTTTGTACACTTCAAAACTCGATAATCGAAATAATTTATTATATCGACAATGTAAATTTTTTTTTTATTATATGTATAAATATTCGATTGGTTTCCATGGATACAGCTTTTAGACATATTAGGTTTAAACCACGTGTAGACGCTAGATTTGGTTATAAATTATATATATATAAAGAAAATAGAAACATAGAAGAATATACATATATATCTGGTATACAAAGAAAATAGAGAGGAAGAAAGAAGCATACAGAAAAAAAAAAGAGTAGCAACAAGAAGTAGTGTAATAAAGAGAAGCATATTTATATAGGTATGTATAAAAGTGATGCGCTTCTTTTTTCTTTTATTCTTGCTGTATCACAATGGGTCATAATTTTTAAGCATAATTATTTGTTTCTTGTTTGAAAAAAAGAAAAAAGAGAGTGAAAAACTCGTTCGATATAATGGAAATTAGCTTTTGATCAACTTCATCAGATCAAGTAGAACAAAGGGAATACAAGCTCTTCTTGTTTTTTTTTTTCGTTTATTGACTTGTGGTACAAATGTTGGGTTTGGTGGATTGTGATCTTCTGTTTCTGTGTACGCAGACCATTTCCTTTTCCTTGTTGCATTGATACCCACCTAAATTCACAATAGCAATCTATATGAAAGCAAGACAAGACAAGGCAAGACAAGACAAGACAAGACAAGGTAAGGCAGGCTATAGTGTGTAAGTAATTATCAATAATATAGATACAAAATTATAAAGATTAGATCTTCGGCTCTTCAATAAGAGGAATAATATAATAATATCTTATATCCTTGTAAAGCCTATTTACAATGAATAATTACTAAAAGCCTGTAGCTAATTGGTTTTTACAACATATTTTGTTATCCATCTTGAAATTGACGGATAATTATCCTATGAATAATATTATATATATATATTGTATATAATGAAAATGCTCAAATACACACATGGATACATGGATACATAAATATCAGTATACACTCTTTATTTTATTTACAATACTCTTGGTCTTCGAGACTCTTCTAGCTTCAAACACTATATAAATAAATAAAAGAAATATATATATATAGGTGCCTTTGGGTATTCCGCGGCAATAGGGCTAGAAGAAGTGGAAGAAGGAAAAAGAATTTGTATATATATATAGTTTATATTATATTTTAATAATAATAATAATAATAATAATAAAGTGGACGTAAAATCACCTTATTTTTTTGGTTGGTTGTTTGTTGGTTGTTGCTAAATTTTTCTTTAAATGCTTTAATTGATGACTATGGTCGTGTTACTCTGACTTGTCAAAGGGGTTATAATAAAGAGTTCCCTCTCATACACCCCCCCCCCTTTTTTTTTTTCTATCACTTTCTTTTAATCCGAGTCCGAGTCCCTTTCGTCATTGTATCTTGTCTTTGTTACCTAGATACGGTTCTTTTTCTTTCTTTCCTTCAAACATTTAGCTTTTAGTCCTTTTTTAGGTTTCTTTTTTAGCTTTGTACTTTACCTTGTGTTTTTACTAGTTTTGTAACAAAAAAAAACCAAAAAAGTGATACAGAATTTTAACAATTATCCTAACTATTGATTTAGGATCATCAAAGGCCCTTGATTGCTTGCTTGTTTGCGTTTTTTTTCTGTGTTTAATGATTTTATTGTCTAGATATTTCAATCACACACATACACAAAATAATAAAACCGATAATGATAATTATAATGACGATTATAATGGTAATTATTATTGTTGTTATTATTGTATGTGTTTGTTAGTCAAGATCAGACGTCTTGACCAAATCATCTCCAAAAACAGCCTGTACAATTTCATTGTTCTACAGAATTATGTTTAGTGATTGAACCTTGAATAATAATTCTAAAACCACAAAATCATAAATAGAATAGAATCATTACATACATAAATGTGTTGAATAAGGCCTTGTCCTAACACGTCAAAAAATGCGTCGAATTCCAAGATATGCGCTTTTGTACAATTGTTTTTTTTTATACATATATTAGAACATTATCTTCAGCTTTTGATTTTTTTATAACTAGCTACAATAATAATAGAAGGAAAAGAAAAAGGAAAAAGATAAGCTCTTACCCCAGCCCCTAAAGACGAATAACCTTTTACCGAGTTTGGTCTTCTTTTCTGGAACGAGCCCATGTTCGGCAGTTTGGAGTACTAGACGGAACACGTTGCGCTGGTCCTTACTTTCGTGTTTCTTGTACTTTCGGTTACCGTGTGCTGCCAATTGATTTAGTATCGAAAACATTCGACTGGTATTGATACAATTATCATCATCGTCATTATCTTTTAATGCTTTAATGGCTTCTGCTGCTTCTACTGCCCCTGATTGCAATTGCGATTGAAATTTTGGCTCTGCTTCTGCTTCTGCTTCTGCTTCTGCTTCTGCTTCTGTCGCTGTCTCTGCTTTTGCTTTTGCTTCTGCTTCCGCTCCTGTCTTTGTCTTAATATCTGCACCTGTATCTGTATCTGTATCTCTATCGTTTGATTTTAAAGATTTGGACATCTAACAATAAAACCGTCAAATTTCTATTTCTTCTTATTTATTCTATACTCAATAGCCTACTTTTTTTTATATAATTTTTTTATTACTTTTTTGTAGAGTGTGGCAGTTGATTCAAGCATCAGACCAATGTTCTCAGCTGCGGCCTTGCGAATATCCATCGATCTCGATTCCATCAAATCCAAATGAATCGTCATAACACTGTTTTTTTTTTGGGTTTTGTTATACAAACATTTAGCCGTCTTTAACCCGACAACGTTATATATATATATATTGTACACTTAAATACAAAAAAGAAAAAAAGAAAACTCTGCACGCGTAGACTTACCCCCGAAGCTCATCTCTCGCGTCATCCCAGGTTCCCCGGCCATCACCATACAAGGAAGCATAGAGAAGTCCATACGCACACAAACTGGTTTCGACCAAGATCTGTATCTGGCCAGTGGTCAGAATCTCCGACTCACCCGGGTCCTCTGCCTGAAGAGGGGCCCCGTCAGTCAAGAAGATCCTGTAAAAGAATCCAAGATTCTGTCTGGTATCCGCATCTGATGCAGCTATTAATGTCACCATTGCCAGCGTAGTCATGCTCTACACACAAAACACATTTACACACACGCATACAAGCAATTATATATATATATAGATATATAACTCACACTCTCTTTCCATATATTTTCTTTCTCTTACTTATTGTTATGTAATTTTTATTATATGTAAACCAATTCTATAAAAAAGCTCTGTCTTTCTACTTTCTTCTTTTTCTTCTTCTTCTACCACCTTGCCTTTATTTATTATTCTTATTACTGATACTATTAATACCACTACTTCTACTGCTATTCTTATGTGTTGATATCAGTATTAGTACATATATAGTCTTCTGTACCTGGTGCTTTAACTCGGCTCGGTTCCCTCCTTCTAGAATCAGGCTCTTGAGATGTGGTGCAACCAAAGCATAAAGAACATCTTGTTGCGATTTGGTTATATCACCCTGGTTGAGAAACACGAGAGCAATGGACCGGATGGCCAGAAGAGTCTCATGAAATGAGCCAGGCTTACGGAGCAATCGGATTAATAACCGAAGGAGGGTTTCAGATCGATTGGTCTCCAGGCATTTTCCACAATAGTGGTGGGCCAGGAGCTGTACCAGGGAAAGTAGTGTTCCCGGGTGTGGACTATATAGGTGTAGATTATTATTGTACTTTGAATAAGGAAGTCCAATATATATCTTTATTTTGAATATAGAATAAAAAATCAAGGACTTTGCAAGTTGCAAGTGGGGGGGTAGCGGGCAGAATATATATATATGCATATTATATAAAAAGAGTCTATAATGTTGTTGTTTTTTTTTTTACCTGGTATTTGTTCCAAGGTCATCTATGTACTTGTCTATCTCTTCAACTAAACTCTCCTGATCAATAATATCATGCAGACCAGCAGAGCTGTCAGACAGAGACTCGCGTTCCTCGTCTAACTCTGACCCAGTACTTTGATTGTGAGGAAAACGAAACAGACCATGGTTGACACTCTTATGAGAGTTTTTGGGCATTGCAAAGGGAAGGCGGTTGGCTATATCTCCAGTCAAAAACCCTTTTATTGGTTAATGTGACGTAAAGCTGGTTTCACATCATAATACTGTCACACAACTTGTACACACATTTTTATATATATATACATTTATTTATATTGATTGAATAAATTATTGATTGGTTGGTTGATTGATTGGGTGATAAATGGTTCTTTACTTGATAAAGAAGTATAAGAAGAAGTATGTTGTTGAGAAGAAAAGATATACTAATAAAGACTGGTTCGCTTAATATCAAGTAGTCTATTGTTTTCAGTGTCTTTGTTAATAAAAGGAAAATAAAGGGCAAAGGATTTAGTGTGGGAGAGGGGGGGTAGGGGCTTTAGGGTTGGAGGATGTGGGCGGGAGAAAGAGAGTGGCGATCGGTGGATCTTCTAGATTTTTAGTATGATTTTGTTGGTCTTATTTATTCTACAAGTACCGTAAGTGGTAAGGCCAAAGAGCACAAATATCATGCGGTCTTTAGGTCTATTTTATTTTATTTCTCTCATGTAAATTTTATAAGAAGCATCAATTGCTTTAATTGCTTCTCTTTATTTTTATTTTTTATATATATAGCTGTTGTTGTCGTTGTTCTGTTCAACTATACTGTTTTAACTCTTTCCATAAACAAACAAAAAATTGATACAACACAATAAGATGAAGCACTCAATTAATACAACCAACTTACAACACTCACACTCACACTCGCATGGACCATTGACACCACCAGAGGATGTCCTAACTTCACCTTTGCCTACGATCAATGAACCCCAGAAGCCTCGCAAATCGTCCGTAACCTTTGACCCGGCTCTGCAATTCAAGAACGAAGAGATCCTGTCTCCAACCGCCACAGAATCACCCCAGCCGATGGCAATTGACCTCAATGCGCACGCCGTCCCGAGCTCTATTCTGGTCTCGCTCTGGGATCGAGAAAACGAGATGCGTGACCTCGTAAAGCACAACCATATGTTCTTCGACCCTCTGAGGACCCATTTGCCAAACTGGTCGCGGTTCGAGAACACCCTCTACTGCCCACGCAGCCAATTGAATGACGAAGCCTGGATGAGCCGTATCGGAAAGGCTCTGGAGGCCAACCCGTCCTTATTGGATCGGTTTAAAGATCTGGTGGGGTACATTGGTAATGAACCAGATGACATTAATGGCAACCAACTGAACGACGACGACGAAGAGTCTATTGATGCTCCAGAATTCGACAATGTCGATCTAGTCAACATCCGCAACTTCCCAAATCGACTCAAGAAGTTCCCAGATTCATATCCTCAGTTCTTTATCAACTGTCAGCAAGCACTTGATTCTAATGGACCCGCTAATGCCTATGAGCATTTTAAAGAAACGCTATTCTGTCCAAGAAGTCAGATGACAGATGATATGTGGGAGTCTTCCCTGAATGATCAGCTGAAGGTTGCCCCTATTTTGATGACCCAACTCAAGGAAATAATAGCCTATGAAGCCGAGGAAGAAGAAGAGGAAGAAGAGGAAGCAGAAGAGGAAAAGGAAAAGAAAGGGAGAGGAGTCGAATCAGAATTACAAGAAGACGTATGACCTGTCTTGTAATATATTATTTTCACTATAATCCCTTGTCCCCCAATACATAATATATTGATTTAAAAGACCCTCATACATATATATATATATATATAAAACGCCCCCCCCCCCCTCTCTCTCTCTCTTGCACTATCATTCTTTCTTTTATTTTCTCATACTTACACTTAATCGTACATACAAATATAAATATAAATAACAAATACAACAAATACAACATGTACAACATGTACAAATACACATGCACATTTGTGTATATTCGTGATATACATATATATATATGTGTGTGTGTGTGTGTTTAATAAAGAACAGGACTGCAGTTATATTGCAAGAAATGTACCATGACATGTTTGCTATTTTTTAAATTGAATTTAAACAATCATGCAATTTTAAACCAAGACAAAAGACACAACCTCAAATAACGTAGTACACAGAATCATTTCATTTTAAAGGACCGGACAGTCTTCAGTACATTCCGGACCGCGGCTTGTGCGGGGAGGAGAATATGCCGGAGTGGTCTATATATATATAAATATTTTCATACAAAATGAAATATATACTGTGTAACAAAATGATATATATATATATCCATATATATAAAAGAAACCTACACTATATAGGTAGACAGATACAGTATCCTAACCAGTGGGTCTATTGTAATATTCTTCTGTGTGTCTATGTGCCAATTGGTTAATAGTCAAAAAAAAAAAAAGGAAAGTGTTGGATAATTATGTATATGTATAGATAGAAACATAAATATTTGCAAACTATCCATAGCATTATTTTACATTGATTTCATAAGGATCTTTGACAGTTTTGACTTGCTCAAGCTAAAGAAGCTTTCTCTTGCTTGCTTAATCACTTGTTGAATAAGAAAGCCAAAGTTTCCCTGACCAAAAGAAGAAAAAGAAAGAAAACTTATTTAATTTAACCCTAATTTTTGTCTTTTTCTCTTCTTTATTCATATGAAAACAATAACCAGCCTCCAATTCAACTCATTGACCTAGAATGCACTCAATACATACTCTGTTCCTCTCTTGCATACACACAAATGGTCACTCATATTAAGCTCTTGTCTTAATAAGTTGTAATGTATTAGGAAAGGACGAGGGGTGTTTCTTTTATTTTAAAAGAAAAAAGAGCTAATATGATTGTGCAAATGAATGTTGTGCTTTTGTATTCAACTGTTTTTCCATACAAAGGTATTGTACCATTGAAATGATTAAAATGATTGTATGATTGCATATATACATATATATATATATATGTGTGTGTGTGTGTGTGTGTGTGTGCGATTCTGTTATCCAGATAAAGCACTGATAGAAAAGCTTGTTACTCAAAATGTTATTTTCTGTTTTGTGCTTGAGAGGCTGTACCGATTTCAAATTTCTCCCATAGCATGTTGAACCTATTCACAGTTACAGGCATTACATGAAATTACATTACATCCAGTAATGAAGTATCATGCACTGGTACCAATACCTCAATTAATAAAGAAATTGGTATATATATATCTGTAACGCAAAGTATATTTAGGTATCTTATATAGTTCCCAAGATGTTGATTTTACTAGAGTAACATTGATACAATTGGATTTCTATTGTTTTTAATCATTAGCTTTTTAATATACAAATATATATGTCACAAGACATCTCGGTACAAACCAATATTTTGACCTGATAACCTCAATTAAAAAAGAAAAGAAAACTATATGTATATGTATATATAGAAAATAAACTATGGGTGGTTCTCTATATGAAAGACAAATTTATAAGAAACATACTGCATGTGGATAAGATATGCGTGGGTAGGTTGCACTTTCTTTCCTTTCATTTCAGGTGACCTAAAGGTGAAAGGGGGATTAGTTTGTAAAGTAGTTAGATGTTTAGTAGGCAATTAAGTCTTTACATCTCTTGCTCTTTCTTTTCTCTCTCCCCCTTTTTTTTTACCAAGACATGTTACCAAAAATCAAACGTATAGATAGCTATATAGCTAGATCCATTGAATGATATTTTAGTCTGTAATGTGAATATCTTGGGACTTCTTTATCAAAACGTCAAAGGATTCATAGCATGATTACCACAATAACAAACAAACATACAAACATAATCACGAGACACCTTGGGTGCTGATTGTATCAGACTGAGCCAACATAATGTCTGGAATGATCCATGAAAGGGTTCTCTCTTTGTACAAAAATTAAAGAAGAAGAAGAAAAAAGGAAAATTGAGTTGTAGAATGTAACACAATGATATAATATGTATATTTCCATTTCCATTTTTCTTTTCTTTTCTTTTCCTCTTTGACTTCATTTGTGCTTCTCACCAAATTATAATAAGCATTCACAGTACAAAGAGGGATCCCAAGTTATATCTACCCACAAGTTCTAATCGTCCAAGTATCAAAGACTGATATAAATATAAGTGTTCAAACATTGGCTCTAATAATTGTTTGTATATATGTATATATTTGGTGTGGATCAAATAAGGTTCTAAGTTTATGAGAATATTAATGGAGCAAAAGAGTTGATTTCCAGCTGCTGCTCATATTACTTCTTTAATATTTGACTTTATAAAAAATGAAACAAATAATCCATATATATATTATTATTATTATTATTATTAATATCTTATATCAAATATATGAATTGAAGCAACCTGTTTGATATATTATTCATGACTCTCTATAGTCAATATGAGCCTCTTTGATGGAAGTTAATTCGGAATCAAGCGGTCTTGATTCCGCGAGTCTTTGATAGATTATTCAAGCCAAAAAGAAGGGGGGGGGGAACTAAATAATAATAATAATAAGCTCTTTTAAAGTTTATTTTTCATCCTAAGCACCAAAACCTAATTACTTCTTCTTCTTCTGCTGTATCAGCCAAAAATATTATCATCGTTTGGTCAACCTCTTTACAATTTAGAAACCAACAGCCTCTTATAAATAGCGTTCTGATCTTGTATAAAGATCAACATGAACTAGCTACATATCGATAACCACGCCATTTCTACAGCTGCAATATTTAATAGAAAAAATTGGGGTTTTAATCTTTAGTTTTTGCGGCAAATATTTTGATTTTATCAACAGCCTTGTACACCGAAAACATGAAATGAAATAAAAACCAGAATCAACAACAGCAATAGCAACAAAAGATATATATATATATACATATATAAACAGGTGAATGATTCCTTATGGTGGGTATATTGTGAAATCGAAATACTTCTTTACAGAGAAACAACTTCCCTGCATTAAACTTGTGAATTTGCGTAATAAAAAAAAAACAGAACAGAACATAGAAAAATAGAAATAAAAACTAAAAACTAAATGAAATAAAAAAAAAGACAGTGTGTGTGTGTGTGTGTAATGCTTATGCTACAATTGATGGTTCATTTCTTCTTTTCTTCTTAACCTTCGCTCCTCCTCCTTCTTTTCCTCATTCCCCCCTTACTTGCTTTTGCTATTTGTTGATATTTATATATAAGTAAATAAATATAAATAAATAAATATATATGGCAAATAACAAACAAGAAAAGAAGAAAGGCTGAATAGAGTTCAAAGCTTTACCCAGGATGCAAGAATCGTCGTAGATTTAAAAATGATGTGGCGGTTCATGGGTTTCCAAGACCGGTCTGGAGATTGTAAAAGATCGACATAGCCTTCGCCCATAAACCATTCTCGCTCCTCATAGAGCACCATGTCATGAAGGGTTCCATAGTCTGCAAAACAGGCTCGTAAGAACGACACCATTTCAGTGTATTCGAGCGGCGGAAGGCCACTAAGATTGGCTCGAACCACAACGGCCAGGGGAGAAATGGTACGGTATGGATATATTCGATGTCCCCGGACGGATACACCATCCGCACAAGCGTACTCGCAGTCTCGCTCGTCAAACATGTGAATTTCTATGATGTCCTCGGCGGGTTGACTTATTCCGAGACCAATACCTCGAGGGTATAGAATACGCGCAACACGCAAGAACTCGTCTTCAAAGGTCGGGTCATCGATTGGGAGCTCAAATACGACAGAGTACTTTGCATTGCTACGGTACCATATGTTGGGCCTGTCGATTTTGTTCCGGGTGCTAATGACGACCTTGGAGCGCTTCTGGGTTTTTGACCGGTTGACTTTGACAGAATCCGCAATTCCGAGTTTGGCGGTCGAGCTTGGGTTTGGTGGTGGCAGTTCTCTCCATGAGGAACAGGGCGGATTGTCAGGCTCGCTCATGGAAGTATGAAGGAAAGGCTCATCTAAAGACATTTCAGAGAACTTCTCTGGGGTATCGGGTGAAGGAAGCATGCATAACCAGAAAGTAAGTGCCACAGAGTCAAAAGTTCCAAAAAAAGTCACTCCCTCGACCGACAGTCACTTTTTTGTGTTCCTTTGAATAATCTAAAAAAAAAAAAGTTGAGTTCCAGGGAAACTTTAACAAATTCAATTTTTCAATTCCTAGGGGAAAAAGATTGAAAGACCAAAAAAAAAAAAATTCGTCCTTCTTGTAGCTTATAGTCATGGTATGCAATAAACCAATTTCAGCAATTATTCAAAATAAAATAAAAAATAAAATAATTGTCTTGTAATTACAAATATACTCTTGTGTATCTATCTGCTCATACATACATACATATATATATGTGTGTGTGTGTGTATGCATGCGTTTGTGTGTCTGTTTATCTTACCGACTACCAATTCCCAATTAGTCGAATTCCGATCGTAAAAGAAGAAGAGATAGTATCGGTGCGGCACGCTCAGAAGCCGTAGACTCCCCCGGATTCTCTCAACCTCCTCCTTCATCGCCCGGATTCTTCCATTCTGAAGTTGACTTTGCTCCTGAAGCTGAAGAGGGTGTGATTGATGACCCATTTGACGATGTAGCTGGATCAGACGACGATGAAGGAGAGGATTTGTTTGGTGCAGGAATGGAGAAGTAAGTTTAAATTATCAAATAGATAATAACGATAAGAACTACACGCATAATTGTCGTGTACAGCTATAACTACACGTACGGTACAAAGATAATAGTATGAAAGCTGATAGAATGGAATCTATAGAGATTATGCCAATGACGTTCGACAAGATCAGTATGAGGAGGATGGCGTAGACGATGTGTTTTACGAAGCACTTGATGTTAGCGATCGTCAAGCTGCTGAAATGGCAATGAGAAGACGCGATGCTGCAATTCAGCAACGCCAGGGACGCATGGCAAATGCGTTTTTGGATCCCATGGATGAGGAAGCTGACACCATGGCTATTCCAACTCGCCAAAGACGTCGCCACATGCACGATGGACAAAACGATGACCTTGAAAACATGGGAGCCGTACGTTTCCATTTTTTTTTTCCATTTTACTCTTAGTTGGCAAATATTGGATATCGTTATCATTGAGTATACATACACGTACATACACACACACGCACACACAGCCTATTGACAGCTTTTATTTTATTTTATTTTATTTTGTTATTTTTTTTATCTAGGCTGAAATGACTTTGGATGATCTCCGAACAATTAAAAACGCCACCGTTTCTGAGTGGATCACCCAGGAAGCTCCTCGACGCACTATCAAGAGAGAGTTTAAAGATTTCTTACAGACTTATGTGGATGAACACGGTACATCTGTGTATGGTGAGCGTATCAAGGACATGGGTGAACGTAAGTTTTAAGAAAGAAAAAAAGAGAGAAAGAAGAACATATGCGTATATATATATATATATATATATATATATATATATATATATATACATATATATACACATTTGTCATGTACTTTCTTCATGGTCAATACTGATAACGATTAGGATAATGGTTAATGATAATGATCTGACTCGCGTTTTTTTTCTGGGGTACAGGTAATAGAGAATCGTTCGAAGTTAATTACGAGCATCTGACACAGAGCAAGGCAATTTTGGCATACTTTTTGGCCAATTCTCCCATCGCTATGCTCAAGATTTTCGACGACGTTGCGTTAAGTGTCACCTTGTTGCAGTACCCCGAGTACGAGCGTATTCACAGAGAGATCCACGTCCGTATTACCGATCTCCCGGCTCTCAATACTCTCCGCGAGCTCAGACAGGGTCAATTGAACTGCCTTGTGCGTGTTGCTGGTGTTGTCACTCGTCGCTCAGGTGTCTTCCCTCAATTGAAGTGGGTCAAGTTTAACTGTGCCAAGTGTGGAGAATTGCTTGGTCCTTTTTACCAAGATATCCACAATGAGATCAAGATCCACACCTGCCCAAGCTGTCAAAGCAGAGGTCCATTTAATCTCAACATGGAACAGGTATGTATTCTACTAAAAGTCTTAAAACAAACAAGCAAGCAAACAAACCAACGAGATTTTTTTTAAACAAAAAGAGGATGGGCAATGAAAAAAAAAGTAGACAAATTGATTCTCACCATATATATACTTTGTTGGATCTGTAGACTGTCTATAGAAACTACCAAAAGTTGACCATCCAAGAAAGTCCTGGAACTGTCCCACCTGGTCGTCTGCCTCGTCACAGAGAAGTTATCTGTCTCTGGGATTTGATTGATCAGGCCAAGCCAGGAGAAGAGATTGTAAGAAGTAGTTAAAGTGTGATATTAGTGTGTGCGTGTTTTAAAAAAAAAACAAGTCAACTAAGAAATGATATATGTATATATTTTAGGAAGTTATTGGTGTATACCGTAACAACTTTGATGCCTCTCTTAGCACAAAGAACGGTTTCCCAGTGTTTGCTACAATCATTGAAGCCAACTACATCAACAAGAAGGAAGACATGTTTGCTGCATACAAGCTGACTGATGATGACAAGAAGATGATTATTGCAATGGGCAAAGACAAACGTATCGGTAGAAAGGTAAATCTGAGCATGGCTATGCATCTGTATATTTAAAAATACTGATATATATTATTACAGATTGTCAAGAGTATTGCTCCTTCTATTTATGGCCATGAAAATATCAAGCGTTCTATTGCATTGTCTTTGTTTGGCGGTGTTCCCAAAAACATTCAGGGCAAGCATATGATCCGTGGTGATATCAACATTCTTTTGTTGGGCGATCCTGGAACTGCAAAGTCGCAGTTCTTAAAATATGTCGAAAAGACTGCACATCGTGCTGTGTTCACAACCGGTCAGGGTGCAAGTGCTGTAGGTTTGACTGCATCAGTTCACAAGGACCCCATTACACGCGAATGGACTCTGGAAGGTGGTGCACTTGTACTTGCTGATCGTGGCGTGTGCTTGATTGATGAGTTTGACAAGATGAACGATGCCGATCGTACGTCTATCCACGAAGCCATGGAACAACAGTCAATCTCTATCTCCAAGGCTGGTATTATCACCACTCTCCAGGCCCGTTGCTCAATTCTTGCCGCTGCCAACCCTATCAGAGGCCGCTACAATGCCTCGATTCCATTTTCTCAGAACGTTGAGCTTACGGAACCCATTCTGTCTCGTTTCGATGTCTTGTGCGTAGTCAAGGATATCGTTGATCCCGAGCAGGATCATGTATTGGCAACCAACGTTATTGCCAGTCATATCCGCAGCCATCCTGTCTACAATGCAGGCGAGGATGGTCTTGCTCAACCACTCAAGGAAGATACTGAGGTGAGTTGTTATTCTTTAAGCATATAAAAGAAAAAGAAAAATGGATGTGGACTAATGGGTTTATTTGAAATGTTAGATTATTCCTCAAGATCTTTTGAGAAAGTATATTATGTACGCTCGCGAAAAAATCCATCCCAAGTTGCAGCAGGTTGACGAGGATAAGCTTTCGCGTCTTTATTCCGAGTTGCGTCGCGAGTCTCTCGCAAGTGGCAGTATTCCTATCACTGTGCGTCACTTGGAATCAATGATCCGTATGGCAGAAGCCAATGCAAAAATGCACCTCAGAGAGTACGTGCGTTCCGATGATGTTGATATGGCCATTACCGTTGCTCTCGACAGTTTCATCAGTGCGCAGAAGTTCAGTATGATGAAGGCTCTTCGTAAAGTAAGTCAAAACGATAGTTAATACTCTAAGCCAAGTAAAAAGAGAGATAAATAGAAATACTAAAGATTATTTTTTACTTTCAGCGTTTCGCCAAATATATTGTCAATCTTCATGATCGTGATGAGCTACTTCTTGCTACTTTGGACAGTATTTGCAAAGAAAAGAGAAGACTCTATCAGCTACGATACAAGAGATTGCCTTCTGACATCTCTGTTGCCATGTCTGAATTGGAAAACAAGGTAATGTACAAACTTTTCTATTAATATTTAAAAGGATGTGTCGAAATTAACAGCTGCTTGTATATATATATATATATATATATATTCTTTATTTTTGAATAGGCTCGCGACATGCATATTCATGATCTCCAACCATTCCTTCACTCGCGTTTGTTCGAACAAAACAGATACAAGCTTGAGCCCAGCAAGGGAGAAATCATCAAGGTCTATACTGAACCTACTCACTAATCATTTACTTTAGCGTAAGAAAAAAGAAAAAAGAGAAAAAAAATATTTGTCCCTGATACTCTGCTTCAAGCTTCCCCTTCATATCAAAAGAAAGAAACAAGGTTTTTTATTTTATTTTATTATAAAAAATAATAATCGATGATCCTTCTTGGTATTGTATAAAGAATCCATTTACATCCATATACTTTAAGCAAATAAAACAAAAAATAAAAGAAATGAGCTTCTTGACGAGGTTGTTTATGAAACTATACGTCAATGCAATATGCAATTAGCTTTACAAGAGAATGCTGAATATATATAAAGCTAGCGTTACGCTCATGCTCCTAATAGTTGAAAGAAATAAGTCTTTTTTTTTTACCGGTATGCTCTTATAACCCTATTGATCCAGGCTGCCATGCCCAATTTCCAGAGGATCAATCCCACCTTCAAATCAGCATAGATCCTCCTCCACCTTGGATTTATTTGTCTTAGACAGTCATATATATATATGCCTGATGTACAAGGCCAGACTCATACATTCTTTGCACTTTAGAAACATCATAAAGGTTGATGTATCGCTTCATATCATGCGATTCAAGTGTTGCTTAATTTGTCTGGTATTTCGAGCAAACGCCATGATGCTTTTTCTATGGATTTTAGTAATACAATGCTTGTATACAGTCATGTATAATATGGTATATACGCCACAATTTAGTGAAACAGACTCCACAACCAAACTCTGGTTCCATTTTTACTAAAGTATCTGGAAAGTTAAAAATCTCCATAAACTATTACATACCAAGACCACATGTACAATGATGCGTTTATACAGTACGAATCAATCATTACACAGCAAAAACTTGAATAGTAATATATATACAGTCATATTTGACTCTCTTTAATAAATAAAATTCTCGTAAGACTTACTTTTTCTTAATATTTGGATACTAACCCTAAAACAATTCCAAGTAATTCAGAGTGTATATTAAATACAACAAATGAAAGATTTACTGACTATAAGATCGGGTACCTGGAAAAATTAGGAGCATTGTTCAGATTTTCCAAATAGGCCATTTGAAAAGAAACTATTCATGTATTTGATTTGAGCGGTCATAGAGGAGACAACTAATAAACTCAAAAAAAAGTATACAGTAATATGCAAAATATCAAAGCCGAGTAAAATGAGAGCTGTACAATACATATAACCAGATTTTGCAGGCACCAGTTAAAAGAATTATAAAACAGGATAATTACAATTGGAAATGTAAGAATTCATCTAAAGAAAAACACCATATATGGAGAGGTCTAATAGCAAAAATAAAACAAGACCCATATATAATCGAGAATTTTATGACTAGAAAACAAATGACACAAAGAATAGTGTTGCATTAATCACACAACATGAGCCATTATAAAAGTCAATATATACATCTTGCTTTAGATCTTCTTTATCATGATTATTAAGAATTTCTTTTTTTTTAAAAAAAAATGTAAAAAAATGTTTCATCGTATTATGTTTCCATAGCTAATTCAAATGATTTATTTTATTTTTACAAGATAATACACTAATCTTTTCATATTAATTACGAGGTAGACCGGCTGCCCCCATTCAGACAGTTTAAGAAGCAATAGTCATACTATTCTAAGAAAGAAAAAAACTATTTGTCTAAGTTTATTTAAATATCTTATTCCTATAAAAATTTGATATTAAAGCAAGAACGAAAATTTTGGTTCAAATCAAATAGCTATTGTGGTATACACACCACAATTGAGTGAAGAACAGTCTCCACAATCAAACACTGGTTCTTTCTTGCTAACTAACCTGGCAGGTTAACAATCTCAGGAGCTGTTACACACTAGGCACACGTACACTACACACTCATACAGTGTAAACCAACCATTACACAGCAGAGATTTGAATCAAAGAGATTTTAATATTAATAGATATAAACAATATTATTTGGTCTCTTTAATAAATAACACTCTCACAGTATCTACTCTTCCCGTTATTGAGATACTAGTCCATAAACAATCACGAATACCTTGGGGTATGTATATCACAAACTGCATAATGTATTTTAAATAGCCGTCCAGTAAATACCGGCGACTCAATCAAGAAATAATACCGACAAAAAAAGAAGAAGAAGGAAAGTATCAGTGGTGCTTTTGAGAAATGATATATATATATATTATTTTTAGACAGTTAGTGAGTCTTAGCTATATACTTTATATATATCAAAATTTAAAGCCCTTAATTGGTTTGCTTGAATGGAATGAGTTTGCACAAACTGTTTCTGTGTATGTACCTTGAACCTGAATAAAATTACTCAAGGGGGTACTCAAGCAATCATGATTCTTTGTTTTATATCTTGATTTTGGGAACTTGAGACGGCGGGTGTATTTTGTGACCACCGCCATTTGGAAGAGAAAAGCAACGACATTAGGAGATTGAAATGTGTAGAAGGAGGGAGAAAAAAAAAAGTAAATAGTTGGCAGTAGGAGAGGTCAGTAATCCGACTCTAGACACTACACAGCTCAAAAGCTCTTCCTAATAGCAAAGTTTTATTAGTCACTTTCCCCCACTCAAGTACTCTGTTGCAGACACGTGTATTCAAAATTGCAAATGATTGGCTCATGTCAAAATTAAAAAAAAAGGATGGCGTTACAAAATGTGTGGCCCAAAGGCTATAACTTGCGCCTTAAAAAAAAGAACGCGTCTCAAAATGTGTGGCCCAAAGATTATAACGCGTTTAAAAAAAAGAAACACTCTCACGGTATTATTTTTCTTCTTTGCGCTTTTTCATCAGCTTACAATCATGTACAGCCAGTCAAGCAACCCTAGCAGCAGCAGCAGCAGCAGCATAAGCAGCAAAAAAGTGTCCTTCAACGGCTTGTTTGTGTTTGGCCCAAAGGCCATTCACAAGCATGTCCCAAAGCTGTTGAGAGGCATACTTCTAGTTAGATTAGTCAAAACTAATCTAGCCGAAGTTTTTGATCGAAAGATCAAAAAAGTGAAAATTATTGGTAAGTCATGTATCTATATAATAGTAGATAAACAATATAATATTAATCAATAATATACCTATAGCACCAGACCTGCCCAAGGGGCTTAAGCGACGATTGGAGAAAGAAAATGAGCTGGAGCACAAAGCTACAGCTCATTTTATCAAGCAAAAGAAAAGGAGAATAGAAGAAGCAGAAATAAGAAGAAGAGATATTGACGCAAGAGAAGCAGAAAGAAGAAGAAGAGAAGAAAGAAGAAGCAATGAAGAAGCAATAAGAAGAAGAGAAGAAATAAGAAGAAGAAGAGAGGCAGAAAGAAGAGACGAAGAAAGAAGAAGAGAAGAAGAAAGAAGAAGAGAGATAGACAGAAGATACGAAGAAAGAAGAAGAGAAGAAGAAGCAGGAGATGAAGAAGAAGAAGAAGATGATGATGAAGAAGAAGATGAAGATGATGATGATGAAGAAGATGATGAAGAAGATGAAGAAGAAGAAGAAGAAGATGATGATGATGAGGATGATGAAGAAGAAGAAGATGAGGATGATGAAGAAGAAGATGAAGAAGATGATGAAGAAGAAGAAGATGAAGTAGTAGTAAAAGAAGAAGAAGAAGAAGAAGAAGAAGAAGAAGAAGAAGAAGAAGAAGAAGAAGAAGTAGTGGTCAAAGAAGAAGAAGAAGAAGAAGTAGTGGTCAAAGAAGAAGAAGAAGAAGAAGTAGTGGTCAAAGAAGAAGAAGAAGAAGAAGATGATGAAGAAGAAGAAGAAGAAGAAGTAGTAGTCAAAGAAGAAGAAGAAGAAGAAGAAGAAGAAGAAGAAGAAAGCGAGGAGTTCTTTGATGCAGAAGAAGAACTTCTCGACGAAGCAGAAGAAGATGCCGACTACGACGCCGATGACGAGTACGAAGCTGATATAACACAGCCACAGCCACACCCACAGCCACAGCCACACCCACACCCACACCCACACCCACACCCACACCCACAACCACAACCACAACCACAACCACAACCACACCCACACCCACAGCCACAGCCACAGCCACCCACAGAACCTGAAGAGGTTGGAAATGGGACTAGAAAATGGCTGACAGTTGCCGGTGTAATCACAGCATCTGCAGTCCGGGGATTACTCTTCTGATGGTAACAAGAAGAGTAATCTCCGGGTACCCCGGAAGAAGCAACTAACAAAAAAACTTTTTGTAACAACAGGAAGCAACAAGAAGCAGCAGACTAACAGACTAACATACTAATAAGCAACAGACACTAACAAGCAACGGGAACTAACAAGCAACGGGAACTAACCTTACTCACAACTAACTACAAACAATTAACTTTTTGAACAACTAACATTATGAACAACTAACATTACTAACAACTAACTTTACTAGCAAAATCCGGATCAGAGTCATAGCTAGTGTTAGAATTAGAGTCATAGCTAGTGTTAGAATAAGAGTCATAGCTAGTGTTAGAATAAGAGTCATAGCTAGTGTTAGAATTAGAGTCATAGCTAGTGTTAGAATAAGAGTCATAGCTAGTGTTAGAATAAGAGTCATAGCTAGTGTTAGAATAAGAGTCATAGCTAGTGTTAGAATAAGAGTCATAGCTAGTGTTAGAATTAGAGTCATAGCTAGTGTTAGAATAAGAGTCATAGCTAGTGTTAGAATAAGAGTCATAGCTAGTGTTAGAATTAGAGTCATAGCTAGTGTTAGAATAAGAGTCATAGCTAGTGTTAGAATAAGAGTTATAGCTAGAGTTAGAATTAGTTATAATCATAGTAAAAAAAAATCAACTCTTATATATTTTAACCAAAATGTGTTATTATATATATTAGGAGCTTTGCTCCCCCCTCCCCTCGGGGGAAGGGGTCATTGGCCTATGAAGTTTTATATAACTTTTCTCTACTGTCAATTGTGTACGGCACACAATTACCAAGTAGTATAGGCTTCATATTTTATTTTATTGAGAAACAAGTAAGTTAGATAATACGTGACAAAATTTATAAGTTGTATGACATGATCTCTAACTTCATCCTGTTTTTTCTAATTAGACTAGGAGCTTTGCTCCCCCCTTCCTCTCAGAGGGTGACCCCATTGGCCTATGTTAAGTTCTATATGACTTTTCCTTACTGTTAATTGTGTGCCGTACACAATTACCAAGTAGTATAGGCCTTATATTTTATTTTATTGAGAAACAAGTAAGTTAGGGAATACGTGGCGAAAGTTATAAGTTGCATGACATGATCTCTAACTCCATCCTGTTTTTTTCTAATTAGATAAAATAAAATGAATTCTGGGAACATGACTTTTAGCTAAAAGTCTAAATACAGGATAAAAGTCGAGATAAAAGCGACTGCTGGAGACGCTATTATATTTATATTGCTTATTTTTTATCATTATTATTACTATTATTATTACAAAACCAAATAAAAAAGAAACCTCCCTAAAAGTCTGTGAGAGGCCGTAGCCCAAAAGCATAACATGTGAAGATTGTACAAAAGAATCCATGTACATCCGACAATCATCTGAGATTAGCATTAAAGAATATTATCATTTGTAAAGCGAACAGTAACAGACTTTTTCTCTCTCTCTCTCTCTCTTTTTAAGTCATCCGGTGGTATGCTCAGGCATTACAGCTTTCAAACTAAGTTTGACTGAAAGATGGTAACAACGCCCGTTACAATGGGGTCGAAACTCATGTTAATTGAGTAGATGACCAGTTTAGAAACCTAGTTTAGTTTGATGACTCAAGATTCACAATGTGGTACGTAACGATGTTATTGTCTGAGTGCTAAGAAAAAAAATGATAATAGGTGTACGTACATTGACGATATCTCATTATTGTTGCTTCTTTGTTCCGTATCGTATTTTACAATAATGAAAATGACTTGCTCAGTTATTGGATTATACTCCATGCTAATGAATCTACGACAGACCAATAAAGCAAAATAAAGAGTGGACTTAATATACTAATATAATGATGTTGATTTTACAGTGACCCAGTGGAAAGGTGTATGAGAGAGTAGAAGAAGACATATAGTCTGGCTAGATATATTGAGCTTTTTATTTTCTTTTTTTTTGTGGTCGATCATTACCAAAGGCTCAAAGGCTGTTAGCAATAGAGATAAGTAGAGTCAGCACTCGATATAGTAATAATTTAGCAAGGAAAAAAATGGGTAAAATAACCAATATTTAGAATCCTAGTAGTATTATGGTCGGTCAGGCAAGTGGAATTACTATACTATCATTCTTTTCAAGGATTTGCTTTTTGTGGAGAGATATATTGTTAATACTGTGCGGATCCCCCATTGTTATTTCGGCTGATTTAAACCACATAAATGTAAAAATGAAGTTTCTGTATAATATGGTGCAATTTTTAGTAGGTCTTTTAGTATACATGCTACACTTGAGCGAAATAAAAGCCATAGCCAAACACTGGTCTCTTCTTGCCAATAAACCTGAAAAGTTAATAATCTCCAGAACTGCTACACACCAGGTACATGTCAATTATACACTTATATAGTGTAAACCAACCAACCATTACACAACAAAGATTTGAATTACAGAGATTTTAATAGTAACAGATATAAACAATATTATTTTTGTCTCTTTAATAAATAGCACTATCAAAGTATCTACTTTTCCCAATATTGAGATACCAGGTTAATAACAATTCCGAATACCTCAGTAGCCATCAGTATCTTATTCTTTAAACATGTATATTTACATCAACATAAATGAATAATAGCTATATTCTGCTTATAAGCTATTTTCTTTTATTTCTCTTACCATTCATTATTTCCAAAAGTAAAACATTGACTTATTAAAGTCGAATACAAAGTTTTCCTGGACCATTTCGGTATATTCCGTTTATGATTGGACTCGACAAACAATCCAACGTTTTCATATAATCGAGCTGGAATAAAGTTTGATTAAAAAGAAAGCGACAATGCTTAAAGCACTAGAATGGTAGGCTGTTCTTACACATTAAATCAAGTGTAGGAAAGAGTAGCTGAATATATTCTGTAGGTGAAAGGAGCCACACTTTTATATCTTATTGATCCCAATAAACAATACACACAAATAGAAATAGACTACATTTAAAGAAAGATATATTTGTTAACCTATATTCGACTTGTTATAACTTTGGATCCAGAATGTTTATTTCTTCTATAATTTAGATATAGAGCACAAAAATGTTTAAAGTCTTTGTATATATCTGATTTTTTAAGTCATATAGGAAGCTCGTCTTTATTATTTTCAAGATAATATAAACGATATACTGATAGAATATATGCAAATCAAATAATATAGACAATTGTCTACTTACACAAAATACTCTGTCTGCTGTCCAAAATAATAGCAAGGGAAGTGTCCCGATCGATTCTATAAGTCTTTCTATATTTGAGTACTGTTAAGATCAAGTAAGCGCTAGAATTATCCGGATTATATCTTCTATCACAAGCTAAAACGTTTGACCCTCGCAAAAAAAAAACGGTCAAAATATAGCCAAAGAAATAAATAAAAAGTAAAAGCACTGTTTTCTCCATTTTATTAATTAAACCCAACATGCAACACACATGTTTATCAGAAAATACTCGGGATCCATATGGAAAAATATATTACTACAAATATGGATAAATTATGTAGATGAATTTAGCAAAGGGGGGTTCTAACCACATTTCGTTGTTAACTGGTATGAAGTTTGACCACTGTCGAGTACATTATTAAAAGAGTGGATTAAATAAGATGTAAATAGCCAATAAGAGTATAGAAAGACATCTTGTGCTAGTAGCTCAGAAGGACCTCGTTTGTCTCATATTCTAGGCAAAGAGCCATCTTTAAAAAAGATACGGATATTCGCTTGTAGAAAGACAAATTTATCGCGGGACTAAAGCAGTCAGGAGAGTCAGCTAAATGGTTAAATAAGAAAAATATCATCGAAAGAACCAAATGGAGAGAAGGGTAGTGGGATGACGTGGAGCTGATTTTGGGCCAGTGGTTTTTGGCCTTTGGTATTCCTAGATAGTAACGTAAACCAAGACCAATATCTGAATACTTTGGGCCAGAACTTCCTTCCTTTGTTCTAAAACATTTTACGGTAATAAAACAGGTACTTTGCGTTCCAAGAAGATAACGCCAGCTGCTATACTGGGTCATATTCGAGGTGGCGAAAAGACAGTCATAAAATCCGATGTTTTGGCTACTGACAATCTCAAAGCCCGGATATCTACTCTATTAAGCATCACTGGCGGGTTCTCGAGAGACGTAGGAGTGATCAGAAGGCCAGTATCAGCATCATTATTGATTCGAAGGCTTTAATGCAACGAGAATGAAAAAGAATAGTGTCATGATCTGGAACTGCTTATGGAAAGATGTTGTTGAACCTTTGATATTTCTTAAAGACCCTGAATATTAAGACCAGAATGTAAATAAGTTTGAAGCGACCATTTTTTGTTTCTGGACTACAGACTTTTCAAAAGAAAATTACAGGGATATCATGTTCCAAGAAGACCGTGTCAGCTATTATATTAACTCTTATAGCAATTGATAAAAGATAATCGTAAAAGTAAATCATTTGAGCACCAGAATTCTCAAAGTATATATAAATAATGAAAGACGTAAAATTAAAAAAGCGTAAAGTATTTGAAGGTTTCAATGCAACAAGAATATAATCCATCGATCATTGGAAATAATCTGGTTCTTTTTTTTTTGTAGACAGTGCATTAAATGGACCCTCAGAAGCTATTTACGTAAAAGACGGTCATACACAGCAGCTTCTGCAAAAGCGTTACACAAAGGACATATAATTAGCCATAACTACAACAAAAGTGAGGCACAGCCCCGTTCCTCAATATAGCTAATTAATGCCAAAGGTCAAACTGTAAAGCTTTAGAGTATTGTAAATAATATTTATACTTTCCTACGGTACTAAATTTCGTGCTAGTATTATTTTTTGTGGCCCTTGAAGTATTTTTATTATAGCTCTTCAGGGGGAAAGGAGGTTCCTCATCCTTTGGGAAAATTCTGTATCCATTTTGGAGAACTAGCTAACGACCAAATCATTTCTAACTTTCTGTATACATATATCTTTTTTCGAGTAAATTAATATATTCCTTGTATAAGCTCACTAAAATAATTTTAACTAGATAATTGAGCAAATAAATAATATCAAAACATTATTTCGGCCAATAACGAGGAAAAGTATATTATATGCCCATATTTTCGAGTAATTAGCTTTGTAGAGACCACACCGTTAATAGCACAAATTGCAAGATGTGTCAAGGATAATAATGCATGGTCCTGTTTCTTTCGTTTTTTTTTGGTAGTAGATTGTAGCATGGCTTTATTTAATGGTCTGATAATTCTTTTCTAACTTCTTCACATCCATCGACACCTTGCTCAGATCCATTCTCACATTGTAGATTTCTGTCCAAAAGCCAGTTCCAGTACTCGCTCTCTACAATATGTTGCTCTATACTGTTTAGCATCCGGAAAGCTGCTAGAAGCTCATAGCGTAATGCTCCAAGACGTTCTCGTGTATAGGTAAGCTCGGCTGCCATACGACGATGCCGCGAACTGAACCAAGTATATTTCCACCCCATTGGCTCTATCCGAGAGTCCTGAAATGACTGGTACATTCTATATAGATTATTCATGATTGATTTTTAACACAAGATTGAATATTTGATTTGAGCAATGTTAAAAAAGATTCAAGGCTTTTATATAAACATATATATATACCTAGGATTGGAATTTATAGGCACACTGACTTGCCCTGCTAATTCTTGATCAAGATCTCGTAGATATACACCTCTCCATGAAATTGTTTCATTTGGAGCAGAAAATTCGTGGGTTTGACGATAGTATACACCCGTAGATATATATGTGATAATCCACAGAGTTACCACAGCCAGAATATACATAGCTGGCTTTTTGAAGCCACCTAAGCTTATCACTCTAGTGCGGTTTGCTGTGTCTGGTTTGGAATGTGATTCATTGGCAGTTGCACTAATGTCAAGAGCTTGACTTGGTTCTCCAGATGTAGGTCCTGAGGATGCTTGACCTGAAGCACCGATAGCTAAGGATATTTTTTTCTTAACTTGGGCGATCATAAGGTCAATCGATTCTACTAATCCTTTATTTGCTGCTCTGTTTATCATGGCTATTGTTACAAGAAAAAAAAACAAAAAATGAATAAAACCCAGTGAGCTTAATAATACAGGAAACTTACATTTCACCATGACTGACTTGAGCCATTTTATACCGTAGCTGCAAGACAGTATGCAGCTACTTGGGGATGTGTAGGTAATGCAGTACTTTATACATGGTATGAATGCATCTGCATAGGGAAGATTAGGTGTTCTTGTCGAAATAATAACGGCATAGGATCTAATGCGGGACAAGTTACAGTGAGTAATTATGAAGACAGTCAGAAATATGAAAATACTTACAAATGGTCTTTTTCTTCTAGAATCTGATGGGTTTCTATTACGTTTGTTTCTTTGGCTTTGACTACATGAAAAAAAAAACATCGAATGAGTTTATTCTTTTTCTAATAATGGCTGGTCTCCTTTCTTTTCACTCACCCATTGGGTTGGTTACTGGCATTGTATATGTCAAAATTCTCTCTTTATTGCCTTCTTTGTTCTCTGACCAGCCTGAGATTTTAAGATCTAAAGGATACGACTAGTTAATTATGATATAATTATATAATATATAAACATAAAAAAAAATATCAGGGTAATCTTGTTTTGCTCTTGAAGAACTCACCTGAATTTCCTCTCTCCTTATTAAATGATTTCCAGATACTTTTAGATCCGGCTTCTTCTCCACTCTGTGATTCTGAAAACATCATATCAAACAGCCTTTTTGCACTGATATGTAATGGTACCTCGGTCTCTTTTTTGTCCAAATGGTCTTGGCACCCGCATGTTACTGGCTCAGTAGGCTTTTCAATATTGTCTGGCCAGACTTCGTCTGGGAGATTTATGTTTGTTTTTGATAATTGGGATAGATATTTTTCTGATTTAGGAGGACTCCTACTTAGTTTAGAAGGAGATGCTGCTTCCATGGCTGCTGTAAGTGCTCCAGTAGCGGCAGACGTCTTTCGACCGCGGATATCCACAGAGGTGGTTGTAGAGCTATTTCGTCGACCGATAGAGCTAATCATACTATTTGTGCTGTCTTGGGTTGTTACCATAGGCTCTTGGGATAATAGCTGTGAAGGATGTGCTTGTACATTTAGGGGAGTTACGGCAGCATTGAGAGCACTGACCGCAGTGAAATGGCTAACAGGAGTTTTTTGTTTTCGTCCGGGTGTAATGCTTTTAATGTTATCATACAGAGCTTGTAACTGTGTCTCCTGTAAGAAAATACAAAAAAAAATTAATAGTCTGCTTTTTGTTATTTGTTTTGTTTTTGGATTGCTTATTTGTTTGCTTGTTTGCTTGTTTGCTTGTTTGCTTGTTTGCTTATTTGCTTATTTTCTTGTTTGATTGTTATTGTCACTTACACCTGGACTTTTGGCAGTTTCAACAATCAATCGAAGTTCCTCGCCAATCTTTTCGGCTGATTCTAACCAAAGACCAAAACAGTGACGTTGGCTTAGACTGGTTGTTTCAATAAACATATGCGACGTTGCAGATGAAGCTCTGTCAAACTGGATGAATTTAATATCGTCAAGAGGAATAACGAGCTAATAATCATACATACATAGCAATATTAAGTTAGTTGGTCGTTTCTTTAACATATCAAGATTTTTTTTTTTTAATTTTACCGTATTAACACAAGTCATCATTATGCAGCTGTAGAACCACAGATTTTTCTGAGTCACGTAACAGTAGCCATTATAGCCAAACCCATTCTCGTCGGAAGACATTTCCTGGCTTGACAAAGAAGCCTGATCGTTAGTTGACGAGCCTCTGTCAGATAACTCATCTGTGCTTTTCTGCTTCGATTGTTGTAAGTAAAGAGATGCCGGGAATCCTGTGGGAAATGAGATAAGAGTTTTTCTTTTTAGTTTAATTGTTTTTTTTTCTTTTTCTCTTATAAATTTGAATATTAAAAAGATGTATATATGTGTATATGTATACCTTGCAGCACAACTTCAGATGAAGACACATTGGCAAAATACTTTCGTAATTCCTTTTGTTTCTGGGCCAAATCAGACGAATAGCCCGTTAGTTTTACTTTGGGCGTCTCGGTCTCGAGCTTTGTAGGCCAGACGACAACTTGGCCTGCTTCGTTTGTACTTGGCGACTTGCTGGATATTGGATCCGATATACTGGCAGCATCACCATTGTTCGCCAGAGCGTTTATTCCCGACATCAGCCAGGGCATACCCCAGGAAGATGATGGCTGAGGAACAATGTCAATCTGCCCCGGAGTTTCTGAGCTAGATTCGCTAGGGGCGGGTGTTTTTACTTTCCGCGTACCCTCACGGATCATTAGTGATGTAAGTGAAAATGCGGTAGAAAGGGTGGATGTGAGAGATTGGTTTTTGTTCAGGAGATCTTCACGTCTCAAAGGAAAGCATGTGGAAGACGACACGGTGCGGGTCAGTTTTTCAGCTGGAGATCGTTTAACAGGCAATGTCGGCTTAGGAGACAGGAGAGCCTGGGGTAAGGTTGCTTCTTCTGCCTCCTCATCCTCCCCACCTTCCTCCTCCTGCTGTTGTTTATACTTATGCTGCAACAGCTTACTTGGGCTGCCTTCTGGACTTCCAGGTTTGCTGAAAAGTTCCTTTTGTTTTTCAATGGCCCACAACCATTGCATCATCTCGTCTTCTGTTTCTGCCTGAAGTAAGAAAGTTATATTGCTATCCAGACAACACATGAGTACTGTATTTCCGGGGGTTGTCTAATCTCCAAGCTTTTCTTTTTTTTTTACCTGGATGGATTTTGTACTTCAAAGCAAAACCTTCGGTCAATATCATTATTAATTTTGCCTTTACAGCCTTGAATTTTTATCCGCTCATCTACTACTAAGCTTCCTTTAACTTTATTGATAGTTCCAACGGTACAGTTTCCAAAAAAGCCATCTTGTAAGAAGAACCAGCGGCGGGTCCAGGTGTACCGAGTAGATTTTCCGATTGCACATTTTTGGTAGAGGTATCCCTGACGTGGGGAACTGTCGTCTGGTAGTAGAGCTTCGAATGTGTTTTGATCTTCGAGCGACATGCGATGTTCACTGAGGGATGGTGGTCGTATTGTTGCCCTATCATCAGGACTTTCTCCCAAGACAGGTGACCCTGAAATAATAGTCGAACGGCGTCGATTTGGTACAGTCGAATAACGTTTGAGAGAGCGATGGGGTCGTGTTTGGCGAATGTAGGCATCTTCTAATACTGAGCACGATTTTTGGATTTTCTGGAGTTGAAAGGCACAAGACTCTTTGTTCTGAAGGATAATAAGCACAAAGATATGTATATATTGGCTTTTTTTTGTCTTCACCAGCATATTACAACACACCATACCTCTTCTAGCCACAGACGCCACCCTGGGAGTAGGAGACGGATTTGAGCACATGCCTGACCTATTTCATCGACCTCTTCGATCTTGGCCTGCATAGCCCCTGAGAAACACTGAACTAACTGGTGCTCCAGGTTAGATCTAAACTTTATCATCCGACTGAAGAAGTCGCCACAAGCCCTGGTGTACGCTGTTCGAACGTCAAATGTCTGGAAAGCATCTTCTCGCAGTGCACTGGGTTCTTTTTGCTTGCTGAGTATACTGTATCTACTCAGCTGATTTTCATATTTATCTAGAACTTTATCAAATTGTCGTTTCGCTTCTCTAAAGTCTTTAAGCTCGGTCTTTATAAAATGTTGCAGAGGTAATAATAATGTCTCTTCTAGATCTGATGCCTACAAGAACATATAATATTTTTTTTATATAAGTTTCTTTTTTTTCTTTATTCATTTAATCCTAAAGCGGACATTCATTTTGATATTTTACCAGCTTTTGTTTAAATGCGAGGTCCGACTGAAGCGTACCTATGAATGCATTGATGACTGTGCCAGCAACGTGTGGATCTGTATCGATCGTCCAGTGACTTTATCATCAGTACACACAAATACCTTCTTGAATCTACCAATTAAATAACCTACCCAAGAACGAACCATCCAGACCAGGAGGATGAGTCCATTTGGCGAGATTACTGGTTTCTAAATTATGTTCTACAATTTTTTTTAAATATATATATATATATATATATATAATAGTTATGACCTCATTCGTATTTGACCTTATTGAGTGATGCATAAGACGTCAATGCTTACTCTCGATAGATTCAATATATTGTTTTATCATTCGAATGAATCGGTCGATCCATTTTGAAAATTGTTCCATCTGGTCTTCAAGATGAATGACATTGGCACGCCAGACTGGAGAGTCAAGTACAACATCTTGTAGGGTTAGTGTGTTGGTAGGAGAGGCGACAAGACTAGGTAATTCGCGTGCTGACTGCGCCATAAGAAAAAAAAAGGAAGAAACAATAAAAGATAAGATAAAATAAAATGAAATAAAATAAAGAAAGAACGACGTCAAAGATAATCTGAAAGGAGATAAAATAAAATAAAATAAAATAAAATAAAATAACTAAAAGAGAGATAGCTAATAAAAATCAATCTGGCACTTGTTGTATGTAATCTCCTGCATGATTAAGAAGAAGGGAGGAAGTGGGAGTAGGTTTGGAGGGCTGACCTTTTTTCAATGTTTTTTTTTTTTTTTTTTTTTAAATTTTGATTTTGATTTTGATTTATATTCTATATAGAAATGTTCATAAAAACAATATCTTCATTTGTCTATCCCTTGTATTTATTCTTATGATCTTATACTCTTATACACATGTTTATTTGAAAGCTAATGTAATTAATCCATTGATCCATTGATCTACTGATCTACTGATTTATTGTGTCTATTTTTCAGCTGGTTTGCTAATTAATGACTCAATCTTCATTGAAGGCGACTTTTGCCAAAGCATTCTGTCTTGAGAAGTAATGGGTGGGACTCCCTTGCTGGGAACAAACGGAGACACTAGAGAACAATCAAATGTATTAGGGGCATTGTAAGACAAGCGGATTATCGGAATACCTTTCTTACGCACGGGCTCTGTTGATAGACTAGGTGATACATGCTGGCGAGGTGGTTCTGGCCCAAACGTCATTGAAACACTTCTTTTTACACCTTGTGGAGCAGCACCTTGATTTTGAGAAAGTCTTGTCTCATCTTGCTGGACTTTCTTGCCTTCCTTAACCTTGTACTGACTCAGTTGACGGCTCATCTCAATAGTTGCCATCCAACCATCTGGCCAACATGGGAGTAGCTAAGGGGATACATAAACGGTTAAATTGAATTGAAATTAAAATTGAAATTGAACAAACAAGCAAGCAAACAAATAGACAAACAAATACACGAGTAAATTCAAAATCCCAGTTCTTACACGAAGATACATCAGCTTGCGAGCAGACACTTCTGCCACTGTAGGCGGTGGTTTGGCTGCAAACGAACTAATCCTTATTTCAGCCTCATCAAAGTATCACACTATAGTCAACTTACCCTATTTCATTTGTGATAGTTGTAATAGCATTAACATTCTTAATAATCTCAAATACAATCTGTCGCTCTTCGTCTGTCCATTTAAACTTCTTCACCAATGCTGGATTCTCTTCAGGTCGATCTGGTAAACCCTCGGCTCCTAACAACGCACATACACACAATAAATATACAAGCAAAAAAAAATACCTTTCATCCAAATTTGTGTTGTAATATCTTACGAGATGCAGTCACCTTTTCTTGGTGAAGCCTTAGTTGTTCCGGCATAGCCTTGTCTACTTTAGCTTTAAGCTGAGCCTCGAGAGTATCGATTTCTCTCTGAAGCTCTGCTAGACGCCCAGGGCCAGCCTTGGTAATAATATATTTCTAAAGAACCAGAATAAGCAAAAAGGACTTTGGTCACATTCATAACCTTACTCGGAGTGTAAATCGGTTGTAAGGGAGGATCCGCATGAGGTGGCCAACAAGGTTGTCATCGATCATGTTTAATTGTCTGAAAACAATAGCACCTGCCTCAAGTACCGCTGGGCGCAGGCTTGTAGGAAATCTTGCCTTGTTTTCAAAAGATTCTATGGACTTGATCTCAATAACCTCCCCCCCAAAAAAAAGTTTTTACAGATATTCTCATCTTACCATGTTTTACATCTTCATCCAGCTTATCCATAAGTGCTTGTACTTCCGGACTAAGTGGAGCCTAGAAAAACTCGAATCAGAACATATTACTTGCTATGTTATAAGTAAGCTTGCAATATCTTACAAGAGCCACTTTCCCGGCCTTCTTTTTCTTTTCATGAGATCCCCCTTCTTGAGTAGGTGTGCTACTTTTTCGGTCCAAGGTCACATCCCAACCTCTATCTTCCTCCACAGAGCGCTCTTTTTTATTAAATTGTGTAGATCCTCCTGGTGTTGGCTGAGTATCTTCCATGTCGTCAACGTACTCTAATCCTGGGATGTCGTCATCGTCTGACAGTTCAATTGTCTCGGGTGTACGTTTGACGGGGGCCGCCTTGGTAGGTTTGTCTTTCTTTGGCGGTGCAGGTGGTGCCTTGGGTTTTGTCGATCGTTTCTTTGGTGCCTTTTTCTCAATTTCTTCCTCCTCCTTTTGCTCACTTTATTGTTTTCATTGATTGATTAAAAGTTGGATAAATACACAAAATCCAAAACTTGTATCGCTTCTCAATACTCACTTTGGATCACCTTTCCAAGCACCATAATAAACAAAATAGCCTTGTCTCTCCGGGGCAGAGATCTCACAGGGATTATCGAGAAGCATATCACTATCATCAATAAACGGATCGTCGACATCGTATTCATGCTCTGCAATGCGGCGCTCACCCTATTTAACTGATCAGTATGAGATCAATCCTCAATTCTGACGTACATCACCATGATCATCCTCTGAATCTAGATCGTCGGAATTTATATCATCGTCGTCGTCATCCCGGTAATCGTTTTGGGCAGCCTGTTCTTCCATTAATCTACGAAACTCATAATCCATATCGCGATCGGCTAATTCCATTGCACTGAGAGGGATCTTTTCCTTTTTTTCTGCCAAAAGCTGATTATAGTTGATCATGACTGGTAATGCCTGACTAGTTGGGATGTCTATACGTATAGCAGTGGGCCGTTGCCCATTAGGAATGGGTTCCATGATTAAGTTATGCAAAGCAGCTTTCTCTCTTTCTGGTACCTGCTCTCTAAATGATAAATTAGGCGTATTGTGCGTCATGTGACACGGATTATCTTATTCTTATAAAATAATGGGACCTAGTAAATGCAAGTTACTAAATATACCCTCTTTCACAGCTCCCAAGTCCTCGGGGCCGTTTTACAGACAGTAAGGTTTTTGTCCAGGGATTTGTATATATATTTGACGATGTGCCCTTTCTTTTCTTTTAATGTTACTTTGGCTACATATGGTCTATTGTCTATAGTTGTCTTGACCAAGTGCACTTGCATTGATTTTATAGTATTCTTCTACATTTTCTTCCAATTTCCCCTCTGTCTGTAGTTCATTTTGGATCTCATGAACTTTACACATTCTTGTTTCAATTTCTCAAGTCAATCCCCTCATAATTCTGAGGCATTTAAGACATCTCCCACCATAGTTGATCATTATGATGCCTGACTGAGCAAAGACTAATAAAAATGTTTTTTATTTTATTTTTTACAATTTATTTTCTCAGATGTGTCAACTATATATATATTTAATGTGGTTGATAAACAAATGGATAGTTTTGAAACGTTCGTGAAAGGATCCTTATATGTTAGAGCTTACAAATCTTAGCTAATATTTTGCTGTATTGTGTGGTGTAATATATGAGATAATATACTATCGATATTTTGGTAATGGTTGACCCTTTCTACACTAGGCTTTTTTTTATTTATTTCTTTATTTCTTTAGATTTGGTGTATATAATTAACCTTTTTATTGATTAAGTTTAAAGCGCACAGTTTTAATTGTTTGAAAGATCTTTTTTTTTTGTTTAGATCCAGTTGGTTTTGGAAGGTTATATGCAGTACTAACAATTTGAAGATGATACTGATAGTTTGGGTACACCTCGTATTGCGACAAGAAGAATAAACAACAACTAGACGTCCTTGTTCGGTTGGATTTGTATTGCTATATTTTGCTAAAGAGTTTTTCAAAAGAAAAATATGTTTCGATATCCTATAGGACTCTAATTCTCTAACCTATTTTTAGAGAGCTCTTTTGGAATTCCAACTTTTATATATACTTTTCTCTTTTTCTTGAAAATGCGTTGATTGGTTCATAATCAATACACAGGATTTACTAAAAGAAAGACTTGTCGAAGCGAGCTTGTTGCGTTGTGTGTAGGGTCTATATACAAAGACATTTTTTTGTTTATTTAGACAGTAAATGGATTACCTACAATAACATATCAAATCAACCCATTTATTTATATATTACTCAATGTAGACGGCATTTTTTCTCCCTCATAGCTGGAGGAGATGTTATCTTCTCCTATTTATGGGATTTGAGGTGACTTGGCAAATGTGCTACTCTGTTCTTTAGTATATTTTTAGTTGCGTTTTTGTTTAAGAAGTTCAGGGTAATTAAGATTATTTCCTGGTTCCCAGCTATTTTGATTCATTCATATTTAATATATATATCTAGGTTACTGTATCACAAGGTAGAATATATATATATATATATATAATATGTGTGCTTTGAACTTTGTTGAAAGAACAAGAAGAAGAAGAAGAAGAAATGGCACCTTTTGATTTATAACCATGAAAAAATTATTATTATTTTGGCTTATACTGATGACCTATCAACCCTGTTTTTTTTATATTTTTATTGTCTCATACTTTACAAAAGTATCATTATACTTCTTTTTTTATTTTTTTATCTAAAGATACCCTTGTATTTCTTTATTCTGCAAGTATTAGGTTTCCAATATATACACTTGTTTATCTATATAAATAATATATAATATATAACATATTGGTAACAGTTTAATATAACTTTCTTTTAAAACTTTTTGTTACAAAAAAAAAGAATTAAAAATTAAGCCGTATTCTCCCACAATCTGAGATTGAACATTTTTACCAATGTCCACTGAAAATCCAGTCAGTTTTTTGCCCTGGATTTTGAGTATCAAAGGTATTTTTTTTTAGTAGTAATATACATATATATATATAAAAAGTGTGTGCCTGTGTGCTTGCTGAGCTTTTGACTTATTAAATATAGTATTTTTTTTTAGCAACAACAAAAACAACAACAAGAGTATAAAAGCAGAATATGATATATATGTACATGTAAAAGACAGAAAAAAAAGAGGCTTGTACTTCATAGTAGGTGGGATACAATACGCGGCTGTATTCTGTAAAAGATGACTATTTAATATAGACAGGCCACAACTCCCACGTCAATAAGAATAAAGTAAAAAATAAATAAATAAATAATAAAGCACTAAGAAAATTTTCTATAGACAGGGTTCCTAAACTGGAGTTTTGCCCTCAAGTTCATTTATTTTATTTATTTATTGAATAAAAATCAGGTTATAATTATTGTAGCATATCATCCTATGTAAAATGAAAAAAATAGCAAGAGAGTAATAAAAAAATAAAAATAAAAAAAAACATCAGCTCTGTAACAATAAAACAATAAGATGCGCCACAAATTGTACTTCCTTAACTTGTTGACCTTCTTCTTCTCTATTTCTATTTCGATAAACCGAAAAATCTTAAAGAAGTAGTAGTGCCTTTTTCTTTTTGCTTTGGGCAACATTTTTCCCCTACTACTACTGCCTATTAGTATTTTTCTCTCTCTTATTCCATTCACGGCCCTGGAATTTTTTATTCAGGTTTCAAACACAGATTTTAAGTATTATCTAGGTCATTTGCAGCCAACCCTTTTTCCATGTCTCTTCGGCGCTTACTCAGACGCCATTCGGCTCCTAGCATTGAGCCTTTTGACCGCCTGCATTCACTCTACCCTCGTCCTCTTCCTATGCTACCTCCTGACGTTAACACCCCTCCGTCAGTACGCATTACTCAGGACAGTCCTCTCCGTTACAGGGGCCATGACGCTCATGAACAGCGAGCTTACCGCGACTGCAGACAACACTTGCTTGGTCACATCCTGTCGGTCATGCGTCTATGCGAAGACTTTAGACATCACCACAACTTAGCTGGCGTACAAACCGCCAAACCTTCGAGCGGATCGCTTCTGTTCACTACCCCAACCGACACAACATTAACCATGCGCTTGTTGGACGAACGACTTGGCCAGTGTTTGCGACACCTCGATCACCTGCGGACCCGTGTGACCGACAGTGCTTCCAAGGTGCTCGTGACGGGAGACGTTAATGCAGGCAAGAGCAGCCTCGTCAACACACTCTTACAAGCCGACATTGTGCCGACCCATGAACAACCATGTACCAGTGCTCTGTGCGAAATAGTCGATTGCATGCAGAATGGAGGAGTAGAGGAAGTTCATTGCATCCCCGACCCTGCACACTATGATAGTCATTACTCCAGCACATATCATCCCATAGCGCTTCGTCATCTCCCTAAAGCTATGGAGCAAGGTCTCTATGACCACTTTCGTATTTACGTCCGTGATCACCGTCCACCCGAGAAGAGTCTTCTCAAACACGATCTTGCTACCATGACTTGGATCGACTCCCCCGGTCTCGACGCTGATTCCAACAAGACCTCCGCCATATACGCCGGTCAAGACGACATTGACGCTGTTGTTTTTGTTGTCAATGCCCAAAACCAGTTGACCTTATCTGTAAGTGCTTCTTTTTATCAATCACTATATTGATTTATCATATATTTATTTATCTATTTCCTAAAATATAACAATTCTTATTTTATTTTTATTTATTTATTTATTTATTTTATTTTATTTTATTTTATTTTGATAATCATTAAAAAAAATATTCTAATTTAACATTTATATTATATTATATACTGTATATACTGTATATATATATATGTATATTGTATATCACAGGCCAAGACATTCTTGCAAAAGGCTTCAATGGAAAAGAAACCATTATTTATCATTGTAAACCGATTTGATACTATCAAAGACAAAGTTAATTGCAAACGCAAGATTCTCGATCAAATCCACCAAGTCTCACCATCGACATACGAGCAGGCCGAAGATCGAGTGCACTTTGTCGACTTACCCCTTGATGCACCACCTGCCTCGTTTGCCACACTCGAGAGCAATTTGCGTACATTTGCAGTCGAACATCGTATGCACACCAAATTATTGCCCGCCAAACGGTACTTGGTTGCCCTGTTGACCGACATGGCTGATCTGGCTCGTTCAACCCATGAACTGACGATTGAACACCACCAACAAGCTCTTCAGTCACTAGCACGCGACACATTTCCTTTTATGCAGCTGCTAAAGGCACGCGAACCTGTTCTACATCAGGTCGAGGTTATGGCAGAACACACACTCGAATCAATCCAAACCCATGCCCTCAATGTGCTCGAACAAGCTCTCGAAAACCCGCGGCCACGGTTCTCACGCCCACCGCTGTTTTCTTTGTGGCCCTATGCGCACGAATACCGCGACGCTCTTTTGCAAGCCTGGACTGAAGAAATCGAAGACGTCGAGCGAGAGGCGATGGAAGAAACCAAATTGTGTGTCCAGGCAATCCAGCGACTGGGCACAGAGCACCTTGGGCCGTCCCCTTGGCAAGACAAGGCCAACCTAAAGAAATCATATTATAAACCCCTGACAGTCACTCTTGAGCCTGTCGATCTACTTGGAGTCTGGCCACCCCGGAAACGGACTGCCTGGGCCATCTCTCTAGGGCTTTTGGCCTGCCTAGGTGTTCGCTGGGTTGACCGCAGTGGAAAGTTTGGCGGAGGTTGGGTGTCTATCGTCAGTCTGGCCGGCTCCAGTCTGTGGCTCGGTTTGTCCGAAATTCGTACCGGACTTGAGTCCAAGATATTCCAGAAGTGCAAGCGCGCAGCCATCAAGACATCCCTTGCAGATACACATGCCAGACGAGTGTCTCGGATCTCACGAAAGATACTCCAGGCTACCGGACGTGATCTCGAACTCAAGATACAGACTGCGATTGAGAACAAGGCACGACGGAGAAGTGAACTTGAGAATCAGGCACATGATGCACAGAATGCTGGTGCCTATTATACCCACTTTATAGAGGTAGCCAACCTCGTCCTAGATCAAGTCAATGCGGTTTCTACTGATATTCCAACAAAAGCACCTACACGTGTGCTGTAATATCTCCTTTCCTTTTAACTACCCCCCTCAATTCTTATTATTATTTCATTATTACTAGTATTGTTATTTCTGTTTATTCACTCGTTTTGATTTTTATTTTATTTTATTTTATTTTGCACATATCATTGTTTCTTTTACACACACTCAATTACTCAATTACTCACTCAATCTTTATTTTATTTATACACTATGTCGTTTGCTTGTCTTCCTTAAATTTACTTTATTTTTCTTTACGTTTCATTTTATTTGAACCACATATATGTGTATAGATTTATATTAATTTATTAATTTATACAATCGATTGATTGATTATCTGTTCTTTCCTTCTTCATTTTTTTTTCAATTTTTTTTATTTTAACGACGTATAACCTGTTTTCCAATTGCTTCTGGATGAGCTACATCAAATGCTCTTCTTAGAGCCGAATAAACAAGATCGATTAACAATAAGATCTGACCAAGATTGTACACAAGTGTGATTGCATAAAAGAAATTGGCATTTCCACTGCCAGCATAAATCCACAGATGCCAAAAGATAGGTGCTAATACTGAGGCGTACAGAAACAGGTTCGACACAAGGAATCCGTATCGGCAATCTAGAATAGAAAAATAAACATAAAAAGAAGGTGGGACCACATGTGCATTTACACACACAAACAGAGAGAGAGAGAGAGAAAAAGAGTCATCATTAAAAATAAAATAAAATAAAAATCAGGTTTCTTTTTTTTTTGTGGTATATGAGAGAATGGCACGTGCATTATAATCAACTTACATTTGAATACTTCATCGTGAAGAGGAACCAATCCGAGATACAAGGCCGCATCACCCACTGAAGGGTAGCTTTTGAAAACGGACATTATTCCACAAAGCACAATTATTACAAATACAGGCGAATCTCTGTACAAATTATAATATAATGCAAATCAATTCAATTTTTTTTGTTTTAAACTTCTTGTTGTTATCCTTTGACTTCTTACCTCAGTTTGATACACAGAGGAGCTACAAATATGAATGAATGTAACTGGAAAACGACCATAAAGAATGATCTGAACTGATCAAATATCTCGATAAAGAAGTACCAAAACATTCCAATATTTGGCGTCAGATCTGATAATAAAATGCTTTTTTTTTTGTGTTGGTAGATTAATTGATTAGTGAACAAGTGTGTGAAGCACAATTTGAAGCACTTGTTTGTTGCTATGCTGGTTGTACTAGTTTTACTAGTTGTAATACTTAATTCTTCATCAAATAATATAATATGATATGATATGATGATATAAAGAACAAAATAGAAACTCACATGACTCCGTAAGTTTCTCTCATAAACTCCCATGATCCAATTATCAGACGAGAAACTGCCAAGAGCAACACCGACCATCCCATGAACAGCGAGACGACAGATGTAGCCTAAATAATATATATATATATAAAGCACATAAAGAAAATACACATATAAGAAAAAAAAACATTGCCCAATTTGGAGGTTACCCTATTTACCCGTGACTTGAGCAAGAGGGCCAGAGGGGCAACAAGCATGACAGGATAAAAGCTCAGATAAGATGCCATGGAAATCCAGAACATAGACGCCACAGCATTGTCTTGAATTTGAATTTGATTTTGATTTTGATTTTATTTTTAGAAAAGCAAGAAAAGATAAAAAAGGAATATGTCATAGGTAAATGACAAATGACAAATATTATATTTCTATATTCAATAGTAATAAGAATAGTAATCTTACCAAGAGATGCCCAAAGAAGAGCCATAACAATACTAAGGTTGGTGAATAATATTGTGGATTTGGATACACACGAGAGAATAGTAAAAGGATTAAACAGGTACAGGGCTGATACTGCAGAAGGCGAAATCGACGGCCCTGTCTCGACAGCTAACTTTGGCTTTCCTTTGTCGCGTGCTTGTTTTGCCTTGCAGATCTTTTGAAGAGCATGAGCAATCACAACATCTAATATACTGTACAACAAAGGAATTGTGATGCTCGGCAAGTCATTCAGAAATGAGAATAGTGCAAGTAATAATGGAGACTACACAATAATAATATAATTAATATGTTCTATTAATTAATTAAGGTCTTTGCACAATATCAAAAATTAAACCAAGAAAGTAGAATGTCATTTGTTCGAGATTTACTTGATGAACAAGACCACCATCATAGGGTGGGACATTGCTTTCATAGAGATGGACTCCTTCAGTTACTTTATATATATATATTTGGAAATAGATGAAGTTTTTATTATTATTTCTTTCTTTCTTTCTTGTTCTTATTGTTCTTACGTCGCTTGAAGCTCGTCACGGGTGTAACTAACTCTACGCGTTGACCAAGTGTTGTTGCTACAGACGAGATACTAAAGAGTACAAGTCTTAGTGCGATTGCACACCCATAAATGGGCCAATCTCTCCATCCACCAAGTGATCTCATGAACATATGAAAAAGAAGGTTGGATGTATTCGGAGTCTCAAGCCCATACCTATAAAAAAAATGGGGGAATAGAAGCAGAATAGAAATATATATATATATGTGTGTGTGTGCGTATACAGAATTGTCAGTGTGAAATAGTGACTTTGCCTTTTTTTTTTATTATTAACTGTGAAATTCTTGCTGTAATTTTAATGACATTTAATCTTTATTTTCAGTTGCTTTCATTGCAAAACTGACAGTTTTCTTTTGTAATACCTATACTGAATTCTGCAATATACTCCAAAAAGAAAAATGGAAAGAACAGCGCCTTTAACCAATCCTTTTAGCTTTCGAGAAGCATTAATATATTAGACTCAGGGAAAAGGAAAGTGCTGAGGTAAGAGGACTTGGTTGTGAGAGATTTTCACTAGAATGTTTGCTTGAAAGTGACTATACTTCTTTACAGTTTAATTATAGAAAAAGAACGCCTTTTAAAACAATTCTTTATGATGAAAAGCTATTTATTTCTTGTCTGTATAGTTTAATTGACTTAGTTTTTTCTTTAAAAAAAAAACGCTAAATGCTTAAATCAAAATGGCGTTATCTATACATATTTGACTTAAAATCCAAGCAACACCTGTCACTAATTAATATATATATATAAAAATTCGTTATTTCGTACTAAGAAAATCCTGTATATACTAAGAGTATTTTCAACATCACTCAAGATAACACAAAAGAGAAAACACGCACAATCGGTTGTTTGTTTTTTTGAAAATGAAAAAAAGAATGTATATATATCACAAGCCCTGGTCAATCACACAAAATTATGTAGTGGCCATTTTTGATTTTTTTGTTGAATTTTTTCACTTTTTTTTTTGATCTTCTTAAAAAAAATTTGATGGTTTTTCTTTAAAGAAAAAAAAAATTAGTTGTTCTTTCTGCGGAAAGAAGAACCCTCGGTCAAACGAGCTTTACCACCAGTGGGCTGGCACAAGACGGTTCCGCAGGAGGAGCACAAGACAACAGTCTGGGCATGGGAGAAGACAGTGCTGATGTTGAGACAACCTAGAAGAAACAAACAATGAATTAAACAAAAAGATTAGTATCTACTTTATTACATGCACTTGTCTTATCTTCCTTTGTATTCTCTCACAACATTATTACAAATCCTTGTATGTATATTCTGATATTTTTTCATATGCAAGAAAAAAAGTCTTACCGGGGCACTTGACATCCATGAAGTAAGAGTTGGGGGACTGTACGAGTCTCTTGAGCTTGTGGGAGCGCTTCTCGTGCTCAACGGAGGGGTTAAGGAGATCGACAGCCAACTATTAAGAAATTCAGGGTTAGTGAATTCCTTGACACTTATTTCCTTATTTCCTTATTTTTAGTGCGTGTGTGTGTATGCGTATGCGTGAGCGTTTTGATTTATTATTTGGAGTTGAGCGGATGAATTGAAGGATGCATGGATGGATCGAATAAGTTGTGATTCGTAGACGTGTCATGTGTGTAGGAAGTGGTTGCCAAGTAATAGTCGTCGTTGCATGGCCTCGTTACAGTTGAATTGTTTACTGATGTAAATGTGCTGCGGTATTGATTCTTGACGTTCTGTTTCTTTTGAATTCATTTGCTTCTTCTTTGGTGTATATATTTATACATACATATATTTAAATATGTATGTCTTTTTGGTTTCTTGGTCCACTTTATTTTTTTCCTCATTTATTTCTTTCTTTTTTGTGGAGGCCGTTCTTATTTATTGTTTCGATATCGATTTCATGAGATCTTTCCCAGATATCCTCTAGGATTTCATATGATATCTCATCTTTTTGCATCCATCCATCCATATATCCATCAATCCTATCCATTCACGGGCATCGACACACACACATATGCATTTTTCATGCTGGCTTGAGTATTTGTTTACTTACAGTCATGATGCTGTGTGTTGCAAGGCTTGGTGAAAAGGGAGGAATCAACTATTGCCCCATCCTCCGGTGCGTTTTGAAAACATCGAGGCTTGCGTGATTCGCCAGTCCATCCGACTCCGCAGCACAAGGCGGGACTTCCTCACCACTAATTGACAAGCAAGCAATCCTGAATAAGGATCACGCAGCAAAATTAGCTTTGTATACATACTTAGATACATAGATCCATACACACACACATGCACACACACACATACATTTGTATGTATGTGTGTATACTAGCTCCTATAAAGAAAATATAAAAAAAAATCAATTCCTCCAAGTAATGTTGTCTTTATATAAAAAAACTTTCTTTTTTATGCTCCATACAAAATTCACCTTTCTATTTCTCTCTCTATACATACATACATGTATATATATATATATATATATTTCTGACAGAAAAAGGTCTAATTAAAATCAGTGGTGTAATAATTCACTCTGTCTTTTATGAATAAAATTGACTAACAAAGCAAATATGAGTTTTTTTGTCCATTTTTGAATAACCAATTCGATTAGAAGCCCTCTTATCGCAGCTTTTTACTCATTAAAGAGGATGTGCTTGACACCAGGAAAAATGGAATTGGCTGGTATAGAACTCTTGTGAGCGTTAGAGTTTTGCGATTTTTTTTTTAAAAAAAAAGTTTGAGTCTTTCACTTGTCAAAACGATCAAAACAGCCTTGTGCACTTTTTTGTAGTGTAATTGATCTGAATAGATTTTAGGTAGGAGTTATTTTGAAGAGTATAATTTCTTGGATTTATATGCTCTTTTTTAAAAATAGGTTATTATGCTTAGATAGCTCATAGATGTGTATGCTTTCATCACAGAATTCTCTTATTTTCACTCATCTTTTTATACTGCATATTTTCTTACTTATTATTACCTTTTAATAATATAGAAATTACATGGCTTTTAAGAAGAAGAAAAAAAGCAAGGCATCCAATATTTCTTCTAAGCATTACATTTTTTTTTTATTTATTTTTTTATTGCCGTAACCTTTATTCTAAGCCCAGTATTTTAAGTTATAAACCACGATTAATAAATTATATTACCAGGTAAATTTATTTACCTTATCATTGGCTCATTTTAGAGCATCTGTTATTTGTTTTACTCAGCTGTTTTTAAACCCAGAAATATGTTACAAGATTTTGAAATGTTTTCTGTAAAAATTAGAATAGAAAAAAAAGAAAGAAAAACAGGGTCCCCAAGATTTTTTTTTTATGTACACGAACTTATTTCACTCTCCAAGGATTTTCTTATAAAGAATAACCAACAAGTGCAAGTCCACATTATTTTCACACCTGGGACCAATTCTATAATTCACCATGACGCTTAGGAAGAATTCTCAAGAGATTTATACTTTAACAGTTAATTCCCTAAAAAGAAGCATATAGTTTTCTATCAATTGAGGTTTAGACATTAATCTACATGCATACTACATGCGGGATTCATTAGTTACATTGACAGTTAGAACTTGACTCGTTCGGGTCATCATTAACCTCTTCAGTGGTTTACTTGTGTAAATCTAATGTGCTTTATCATGATACTTTATCACTATATATATATATTTATTTATTTACTTGTAATTGTATGTGATTTATGTGGTCAATATTTTATACATATATATGTATATATAACAAAGAAAAAGTATCAAGAAAGAAAAAAAAGATAAAGCTAGAATACACACATATACACACCCACTCACACACACACACACATATATATATATATATATATATATATATATGTGTGTGTGTGTGTGTGTGTGTGTGCGTATGTATATGTATATGTATATGGGATTTATCCTTCAAACGACCATTCGTACTGCTTTGCCAGTGCTTTGCGTCTACCGTGCAATTTAGACACATCCCCAAACTTCCTCACACGACTGCGCACAGCCAACCAGACGCGGTGAACATGATCGTTTTGGGACTTGTAGGTCTTGGTCATCTGTCTTATTCCTGCCAGATTGGCATCTCTAAGCTTCTTGAGTTCCAACACTCTCTCCCGACGTCTCCACATGCCACGGCCCAACACAACCGCATCAAACAACCGCCAGCGCCCGATGAGATCCTTAAAGTTCTCGTATCGCTCGTCAATCGACGCCACATGGTACCACACAAACACGCCGAGGGTTGCCAAGGCAATAAAGAACCCAAAGAAAGAACGATCAAAGAGAGCAGACCAAGCCCAGACGAAGGCGATCACATAGATAAACGGAACCAACACAAGGCCAAAAAAGATCTTGTTTTGCGCTCGCACTTCTTCGTAGATCTCAAACTTGCCTCCAAAGTAGCCAGCCACATACAGAGGCACATGTGCAATCAGACCAGGTAAGAACAGTGGAAGATCTAGCAGACTGGCTGCCGTCCGGCGCAGCAATTCAATTGTGGTCGTGACGGTTGTAATGTCTTTTTCACTGTACTTTGCGATGTGCGAATCCTTGAGAGCCAATGCCTCCAATTCAAGCTTGTACACTCTTAAACTCTCCTGTAGTTGTGCAATCTCTGGTTTATCTTTGGAGAGCTCAGTAATAGCACAAATCAGACTACAAGACATTATTATTGTTATTATTATTATTATTATTATTATTATTATTATTATTATTATTATTATTATTATTATTATTCTTATTAATCTGTAGTGTATATACATATACACAAAATACACAAAATACATAATTCCCACTACACACTACACACTACATACCTTTGAGTAACATCTACATAATCATTCATCAGACCATTCTCACCCGGGAATAATAACCAACGTGCCATCTCTGCTGCATCTTTACTTTCCCAGTCGGGTGCATTGACAGTCAATTTCTCGATTGCTGCCTTGAGGTCTTTGGTCAGGAGCTTGGCTCCTTGCTTAGGGTCTTTTCTGTACAGATCCATGTATGGTTCAACTTTGATTGGCTTTCCATAGCGCACAATTGCAACGCTGCGGTACTTTGATTTTTCAGGATAGACAATTCCCACCGGAAGTACATCTGCTTGTTGCGGGAGGCTTCCGTCTGCGTTTGGATGAGGGTCATCGGCAATCAATCTTGCGTATTCTAGTGCAGCCTTGATATTATTATTGTTATTAATAATAGTAAGAGAACAAATCAAATCAAATCAAATCAAATCAAATCAAATAAAAAATATATTTATGTATGTATACTTACAAAGCTCACGCCATCTTTAAAGATACCCAGGTGAGGTAAAGTGTGACTAGTGCCTTCCGGGAAAACAGCCACAGCTTCACCAATACGAAGTACTTCGAATGTGGATGCATAGAGCTGTGCGTTGTTTTTGGTCGTTCTGTCAACCGGCACAACACCACAATTGGTCAAGAACTGGCTAGCATAAGGATGCTTGAACATTGTGTTTTTTGCCCAATAGTGCAATCGGCGATGATTAGGGTATGTGACTGAAAGTGTTGCAGGATCTACAATCATATTGTGATGCGTGGCTGCACTATCCATGTGTGTTTATGTTTATTTAATTTTTCATTATTTCATTCTTATATGTTTCTAATTCTTCTTCTTCTTCTTTTTTTTTTCTTTTCTTTCTTTGGCATAAAGGCAATATAATACATGTTCATCATCATGTTCAACATGTTATATAATATCATTTTGCCCGACAAAAAAGAAAAAAGAAAAGAAAAGAAAGAGCATAGAAAAAGAAGAACTTACACAATCAAAGGTCCCTCGGTAGGTACATTCTGGACGTCTTCAAGTTTGATATCAGAAAAGAATGACCAGAGCGCTGCTCTAGAAATCTGGCAAACCAACTCATGACCAATTCCAAATGGCATGATGATAAAATAAAAGTATAATTATATTTATGTGTGTGTGTGTGTGTGTGTGTGTGTGTGTGTGTGTGTGCGTGTGTGCGTGTGCTTTTAAGTGAGAGAGAGAGAGAGAGAGAGAGAGTCTGTGTGAGTATGAGGGTGAGAGTAAGAGTGTGAGAGTGTGTATAATATGTAGCAAATGTATATATTATATTGTATATATATATATATTTTAAAAAAAAAAAAACTTAAAACGACACGATGGATTGACCAACTGTTGGGGACGGGCATTTAATATCAGCGCGTGCTTTGTCGTTAACAAGATTTGCGCACACTACTACTGCCATTATTATTATATATATCATCTCATAATTCAATCACTTTGGCTTGTGTAAAATACATATCCGTATCCGTATCCATATCCCTATAAAATACGATTATAATCATCGTCATATATAAACCAGTCTGTATCTTGTGTACAGTGTGTGTAGTGCTGTTTAATCATAACTTTGGATAGAGCGTGTTTCTGGAAATATCTTAAAGTTTACAAGTACGAGAAGAAGAAAGATCATTTAGGTAGATACATAAATATTAAATCAAAACGTGGATATTCTCCATAAATAATAGCTAAAAAAAAAAAAAAATTAAAATAAATTCAAAGGAGAAACGTATGTTTGTCTAGAGAGAGAGAGAGAGGATCAAATATACCACGAGTACAAACACATATATAAAAGGTATTGGTTTGAATATTGAGAGAAATGGCTTGTAAACATATAATATAAATATATATTTCAAAAACCAAAATCAGTTTACTGATGTTTCAGTCTCTGATTAGTTGATAGTTTGACAAGTCTGCCCTTGAGGGAATCTTTCTTTATTTTCTCACGCTAGGTATGGTTGGTTAATCAACCCTTCTTTATTATTACTTATTTATCTATTTTATTCGGAAACATCCGAAATCTGAAAGGTGTGCCTTTCCTAGTAAGGAGGCGAAAGATTCAAGAAATACAGGCAATATTTTGGATATTCTTCTTTCTTTCTTTCTTTCTTTCTTTTTGAAAGTGACAAAATGAATCTCTTTAACAAACCAATTACATATATATATATATATATATATGTGTGTGTGTGTGTTTCTCTTTAGGTTGACGTTTAACAGTAGTATTATTATTATTATTTTGTTTTAATAATAAAATAATAAATGAAATAGAATGAATTGAATTGAAATGAAATAGAATGAATTGAATTGAATTGAATTGAATTGAAACAAAATAATATTTTTTTAAAAAATAAAAAATAAAATTAAAGAATCAAGATCAATTTTGATTGACATTATTGATGACTCGATAACCTTTTGACTCCATGACCTTTACAAGTTTGGTGCCTGCATCTTGGGTAGGCGCCGAAATCCGAGCAAAGGCAGCCTTGATGTTGTTGATGTCACTGACATACAACTTGTGACCGGCGTGCGAATCATCGTTGATTGCCCTCTGGATATCCCGCGTCTTGGCATTGTTGTCTATGAGCTTGGCGATTTCCTTGACGTCGTCTATACTGATCTTTGACAGTCTTCCTTTTAGGGTTGATTCGAGGCACTTTTCATCTAGAGGATGGTTGTGGTAGCCTTCGATTTCACGGGTCGGTTTTAGGGGCATGTATCCTTGGATAGACTTTTTGTAGGATAGTTTTAGTAGGTAAGGACATCCGGTAAGTCTGCTAGGAGAGATCTTTTTTCGATCGCATTCTTGGATCTTGCGTGTACTCCTGTAACGGCCTCCCTTGGAGCACTTTAGATAGACCCGGGTTGGCTTGCGATCCTTGGTTGCAAGTGCAAAGTTGTTGGACAATGCATACTCTTGCATCTTCCCGACTGCCTCGGCCATGTCTTTGTAGCCATTCGGTGGTGGTGTAGGAAGAGGCTGTTTAACACGATAGTATTGGATCCCGTCGGCAACAAAGGTTTCTTTATTCAAAGGATTCATCTTTTTCTTTTTCTTTTTTTTTTTCTCTTTTTCTTTTTGTCGTTGTCGTTGTCGTTGTCGTTGGATTTAATGAAGAAAAGGAGATTACTACAAATTGTTTTGTTAGCATTACAAGATTTAATAAAGTCATTAACACTTGAGAAAAAAAAAAAGCTAAAGTTAAAACCAAAACCAAAACCAAAATAAAATAAAAAATGAATAATATTTTATTTTATTTTATTTTATTTTATTTTATTTTATTTTATATAAAAACAAATAAGGTGTGTCTATATCTATACCTATATCTCCACGCACTTGTATATTATGTATGTACTTTGGATTTGTATTTATATTGTGGGGTGTGTAAATAGATGAATAGTTTATATAGGTAAATAAATAAAAGTGAGTTTCTTACAAGGTACGTGTGTGAATAAAAAAAAAAAGAAATTATATATATATATGAAAGAGAGAGAGAGAGAGAGAAAGGAATATTAAATATATTTTTAAAAAAAAATTGGGTACTCAAAAACAAAAATCAGTATTAATAATAATATCGTTATTATTATTTATTTATATATAAAAAATTTATTCGGCCACGTTATTTGAAATTCTGTACTGTATTGTATAATTTTTATTGTCATTATTCAAAAAAAAAAAAAAATAGAACCACTTGTCCGAATCATTTATATATAAAAAGAAAAAATGTCGTGTCCCCAGCATATAATTATTTTATTTATATTTTGTTTTGAGTCAGGCTGGAGTTATTGAAGAAATACTTTATAAAGCAGAGAAAATGAAATCAAAATGTTCAATTTATAGTTATTTACATTAAACATATAAATATATAAATATATATATATATATATATATATATATATAGTTATATAAAGAATAGCAGTAATTGTAGTTGTATAAAAGACTAGAGGTTTTAATGGTTCTTGTAAAAACGAACACCACCTTTATCTTCGACAAATCGGCATTTGATCCAAGTATCAATCAATGCCTTTGGAATTGGAGTATTGTCTGACATGTAGTGTTCTCCCAGCACTGCCTTGATGTGTTTGGTGGCCTCTACACAATGATAATGAGGTATGGTAGATATGTAATGGTGGACAACGTGAGCATCGGCCACATGATGAAATATGTAGTCCAGAATTGGCCCATACGAGCGGTCGATTGTTAGAGCAGCACCTCTCTGGAAATTCCAGACACTCGAGTCGTATCGAGGCACGTTTTGACTGGTGTGCTGTAGATAGGTGACCAGAATGACCCAGCAATTGATCAACAGGTAAGGCACGACATAGTACTTGAGCACCACAAGCCATCCAAGCACTTTTCCGGCATAGAACAAGCTAGCTATCACGGCCGCAACTGCCGCAGTCGACTGATGCACTTTCCAGTACTGGTCTTTGGTAAAAATGTAGCAGTTTGGATTAAAGTGCGAGACCCACTTGTTTTTGTTCATCTCACAAGGAACGTCGAAGAGGAGATAGTATATCGTTCCAGTAGAAATATAGGTGATCAGGCCGAGTAGTATATAAATAGGCGAATCCTCAAAATGGCTGTGTGGTCCAGTAATATGAGTACCATTGTCGGTATCAGTATCGGTATCGGTATCGGTATTGGTATAGTTATCTTGCTTGTGTTTGTGTGTTTGTGCAGCCAGACCGAGTTCAGAACGGAGAGGTGGAGGATGAGCCTATTTTAGGATTCTTATGATTCTTAACAATAGTAATAGCAATAATAAGATGTATTGATAATTACTCTATCTTTTGTCAAGTGCCCGACTGACTTGTGGTGCTGAGAATGAGAGTATTTCCAAGAAAAGTAGGGTACCAGTAAGCTACTGTGAATCATCATACCCACAGCGTCACTAATAAACTATACAAGGCTGTTAGAAGATCAAAGATACAATGTATATATATATATATATTTACTTTTGAGGAACTGAATGCATAATGTCCACATTCATGACCGAGAACCCACAACCCGGCACCAAAGAAACTTTGGACGATCCAGTAAGTAGACCAGGCCAGAAAACGAACAGGACTACTAGAAGATGTCGTTTGGTCGATCCAACTAGCAGAGTAGCCTGCCAATCCAATAAACAACAAGTCCTGGAAAAGGTAGCCAAAGGAACGTAAGGTGCTTCGTTCAAAGCAATGGGCTGGTATGGCATTACGGATGTCCTTGATTGAAAAGTCTGGGACTTGCCATGAGTTACAAGCATCGATTTCTGAGGCAGCAAACTCTTTTTTTGACTTTAAAGAAACAGTCTTTCTTTTCATTGTTTCTTTTATATCTTTAGATATCTATAAAGGTAGAATAAAGAAAGAAAGACGAATGATTTTTAATAAGGAATATAATGAATAGATAATTAGATAATTAAATATATATATTTATTTAGAAAATATCCAAATTTTTATCTTCTTTACCGATAAATCGAGTTTTTTTATTATAAACTTAAAGGTGTGTTAGTTAAGCCACATACAAAGATAAAAAAAAAAAAGAGAATGTTTAATATTGAGCCAAAATTGTATTATTACTATTATTTTTCTTATTAGTCGATTGTTGGCAGGTAGATTAGTATCTTTTAGACTATAACTATACCTTTTTTCTAGATTCCAATTTGTTTGAATCGACTTCATTCCATTGACACTTTATATACATATGTATCTCTATTATTTTGGAAACACAACCGACCAAGTAGATATTTATTATTATTATTATTTAGATGCTAGCCACAACTTGGGCTACTATATATATCAAGGTCTACAAATGATGTAAAGAAGTATGATTTAACTTGTAGCTAGTGATAATTGATAACTGTTTTTCTTTTCTTTTCTTAATAAAGAAAGCGTAGATCTGACCTGATATGCTGCGTAGTATTAGTTGTGTATTCACACATTCATATAGACAGATAAAGATATAAAAGCGTTTCAAAGATTCCGATGCTGATTGATACCGATACCGATACCGATATTAATAATATATTTTTTATATATGTATACACACAAAAATAAGATGACCTACTTTTGTAGGATAGGCTGTGTTTTGAACCATTTCAATAAAGTAATGGGAAGATTCGGGATCAAACGGAAAAACAAAGGGCTTGACTTGACTTGACTTGACTTGATTTATGTAATTTATTTATTTATTTATTATAAGAATCATCCAAGGTTTTACCATCAATTCAATTTTAAAATATTTTTACATAAAAGGCCTGCTTATCTTGAACACAATTAATATAAAAAGAAAATAGAGATCGGCAAGGTTGACGGAAGATATATCTATATATAATTTTAAGCATGATGATTGTACGTATGCTGCTTTCTACTATTTGGTTACTTGATATTTCTTACAGGCGAAAAATAATAATAAAATAAATAATTTATTATCAATTAAAAGATTTGCTTGATAGTGTAGATAAATTTATTAAAGTCTATTATATTATATTGTATGTTGTAATGGTGAAAGAAAGGGATAAATAATGAATAGATTTAATTATGACTATAGTATGTACGTATGTATGTATGTATGTATGTATGTATGTAAATGAGTAAATGAGTGAATGAGTGAATGAGTGGGTGAATCTGTATAAATTGTGTAAATATATACTAGTAATAAAAAGGGTAAAAGATAATCGAATAAGAATTTTAAAGTTAAGATGAGTTTGATAGAATAGGAGGAGACGCAGAGGGTGAAGTAGCAGCCGAAGAAACGGCCGAAGAGTTATTGGTGTTTGAGTTTGAGTTTGAGTTGTCGGCATATGTGGGTGCCGGTGGAAGCTGCTCGATAGACAGACCATAGCTGGGTGGTGCATCGGCAGTGGCGTATGAAGGAGGGCTGGGCATGTCTCCGTCCCAGATGTGTTCGCGAGCTGTCACAATAACCGGGATTTCGAGAGAGCACATGGTGATCGAATGTTCGTCTTGCTTATGATGGCTTCTGCGACCAGACGACTTTTTGCGGATGCCTTGCAGGGCTTCGATGGGTTCTTGGTCAGGATCGGTGTGGTGGATGTGGAAGCCGGTCGAGCGGCGGAAGATTGATGAGATGGAAGACGACGATGACGATCGGCTGAGGGATGGAGAGGTGGGGCGGGATGTTGGTGGAGATGGAATGGAGGATTCAAAGTGCTTTGCGCTCGGTCGCTCATCTTCGGATGTGTAGTAGGCCGTCTCTTCGTCGGTCTCAGCACCTCTGTCGTTATCGTCTCTAGGTGCACTGTCTTCGACGACGATGTTGACGATGACGGCGTGACTGACCTTGATTAGTCTGCAGTTGGTGTCAAGGTTGACTCTTGGACAGACACGAAAGACGGCATTGTAGTCGTGTTTCTGGGCGGGGTCGTAGTCTGCATTTTTGGATGGGTAGAATGTGCTGTAGCCCAGAGGATAGAGGTCGTCGGTCTTGTGCAGGACGGTGTTTGATTGGTGGTCTGTTGTTCTGTAGTGGACCCTTTCTCTGAGAGCGCAGGTGACGGAGCGCACGACCTGTGTTTCCGGCTTGATGACCGACATCGCTACATTGAGTCTGATCAGGCCTCCTTCGCGATAGACCATGTTTGGGGCAGTTGCGCTGTAGTTGAGTTTGTGGGTGTTGATTTTGCCGTGGACTGTTTCGAGAGTGTCGGCGAATGGGACCAGATCGTCCATGAGACAGCGGCGGAGACAGACTTCCTTGACAGCCGAGATGTTGTTGGCGAACATGGGACGGTAGATTGCAGCCTGGAGACGGTAGCGGATGTAGCCGCGTTTGCCACGGAAGCTGGAGGGCAGGTTTGACGGCAGATCGAAGCTAAAAGGGTAAGAATATTCTCCGGGCATGAGGGTATGGATCTGGCCATCGTCGCCGAAAAAGCGGGCGTCTTTGGTGAAGAGGGTGCGTCGTTCGGATGTTTCTGGGTTGGGCATTCCATAGTTTGTTGACTTGAGAGTGACCTTGCAGCGACCTTCGAACCAGACGAGTAGTCGACGCACCTTGACAGGTCTGTGGACAGTGGCTACACAAGTACCTGACAGAGTACAGCCTTCAGACTCGTCGTTTGCGAATCCAGTCATGACTCCGGTAAATGACGGGTCGATATTGAATGTAAAGGTAGCATCTTCTTTGGCATGTGGCATTATGATTTAAAGATTAAATTAGTAAGGTAAGCTGTAAAGATGTATAAAGAAGTCCAATAAGAAAATTTGAATTGAATTGAATAAAAGAAAAAAATGAAAGAAAAATAGAGAAATTATTATGCTTGTATTTATATATATATATATATTTTTTAATTTAATTTAATTTAATTTAATTTAATTTGTATATAGATTTGCTGGATTTTGCAGGCGATTAGGATTAGGATTAGGATTAGGATTAGGATTTTTTTTTAGCATGTTTTTTTTTGTGCTTTTTAAAACTACGGTGTCGGTAATCTTATTCTTATTTTTTTTTTATTTTTTTTTTGATTCTTTATTCCGTTTGGCGCCTTTTATAACTAGAAAATAAATAGCGTATAATATTATTTATTTATTTATTTATTTATTTATATAATTTTTTTTTTTTGGCTTATCGATAGAAACAGATCCTATTCCACCCTGATTTCTATATATATATTTTATTCTTTTTAAGCAAAATGTTTATGTAAGACATCCCTTTTTCTTTCTCTCTCTCTTTTCTTTATCATTTTATTGCTGCGGCTTATAATGTTTATTTTTTGCAGAATGTTTCAATTTTAAATTTAAATATATAATAAATATTAACAATAATGATCCGAGGTAAAAAAATATTATTATTTTTTTTTGGTTTGTATAATAAACTATAGATTATTCTCTCTGGTTACAGTAGCCTTAAATTGGTTGATAAATGGTTCCAATGTCTAATTGAAATTAAATAAATAAATAAATAAAATAAAATCAATCAATTAATTCTTCTTACTCGATCAACGGGTTCAGTCAATGGCTGTTCGGTTATTTCTTGTATGTCTCTTTGGAGTGCAATGGCATCTAGTAATCTACGGTGTCTCTCGATTGCTACAAAGCATATACCCATTAATTGCATTGATCATATTATGTAAGGATAATCATACATGGATCAGGATATCCCCAGATATCATCATCATTTGGTTTACGATGTCCAACAAGCCTTTCTGCTGATTCCAACAATGGTTTTGAAACTATGATAGTAGCATTAACATTATACTGTAATATCAATGACTATCGTTATCATTATCTTTAAATTATGATCTGTGGTCTGCCTTATTTCTTATTTTATTTTTTTACCTTCCGGAGTTGATTCTATCGGCAAGGCTCGAATTTCTTCAGTATACGGCAAAAGGATGCCAGCAAATCCAGACGGAGATTTCTTTAAATATTTATATATTTTTTTGACAAACAAATAAAATAAATATCAATAATAGACTCAGTTTTAACATCTTTGCGCAATCCAACAATAACATCTATCTATCTGCCTATCCGTCTATCAGTCTATCTATCTATCAGCCTATCTATCATTTCTCTATATTTTATTTTATTTTTACTTTCATTAATATAAATGCTAATGTTAATGCTAATACTGCTGTTCTTACCTGTGGCATTAATACCATAACTCTTGGTGCAGAATTACCACTAAATACACAAAAGGTATAGCATATCTTGTCTGAATTTGTCAAGGTGGTGTGTAAAGCTCTCAATACTTCAGTGCTACCCGAATAAGCCTATAAAATAAAGTATTATTTTAGTCCAAGACAAGAAATGGATCAATAGTCTAAACGAACCCAAGCACGCACAAATGGACGAACAATCGAACGAATGGATACACACATCACACACGCACTACCACCATGTGTTTTATTCTATTTTATTCTGCGCTTCTTTTTTATTTTTTATTTTGTTGATGGACTTACTGATTCGTCGGGAGCAATAAAATAGGTACGGCCAATAGTGTGGTGCGGTAAATGGGCTTTACGCGGTTTAAATCCAAGCACAACAATTCCTAATCGCACAGATCAACGAACGATTATTATTATTGTTAATAATATCTTTTATATATTTATATATATTAACTGATTTTGATCCAAGAAAATATATATAAAGTATCTTAATTAATACTTGCCTGGTTCTCTTATGTATTGAGCTTTTTTTATATCTTCTTTTGATAAGGGCACATTTAATCCACCATATTCAAACGCACTAGATATTGTATCCAGACGGAGATTCTGGCCCGTGTCCTGTAAGATTGTAACACAAGATAAGCTTACAAACCAACCTGCCTTTATTTTATTTTGTTTTGTTTACCATATCTTCGTAATATGTCGATTTCTCGACTAGTTCTACTCCCCCTTCGTTCTTTGTTACTTCCACAAGATTTGGTCTTTTTTGTCGCCTAGCAACAGAAATACTACCATAAAATATATTTACAAATCAATCAATCACTCAAATAATTGTATATTCTCTCTCTTTATATATATATATATATATATTAGCTTACCCAGTAACACCAATTGTCGCTCCTTCTGTCAAATGAAGTGGCAGGTGGAATGCCGTGTTTCTGAGTCCTCGGTTTTGAGTAACCATTGGAAGCACTTTTTTCAGAATAGAGGATGGACTCTGGATCACATTTGATTGGCTAGATTGATAGCCGCCAAAAATATCAGGATGACCGAATTCCTACACACAATGAGAATCCACATTAACAACATACAAGATATACATATTTATCATCATTGAGTATATACTAGCAAAAATATCCATTTATTTCTTTAAACTAAAAAATAAACCAAGCCAAACCAAACCAAACCAAACCAAACCAAAAAGTATATATTATAAAAACCACCATCATTGCCATTGCCATTGCCATTGCCACTACCACTAATACTAATACTACTATTTGTCTTAATTATCTAATTATTTCGTAATCCTTACCTTGTAAAATAATGAGTAATTAAAGGCATGTTCGGGTCGGTCAATTCCACACACGATCAATTTGATAATATTCTTTTTTTTTTTTTTTAATATAGGAATTAATGATTGAATAATTAGTATTATGATTAGTTAATGCTTATTATATATTTCTATACATACATTTGGATCTTCAATATCCGAATTTCTATCGTCGTGTCGGCTTGATTCCGCACGTTTGGTAACCAAGGATTGATGGAGACTCTTTATTAATAGTAATATTAAGATAATAAATAAATAAATAATAGTAATGAAATCATTACCCTTTCTCGATAATTACCTCGATATATCTAAGAGCTTCTGTTCTTTCTTCTGGTTGGTCACTGTGAGGATCATCTTGGGTGGTAATCAATACAATCTGTTTTCTGCCAAGCTGGGCTCCGGTTCCCTTTGACTTGAAGGCATCGGTTGCCATCCATAAGACTTGTTCTAATGATATCCCATCTCTAGTCGATCCATAAATCTCATCAAAGGATAGCCATCCTACACATATAGTCATATTAAAAAAAATCATTCGACTATACACACAGATCGATGTATATAAAAGTAAATATATTTACCTGTTGACAGGTCACTCATATGGTTGATAAGCTTTGTTGACGGGTAATTCAGATCGTAGAAAAAACAAGCGTGTTTATCCGCACTTGCATCTAAAAGACCCTAATAGTAAAATTTTGTGTATGTGTGCATGTTTTTTTTTTTAAAAATAATAATAGATAGATATATAGATAATACATATACATGTAATTCATTCAATTCAATTCAATTAATCAGATGTTACTACCATCATTCCTTAAAGCACTATACTGATTATATACATATATACATTCTCTCTCTCTCTCTTTCTTTCTGAAGAGTTGATGAATTAATATTATTTGTATTCAACTTACAGTGTTGTATAATAGTATACCAACACGGTCCTCTTTAGAATCATGCATCTTATTCAAGAATATTTTTTCCAAGTAGTGCAAGACTTGTAAGACAGGAACCCTGCCATTACGAGGAGTCAGCATTGCAGGAGAACAATCGATTACAAACAATGTACTTTCATTGTTTAAATCCTGCAGCGATAATAATTATAAAGATTCATCAATCAATCAATCGATTAAAAAAAAAGTGAGAGGAATAATCTTACAATGGGATTCATTACAAAGGATTCCATTTCTTGTTCGACCATTTTCTTTAAGAAAATAATAGGTAAAAAAAATAAATAAATAAAGAGCGATTCCACACTAGATAAACACTAGGTAGACTCAGGCACACACACACACACACACGAATAATAACAGCCAGACAAGGCAAACAGAGACAGTGAGTTATAGAGAGAGAGAGAGAGAAAGTGATATATACATGTATTAAATGACCGACAATTTTAATAATAACAATTGGTAAAAAAAAAAAAAAAAAAGTTTAATTAATATTGGTTATTCTTCAAACAAGATATCAAACTGTATATATATATATAGGTAACTTCAAATAAGAGCAGTATATTTCCTGAATTAGATCAAGCAATTTGACTGTATACAGCTCTATCATTAACATTATTTTTGAAACACTTTAAACCAAAAATTGAAAAAAAAAAAAAGAAATCTTTGGAATTTGAATCCAAGATACGCTTTTTTCTTTTGGTTTTTGCGTATGTGAATGTGACTGAGTGTGTAGAGTATAAAGAGTGTTGAGTGTAAAGAGCAACTACAGTACGTTTTTCTTAAAGAAGAAAGAGAGAAATATATATATATTTATTTATTTATTAATACATTTCTATTAAACATAGAGTTTTTTGGAGTCTGGTGACGCAATCAACCATTACTTCCATTTTGCCTTTCCTTTATTCTTATTTTAATTCGAACAAAATAAAAGCCATTTGAGCGGCGCAAAATTTTATAAGAGAAAAAGAGAGTGGGATAATGGATCGTGGATCATGTATAGTGCATAGTGCATATTGTATAGTATGCCTCTCTGTGTGTATGAGAGAGAGAGAGAGAGAGAGAGAGAGGTTATAGGTTTCATATTTTACCTTGCTGTGTGCAAGTATGTGTGTGAATATGTGTTGTGTGCTGTGTGTGTACAAATGCTTGAGCCTGTGTATGGGTATGGGTGTGTGTGCGTATAGAGTGGGTGTGGGTGTGGGTGTGGGTGCTTGTCTCTATTCCTATTTCTTTTTTTTTTTCTTTTTTTTTTTACAACAAAAAAAAACAAAAATTCTTCTTCATTCTTCTTCATTCTTCTAGCCTTTATTTTATATATATATTTTTACTTCTTAATCACTTGATTCTGTTGCTCACAATGGCCACTTCTCATTCACAATTACTTGTCCCAAAGGACCCTCCGTCTTATGATTCCATCTACCTCTCCATACCACAATCTTCTTCTTCTATCTCTTCTTCGACTGATTCCACTCCCAGCTGCACACATGCGATACGACGCTTCCTTCACCGACAGTCTGCTTTCTTCCAGCGACTAGCCGCAGCCACCTTTGTTGCGGCCACTATCTCTACTACGGTTATGCTGCTTCTCTGGCAGCTCCAGAACCTAACTTATCCACAGGATCCAGACGGTCCTTGGTTGAGACCAATCACAGAAGTCTCGGAAGAGTAAAGAAAGAAGGCAAACCTATAAAACAAAAACAAAAAAGAAAAAACAAAAAAGAGTAGAGCAGAGCAAACCAAATCAAATCAATCCAATCCAATCCAGAGCAGAGCAAAACAGAGCAGAACGGAACAAACACTATCGCACGTCCACACACACACACACAAGCACTCCCGTACAATATATCACAAAAACCCACACACTATCGCAAACGCACAATTGACTGTACATAATCACCTTTACTATTGATTTCCCTTTTTTTGGCTGTTCTTCCTCTCTTTCCTTTTCTTTTCGCTTTTTATGTATATACTATGTATAAAAGAATAAGAAGAAGAATAGGAAAAAGGTCACCTTGAAAAAAAAAAGCGTATGTCATTTTATCAGTATAATAACCAACACATCCTCTTTCAATTTATATATATATATATATATATATAAAAGCCAAATAACAATAACAATATTCATATTCATATTCATATTTACATTCATAATCATGTCCATACTCGATCAAGGCTTTTGGGCGTATTAGTAAAGAAAAGAAAAAAAAAGATAGGACACTTGATTATAATTATAATCATTATAATAATAAATCATATTAATCACTATCGAAAAGAAAAAGAAAACAAGGAAACAAAGAGAATCTCAATTGATAAAGAGGTAGACATAAGCATACATATATATATAGAGAGAGAGAGAGGGCTTAGGGGTAGTCAAATGAAAGAGAAGGAGAGGGGGAGGGGACAAGCAAATGAGTGAAATAGTAAGTAAGTTGTATGTGTGTGTGGGAAAAGACTTGTTGTTATTGGTGAAAAGTACAAGAAATATTCACTTTTTATTTATTTATTTATTTATTTGTATGTATGCATATTCATGTAAACCTTTTTTTTTTCTATTCTTTTTTTTTAGATAATCTTTACTGGTATTGGATTTTCGGACTAAAATTTGCGTATCTCGATTCTATCTCTATAAATTGTGCGATTTATTTTGCGATCTTTGATGTTCATTATTATTCGCAACAGAATCATTTAATATTAATATTACTATTACTATTGGCAGTATTGACAAGTTTTATCATCTTGGTTTAATATTTCGCTATATGTTCCTTTACCTTAATTTGTTCTTTCTGTTTGTTTTCTTCTTCTTGCCAGAATGAACAAACCAAAACATATATAAAAAAGCAGCAGAAATATATGGTAGAGAGAAAGAGGGACGTTTTATGGGACCTCGCTTGTTCATTTCGATTAAATCTGATGTGGAACTCAAAGAAGAATACGAAAAGAAATGTCAAATTCAAATGAAAGTTGGTTCATAGACACACAATTCATGATTTTCTCTGTAAGAAGAAAAATAAACTCTGTCAATAGGGTTTCTGTGTCTTTTACTGCTGAGCCTGTCCTTCCGTTGCACTTCCTTCCTTTCTAAATAGCCCGCTCTGTCATACTGACGTGGAGAATATTTTGCAGCACCTTTGTCTTTATCTTTCTTTAGATTGTAATAGCATTGATTACGGCTCTTATAATCTTGTATATAAATTGAATAGAGTAAGAAGAAAGAGAGAGAGAGATTGTTTCCTGTTTGTTTTTTATTTCATATTTCTTGTTAAATGGCGTGATTTTGTGTTGATCGCCAATTTTACTACTACTACTATTATTATTATTATTATTATTACTTGTATTTCTACTTGATATCAACTACAAATAAGATTTTGCTTTTTCTATTTGTTCCCAAACTACATACATATTTATATTTTATATATATAAAAACATCACCCCACAAAATACCACGATCGATTCATTTTCAAAAATAATATAAAATAAAATAAAGCAAGCCACACTGTGGCGTAAACGTAATTCATTTACATTATATATTTATTTTAGTTACTTGTAAAAAATACCTGCTGTGTATTAGATAACAAACCAGAATAAAGGACTTTTATTATCATTTATAATATATATATATATATAGCTATAGCTATAAAAACATTTCTTCCTTTTCATTGGCTTCTTCTTCTGATAGGTTCACTGTCTTTAGCAATAATAATAACTAGTCTAATAAGCTTTCGACTTTTTTTTATATTTTTTTTAAAAATTATTTTTCTTGTTCATTTCGTGCTGTTGCTTATTATCATTATTATCATTGAGCACCAATACCGATTGACTCTGTGGACCATTATATTCTCATACCAATACATACATATACAAAAGAGTTCTGTCTATGCCTTGTGTGGATTAGACAATAGAGTTAATTTATTTATTTATTTGCTTTAGTTAGTACATTAGCTTGGCTAAATGAATTGGCTTGGTTCAGTTTGAAATTTGAATAAAATTCTCCATGCACCTCTAGAACAATATATAGATATATGTAAACCCTGGTTTAGGGTTGTACATCAAGAGAGCCAGACAGACACATAAGTACAGGTACAAGCACAAGCACAGTTATAAGCATAGGCACAGGCATAGGCATAGGCATGGGCACAGATACAGATACAGATACATACACCTGAGAATTTCTAAAATATTTATAGATTTTAATAGTAAAAAAGAAAAGGAAAGTCGAATTGTACATTTATATAGATGTATACGAACTAATTTTATAATTTTTTTTTTTAAAAAAAAAGTAATAGTGAATAAATAGTCTTCAATTGATCGCCGTATTAACCAATTCCTTTATTCTCTTTCTCATCATTAAAATCACATTACATTACATTACATTAGAATGAAACTCTTTGGTGTCTTTCTGTCTGCTGTTCTGGTAGTCAGTCTTGCCAATGCCTTTCCTTCAGAGCCTTCTACTTGCGATCTACTCGCAATCTCAACCTACCAAGAAAACACAAAAGCCAACCCCAATATCCAAGCTCTCATTGACGATGCAGTTGACAAAGGGTACCAGATATATACAAATATCAATAGAAAACAAAACAAAAACAAAAAAGACATCTTAATGTATTCTCTATAGGCGTTCTGTTGTAAAGATGGGATCAGGTAAGGACAAAGAGATATTCTTTAGTTATTTATATTCAATAATATACCCTTTTTTTTCACTCACCTTAAAATGTATGTACTTTTCAAAGGCCAATGGATCCTTCCTTCAGATTATCCCATCGTCTTACCTCCAGGTGTGTCTCTTTCAGGAGATCCAAAAAATCCAACCGTCCTAACTGTCATTGACAAAAACACTACTGGCACTATCCTTGGTGAGTTTTAGTATTTTCTTTGTTTTCTTTTACTGATGCCTCTTTACATTATTTTTTGGCTTTGATCTTGATTTTAATTATATATACTGATGTGTTAGTACCTGCATTAAATCGTGGTTGGACAATAAAGGGTCTGATTCTGGATAACGTGAACATCTTGATTGATCCTCATGAAAACGATGATGAAACAAGTATCCTTGGCAATATATTTATTAATGGTGGCCGTGGGTCAATTGTATCCAACTATGGAGAACAGCTTTATGTTGGTGAGTGATAAAGAAAAAAAAACCAAACAGCAAGAGTACCATTACTATATTTTTTTTTTACCCCTTGGTTTGTTTCAAAAAGTATCGATTTTGTTGATAAAGTGCACAAATGTACCTAACGATAACCTTTTTTTTTCTCGGTTATTTGCACAGATGGAAATGTCTTTTTACGTGACAGGAGTCATGCTGGAACACACTTAATCCCAAACTACAATACAACAAGTAAGTCCTTGTATATCAATAGCTTGGTAGATTTTATTACTGGTATTATTCTATTCAATTTTATATATATATATATATAACTTTTTTTTTTGAATTAGATACCGGTGTACTTTTCCAAACCCAAAAGAATAGTGTAATTTCAAACAACATTTTTGGGTAAATATTTTTATTCTTATTTTCATTTATTTCGAAAGTACAATATAATATAAAGTTATTTTGATGTATACTCAACCCTTAATAAATATACACAGCATGGATCTTCGACAAGTAGATAATCTGTCACCTTGGGTTTCTTCTCAGCTCCAGGCTACTCTTAATAAGCTCAAATTTTACACTCAATGTCTTGGAAGAAACCTTGATGACCAGCAGGGTTATTTAGCATCGGCAGTTCAGCTATACTCTACCAATGATATTACCATAAAGGAAAATGTGATGGTAAGAAATACATACATATATATATATATATGTATATATATTTAACTAAACAGTTCAATTATAGAATGCTACATTTCCAGACATTGAAATGACCGAACAGGACCACGGTGTGAGCATTGTGGGCAGTAACCAGACATACATCTACCAGAATTTTATTGCTGGTTGGCAATTGGGTGATTTTGGTGGAGCAATGAGATTCACGTCTGCTGTAAGTACAAACAAAACATACAAAAAAAATATGTTCTCTTGATGATAATACCATATTGTCTCTTTTATTGAATCTAACCTTTATTCGGTTTACAAGGTCGATGGCTATGTTGTCTCCAATTATCTTGCCAATACAGCTGTGATGTTGTACGCAGCTGTCCATGCTGACTTTATGCAAGTTAGTAACATGGTTGTAGCAGACAACTTTCTGTACCGCTTTATGGATCCCCAACGAGATCTGAATTCACCTGTCTATGGCTGGCTCTATGAAGGAATCACATTCTTTGACTTTTACACTGCCCGCAACAACTATACCATCCGGCCTCCAATCTGGAACAGCAGTGTGCCTATCTCACCCTGGGGCTGGAATATCGAGATTACCCACAACAAGTTTGCTGCCACAGCTGATCTGGATCCCAACGTGATTAGTTTGGGTAACCTTGATCTCAAAGAAGCCTCGGTCGACACTACAAACTGCTACGTAACCCGGCCACTTGATCCCAAGGCGAGTGTGCCAGGACAAGTACCTGTGCTTTGGCGCCAGACCTATCTCTTGGACCGTCACGGTCTCAACGGCGCTCGAATCCCTATGGTAAATACCAATAGAGATCAAGCCTCCTTAATATTTATATTCATTGTTATATTTCTGTTTTAGGATCTATATGTTCGTCCAGAAGAGGACCTAGACAATGCAGTTCCAGCTCACCTTCGAAACCTCTCCATTCCTCCTTTCTGGAGAGCATTTACTCTCAAGAACAATACCCAGCCCATGATGGATCCTTCCACCCCATGTATCTGAAAATAAAATAAAATAATAAAAAAAAGGGGGTAGTCAGATAGAAGGGGGGTAGGAAATGAAATGGAATGGGGTAGGGAAATAGATAAAGTCAGGCTGAGATGGCTCATTATATACATTTATATATATATATATATATATGTGTGTGTGTGTGTGTGTGTGTGTCTGTACCTACTTCTCTTTTTTCCTTTTCTTTATTGTGCATGTCATATTTGCTCGTGAATTTATGCCAAATACTTTATTACGTTACTTTATTCATTTACTCTTCCTTGTACCCTTTTGATTTCTATATACAATAAATAATTATACTAATAATTTATATTATATAATATAATACAATATTATTGAAAGAAGAAAATCAATCCAAAAACAATAGAAATGACAACCTATTTTCATATGACAATAAGAAAAAAAAAGGAAGAGTGCGTCAGTTGTTATGGTAATCGTGGCGGAGAAATAATTTATACACAAAAAAGAAAAAGGATAACGTCTTTATCTGTCCTGGCTTTACCTTTATATAATACATATATACACAAATATATACAGATCTATATAAATATATACATATATTCATTATCACCTACTCTTTTGTTTTATATATATATATATATATATTTACTGTTATTGCTTTGAATGCATCTCAGAGCATTACTTCTTTAAACATCATAATGTCGCTTAACATTGTCCCACCAGAAATCCTTGTTGAGATTCTCCGCTTCTTAGATCCCTCATCGGTGTATTCTTTTAGCTTGGTTAACAAGTACTTATCAGCAACAGCTACTCCCCTATTATGGCATTCACCCATACTCCACCATGAAGATCAGTTTACCCAATTTCTTTCGTCACTGGCAATGACTACCAAACAACTAGGACACCACGTGCGTGAATTGAATCTAGACACCCCACACTGTCCCACCGATGAAGAAGTCTTGTTTCTTATTGAGCGAATGCCTCACCTTGAGAGTTTCTCTTCCGCAGATTCGCATCAACTTACGAATTCCAGTCTTGGCAGATTAAGTCATTACTGCCCCGACCTTCAGGAACTCTCACTCTGTTCAGCAGGAATATCTTATCGAGCAATGCACCACCTCGGTCAATGCAAGAGTCTCAGGTCCTTGTCACTGAAAAACTGCGAAGAACTGGTGCCCATCAGTCTGCTGCCGCTTGCAGACTGCCCGCTTGAATATTTGGATCTGTCGGGGTGTAAGTGGCTCAATGCAGAAGACACTGCCTATGATGTGCGTGCGTTCACAAAACTCAAGGTGCTGGGCCTGATGTGCTGCCAAGGCGTTACGACCGAATTTATCCAGTGTCTGGCTCAATATCCCAACCCTGAACTGACAGTGTTTTCTATCACTGGCTGTGATATAAGCGACGACGGGATCGTGTCGTTTGTGAAAGCCCATCCAAACCTCGAACACCTCACCCTCATGGACTGCACCATCACAGACACATCGCTGTTTGCTATCCAGACCCACCTTCCGGTCCTGCACTACCTCGAAATTTCATACTGCAATCGGATTACAAAGAGCGGTGTTCGTCATATGATACGTAACATGCCTTGTCTGGACCTCATCGGCCTCAAGAACTGTAACATCAAGCTCAGGGATTTCCCAGAGGTCGAGTCGTCTCCAAACGTCTATTGGGCAAGTGGGATCCATGTAGATCGGTTCACGGTTTATGAACTCGAACTGGTTCGCAAAGCAGAGTCTCAACCCCCAACACCAGAAACAGATAGTGGTGATAATACTGATATTGAGACTGAGACTGATATTGATGTTGATGTTGACGACGAAATTAATATCAGCTACCCTCATTTTCATTCACTGATCATTTTCCCACAGCAACCACTAGTTCTCCAACAGCGAGCACTACTTTTAGCACACCACCAACAACAGCAGCAACAACAGCAGCAACAATCTCAAACACAATCTCAACATCACTTCCGCCCTCGATCTGAACCTGAACCTGAACCTGAACAAGTCCACATTGAAGAGCCTTATTCAGAACTAGCAGAAAACATACATGAGAATTATTCTTACATTCAAGATTATCTCAACACACTCTAGACAAATCTTCTGATATTATTTATACCATTCCAATCACATTGACCATATCTTTCTTTTTCTTTTTCTTGCTTCTTTGCCTTTTCCACACAAACACTCACATTTCATTAAACAAGCCCAAACTTAAACCCAAGTAATCAACTTCTGTAGAGATGTATATACACGCAAATACGCGTATAAATATATGGATATATAGGTATAGATATATTATACATATGCGACAAGAAGACAAAGAAGATGAAGAAGGAAAAGGGAAAAGAAATTAATGCTTGAATGACGTGCATAATATCTGCGGAGTATAGAGAGGTTTAATCCAGCGTCTGCCCATTCACTTACTTACTTTACCTTTAACGCCCTAAGATTATTGTTTGTTATCATTGCTATTATTATTATTATTTTCTCTTTCTCTCTCACTTTTTTATATACATTTATATATATATAAATACTTACATACTTTTGATTGATTCCAAGAGCTCTAGAGGTGTCTTTATGTTTCGTTCTCTTGTCTTTAAATCTCCTAGAGGAACGCAGTCTCTTGGGACTCAAAAGAACGGTCTTCCATTTTTTGATGCAGACCAATTTTCAAATTTGTTGATAAAAGAAGGTTTCTCGCCTGCCCAATCTCGCACTGTGATTCACGCTTTGGATGATGTGGTGAATGAGAGGTACTTTCTTTCTTTTTCGTTTTCTTTGTCTTGGTGTTTTTTTTTCTCTTAAGAAAAAACCGAAATAAAGGGAAAGAGTAATAATGGATATTAGTATTAACTTTGGAATTCTAATATTCTTTTTTATATATACATGTATTTAGTATAATTACTACTTCGAGTGACCTGGTTACCAAAGATGACCAACAAAAGGTAAAAAGAGAAAAAAAGTAAAAATAGAAAAAGAAAGAAAGGAAGGAAAAGAAAAGGAATCCATGATGAATGAGTTGTAAAGAATTAGAATGCTAATTACTATAAATGATAATAAAAATTAATAATATATTAGACAATTCAGGGATTTAAGCAGAATTTCAGTCGGCTCAAGTCCGAGATTCAGCAAAAGGAACGTCGTGATGTAGATGAAATCAAGACGATGAATGACCAACTCAAGAGCGAGATAGCCAAGTTGCGCAAATCGCTCCAACAGGAGATTGTACGCAGTCAGGCGGGTGTTCGACTAGACTTGAATCTTGAAAAGGGTCGAATTCGGGATGAATCGATCAACCAGCACAAACGACTTGAAAAAACCGATCAAAAGATGGAAGAAGAAATAAAGGCCCTACGAGGTCAAATGAGAGGTATCAAACTCCAAATTCTACAGTATTTAATGGGTAAGTTTTATATTATTATTACTTTTTTAATTTTATAAGCAAGTTAAATAATACCATGTATTCTTGTATTCTTTTCTCTCTCTCTTTAGGTACCATTACTGGAGGAGGTACATTAGTATTAGGTAAGATAAAGAAAAAGGAATCAAATGAGTATTGGGTTGGTCATTATTGTTTTCTCTTGGTGGAATTGATTGATATTAATTTATGATATTTTGGATACAAAACCTCTTTTTTTCAATCGATCCCATATCTCTCTCTCGCTCTCTCTCTCTCTCTATTATTTTTTTGTATATATGTGTGGGTACAGGCTATATTCACTTTGCAAGCTGAGAAATGGCCAAAAGAGAGAAAGATAGAAAAGGAAACTTTAAATTATGGATCCCGGCTAATCCAGTCAATCAATCAATCAGTCAGTCGGTTGGTCAGTTGGTCAGTTGGTCGGTTGGTCGGTCAACCAGCCAGCCAGCTAGTTACAAGAAGAAAGCATCTTAAAAATCGAAATCCCATTGTATTCCTTGTCTTTATTTAGTTAATATCCATCACATATACCACCTCTTTTTTTTTTTTTTTGTAAATGCCTCCTATTTTTCCCTCTAATTGATGGTGCATTTCAAATAGAATTCCAAATTGAGAAAACTTGTCTCGTTTGAGCTTAAAAAGAAATATCTCTACATCTTTGGAATTGTATGAATATCGTTATACCTGTGTGTTGCCAAGTTACTGTTTAAATAAATAATTAAATAATAATATCAAATAGAAAAAAAAATATTGTATACCAAGAAAAAAACAGATTATTTTATTTTATTATATCCTATACAATAAAACACAATGTAATACATCATTGTTTTCAATATAAAAATTTAAATATATGTCCTTATTAGGAGAGGAGAGGTTTCTTATAGCTAATCTATAGCTACTCTTTACTTGTTCTTTAAAATATTAATGACAGTATGGCAGAAATAAGCAATGAAAGCCCAGTAAGTAGAGATACACTTCTTGTTTCCTGAGCATCACTACTAGGCGCCAAAGAAAAGTTTCCATAAGTTCCTACACCTGGCATAACAAATGCACACATAGCCTGAGGAGGTTTGTTGTTTCTATAGTTCAAAATTCCTACAATAATTCGACCGTTTAATCCCACCACACCAAATCTTGGTGTGAGAGATACACCTTTGATAGTTTCTTGCGTTACAAGTAACCGCTTTTGTGTAGTGTAAGAAGCAAGGTCACCATCTAGGGACACATACACAAGAAAATAATAATAATCAATTTAGAATAATAGTTATTTGTTTGTCTGTCTGTTTTTTTTATACATATATTTTACAGATAATATAGATATAGAGATACTTTACTGTATGAAGAGAATCTTCCATCGTGACAACCTGTGCTGACACCAATTCCAGCAGTACATGTTTTGTTGACCAAGGTATGATAACAGGCTCTCGTGGGCTCCAGGCAGCCTTCACAAGTCAGCTGTGAGTTGACGCACTTGAATTTTTTTGAAAACAATGTATCATCAGGAATCAGCGTAAATGCTAAACAGGCACCATCTGACAATTGTGAATCAAAATAATAGGAGAAATCAACTGCGGAATCTCCAGCCTGTTGTATAATAAGCGAGGCGGTATCCCCTCCTTTGAATGGGAAGTAGACCGCTGCTGCCGTAGGATCAGGTTTAGCCAGCAGATTTTTGTTTTCTGGATAGTAAAGACTTGAAGTCGAATCATGATTTGTATCTGTAGCAATTGCAAAAATAAAATAATGTAGGAATAAACACAAAAACGCTGCAAGTCGAAACATGGTTTGTATAGTAAAGATATTGGAAATTCAAGTCGTGTGTCTACATATATATATATACATATTACAAGCATTTATTAAAGGTTTATTGTACTATTCGGTTTTCTTTATTTCTTCCCTATTAAAGAGGATAAAACAAGATGACCTTCTTTTGTTTTTTTGAAAGCAAACAGGTTAGATAATACACCCAAATTGCATTGTTTTCTTAGCTTTATCATTATCACTATCACTGACATTGTAAGAAAGGCACTTTTCTTGCGATATATTATATTTGTAGCCTATTATTTAAACACAACAATCTATAGCAGTAGAAGAAAAAGTAAAGTAAAATAGATATTGGTTTATTTAATGACATCTACAATGATTTTGTCTTGAGTATTTCCTCCATTCACTTCAAGGGACCATACCACTTTGTATTGTATATCTTGTTATTTTGAAGCTCTTTGAATTTATTGCTCTTGCTGAACCTTGTCTAATTTATCGAATATACAATATTATCTATTACTATGCCTTTCTTTATTGTACTTATGAAAATCAAAAACTAACCAACAGCAAAAAATTAGTATAACAATTTCCTCTAATTACACAATAGACCTATTCTCTCTTTATCTATCATATACCTTTATTTTATGTATTCCTTAGTATATCAATAATCAACAAAACTGTATCAAAAAATGAGCAATGTTGGTATTTATTGATTGATAGTAGTGTATTTTTATGTGTATATATTTATATATGTATGTATATTTTTTTATAATAAAGAAGTTATTGTTTCTTTAAGAAAGAGTCAAGTCTATCTGACTTTGTTAAATCCAATGCCTGATATTTCTTTGCTTTGATAACTTCATTGTCATCAACGTAGATAAACAATTGTCGCCTTTCTTTCTCGTGGGATGCTAACTTTGTCATCCATTCAGCAGTGGCAAGTTTTGCATTCTTATATGTCTATGGTAAATATCATGAATAACATATACAGAGAGAGAGAGAGAAAGAGAGATGATTTATAGATTAATACTTACAACTCCAGGCCAAATCCGAAGAAACTTGATATTTTCCATCGTGTTGTGCATTCCCAACATAGTCTTGGCTTCAAGTGATTGCCTAGTATGTATATATTATCAGTATGCGTGTGTTTATGCTAAACCACAAATAGTGTACATTACTTTTTGTCTGGGTGTGCCTTACACACGTCTTCAATTATGTCAATTATGTCATCCTGGAAAACTACCTCTATATTTCTGAGAGGATTCTCTCCATTGAACTTTACATATTTACTCATTAGAAAGATGGCACATGTACATGCAGGAAACTGCTTTCCCACCCTCGTCATACGGCCTGTAGTAATAAATTATATTAATATTTTACCTGTTTTGCAAACTTCACAATCTTAGAAATCAATAGCGGGTCTTTGGCAAGATTAACAGCATCAGTTGTTATATAACCGCCTATATCATAGAGTAAAAGACATGTTTGTTCATTCATTTTTGTTTTGGGGTTTTTTTTAAGAAAGAAAGAAAAGAAAAGGTATGAATTATTTTTACTCTTTTCTTTGCATTTTTTATGCTTATTACCTGTATCCCTCGGAAATATGGGTAAGACTGGAGGAACATCTTTTGCAACATCACCAGGAGCACCAAACTCGTACATGTTGATGGCTGATTTTTTATATCTTCGAAATTCGGGTTGTGGAGTAAGAAGATGACGATCAATCTACAATATATTAGATGTGTAATTTAAGTAGCTACTCGTGCGTACACACAAACACACGCGCATAGTTGTATTCAACCACGTACCAGAACAATTGACGCGGGACCTTTAGTAGTTATCTTGATTTTCGAGTATGCTTCTTTAAGCAATTTTGCATAAACAGATTCTCCAATAATCTGAATTTTCTCTCCTCTGTGGATCTTTTCACTCAACTAAATCAAGAATAAATTATTTATCACATCAAATAAATAAAATAAGAAACTTGTATGCATTTACTGAACACTAATTAGATATCACTTACCTCAGAAGGAAAGTTGAGCAAATAGAATACTCTTTGAAGATCAGCAGTCTTCATATCTATGATAGGACATCCTTTAAATCTGGTCATTATTTCTGTTGAAGGACGTTCTGGTACACCCCCCAAATAAACTGCACAAATCCCGAATTTATCTGACGGGAATCCAAGTGATTTTGCAAGATCAGAAGAACATGGCAGTAAAATCAAAATCTCCTTCTTAGAAGTCTCAGGAAATATCATCAGTCCCTAAAAGAAAGAAAGAAAGAAAGAAAGACCGCATTAGTAATTAGGATGACTTTTTATTTGTAAAGACAAAAAAAAAAGAACTTTATTATTGTTGTTGTTGTTGTTTTTTACCAGTTTTCCAGTTTCCATAAACGTTCTCATTTTACCAAGTGCAACAGTGTTTGCAGTTGTGGTAACCGAGAACATTGGGACTTTTTCATCATTTATGGTTTTTTGGATTGTGTCAAAAGATACGGTTCGCTTCACCTTTAGACCATTTGACTTGGTCTCAAGTTCGCATTGCTTAATAAACGATCTGAAATAACGGTTATTAGCATATATCACCAATTAACAAAAATACAATGTTTGAATCCAGAGTATACTTGTATGTGAATATATATTTTTTGTTTGTTTGTCTGTGTACCTAATGTCATTATCGTCTTTCAAAGTTCCCATAATTGAAGATATATTAAACGTTCCAAACCCTGACTTTGGGGTTGTTATAAGACCCTCCCATTGATAAGTTGCGGTCAGTTTCTGTGGAGGTGGTTGAGGAGATGTTACGGCCTCCGGTGTGGTTTGTGGAGGGTTTCCTTGAGGGGTCTGTTTTTGAGAGGTTGCTGAGTGAGATGTAGATGATAACCGTGATTGCTCAGGTTGACTCTGTGTGTTCCATTTTCCTTTTTGATAGGCTGTTGGGTGAGATTGATTGGGTGCGTTCCAATTGAACGGCCGGGTTTCTGCTTGACGAGAAGATTCGGGTCGTTGCAGTGCTTTGTTGTAATCTGCTCGGCTATCGTATTCTACTATTTTAGACCCACCAGTGGCATTATCGGATCGACCATAATCAGATCTAATGGGTTTTGTTGGTATACTTTGCCAAGATTGGCGATTGCTTGAAGCCGATATTTTTAGCTCTGGTGCAGCAGTTTGACCTTCTACTGGTCGAATTTAATTTACACGATTTCTAAATAGTTTGACAGATTTGCTCTTTTCTTTTTTTTTTTTTACCTGAACGAGGATACTTTTTATCTAGATCCAAGTGGGATTTTGCTATAGTAATTATCATAAATATTATTATTAGATATATGCATATACGTGCGTGAGTATCTTAATATATAGATATACAAAAAATATAGCAATTCTTACATTGAGTTGATGTGTATTTTGATCCAGTTGATATCTGAGGATCATATGCAGTAGTAGCGGACTTTGAAGGGAATTTGCTACTTGTTGGACTGGATGAAGATGATATTCCAGGTCTGTTGGGTACACCTTGGATCTTGTTGAAAAGATCATCCAATAAATTATCGTTTTTGGGTAGTTGGGCTTGTATTATTATTATTATTATTATTATTATTATAATTATTATTTTGCGGAAAAAAGTTTTGTTTGTTTGTTTGTTTTTGCAAAAGAAATTGTCAAAAGAAGTTTCGATTTGTAAAGAAGTCTAAATATCTAACCTATTTTTTGAGGCCTCTTTAGGATTCCAAATTGACTTTTGTGTGGCTCTTCTCGGTCAATAAGGGTCGATTTGTTCCCAGATGCATTTTTTGGTTTAGTAGGAGATACGGGTTTTACTAAAGGCGCTGTCGGAGCTGATTTGACCCGATGTGCATGAGATTGTATATGAGTTTGTTCACTGGATACTACTAAAGATGCTGTCTACAGTAACAAATGAAGTCCAAAGAATAACATATATATTTTGTTGTTGTTTATCTGTAAGTCTCATATATTTAATGTAGATGGCTTTATTTTTTATTTTCTCCCTCACCTTCAAAGTAGGTGACGATGTTCCTTGTTTTGAAGTTTGATGTGGTTTAGCAGGTGTATTAATACTACTACTACTACTACTATTGTCTCTAGCATATTTTTCTTTAAATTGTTTAAAGAGCTCAGGGCAGTTAAGATTATCTTCTGGCTCCCAGCTGTTCTGACTATTATCCGATCTTGTAGTAAGTACGGTGTCACAAGGTAGAATTTATGATGTGAACTCTGTTGAAAGAAATAAATGACATCATTTGGTTAATGACAAGGCCAATGTCATTATTGATTGTGGATGCACTGACCACCTATCATCGTAATTCTTCCATTTGATCAAGTATTCTGTGTAAGGTCCGGTATTTCTCTGATCTAATATGTTCTCAACTTCAAAATAGCAAGCGCTATCGTCTTTATCCATAGTTAAATACTAAAGAGTAATAAAGGTCAACCGAGATTGCACCAACGCGTAAAGTTACAAAAGAAAAATACGCGTAAGGTTGAAAAAGCACGCGTAAAGTTGTACGTCACTTGTGACTGTGTCCACTTCTTTAAAGGCAAAACAGGTTCAATTACACAGAAGGTGTTCATAGAAGGAATGTCTGAACGGCGAAAGAACGGTTGTCTTTACATTATTTTTTATCAAGTATATAACTCGTAATTTTAAAACAAGAGAATTTACGAAGATTTTACTATGTTTCTTAGACGACCGAATATATACATGCGCTTTTCTTTTAAAAAAAAAAATAACATGCTCATTAGTGATTCTTTTTCTTACAGCCCTTAATTCGTCCCTCATCATTTGTCATGGAAATCAATAGTGATTCTTAATCACATCATTTCTCTTTCTTCTTTAGTCTCGTTTAATTAAATCAAATGTGAATTTCGGCAAATAATTAATCATGTATCGTTCCTCAAAATATTCCAGAAGCTTCATGTAGCCAGTCGTATCCAGATTCATTAAAGCTCATTTAAGCACATTCATGTCAAGGTCGTATATATATGCTTTATG